CAGACGCATCAAGAGTGAAATACCAGAATGGGCATGAAATGGTACCCCTGGTTGGAGAGTGACATCATGGTGCCATGCCATACATCTCAAAGTTGGTGGCGTCGCAGTGCACTCTCTGTAGATGCCCAGGACTTGTAGTAGATCATCAAGACTGATGCGTGCTGCCATTGTAATAGCAATTTGACGTACCTCAAAGTCAGGTGGTCTGGCATCAAAAACTGAAAGAACCATCGTAGCCCATTGCGGTTGTGGTCGCTGCACCAGAAGCACATGAGCGATGATGCGATGATCAACCGTTGGCGGCTTGGGGATGACAAGGTGGAAGTCCAATGTTGCTCCAAGCACAATTTCATCAGCCCATGCTTGCCAAATACGGCGCCGCCAGTCAGCAATAGCAGGATAGAGTTGAACTGGTCGGGGCGCAAGACAGTGAGGTTCTTGCCATTGATGATCGACGAACCACACCAACACTGTGCCAGATCTGGGTTCATCCTCCCATGCAAAGGCTAGGAGCTCCCATAAGCCTGCAAGATCTTCGATGAAGGGATCTGGCATGTCAGGACTCCATTGCAGAACCGGTTGTACCAGCGTGGTTGAAGTCTGCTCATAGAAGTTGGTTTCATCAATGCTGGAAGGAATGTCAATGCCACATTTGGTAGATTCAGAGAGGTCACATCCAATTGAATCGTCCCAAGAGATCGAAGGTGGAGAAAGCGGGACTTGTTGTGCTACATGAAGTAGGACAGCTTCGTCATCTTCCTGATCCATCAAGGGAGCTTGTAGCAATGCTGCATTGGTTGGGAGAGCATTGTCTATGATATCTGTGATGCGCTCTTCCGGGATAACAATTTGAAGTCCAAGTCCATCGTGCACTCTCACATCAGCATCAAGTGGCAAGGGTTGCTCCCCTAGCCAGAGTTGACACGGTGGAAGAAGTGTATGCACCGGAAGGCATCGTGGACTAGCTCCAGATACTTCAATGAGTTCAGCTGGAGGTGTCAGGAAGGCCGCCGAATACGCAACTTGTGAGTTGTGGAGATGCGATTGGCCAGCTACTGCTGTAGATCGTACACAAGCAGCACGTGCAGGTTGAGGATGCTGGGTGGCCACAACTGTAGCAATCGTGCCTTGGTATACGGTCGTGGGCAATGCCGGTCTGACAATGAAGATCTCAATGGCAGCTCCGTTGTCAATGTAGTCCTCCCACATGAATCGCACTGAGGCTTCCCATGTTTCATGATCGATGTCAAAGCGCAAAGGGCGCGTGATTGTGTTTCTCGGCACCATCGTGTGTGAGATGTAGTGGGAGGTCACATATATGATTGGCCCCTCTTCATGAAGTTCAGTCTCACCATGCGCACGCAGCAAATCCCAAATCTCATGTTGCCAAATGGGTTGCTCTACTCGTGGAGGATGTGCAAAAAGGGCTCCATCATGATCACTTCTCGGTGAGTCAGCAGCTGATTGAAAGAAAGAAAAGGGCTCATTCGCACTTAATGCAACAGGTCCACATAGACGAGGGTCGATGCCGGAGATACACAAGGCCACATTGGACAAAGGATCGTCAACAGCAGACTCAATCTTAATTGGATCTGGCATTGCCGCAGAAGCATAGGCTTGAAAACCAGAGAAGTCGTCATCTTCTTCAGTGACGTTTTCTTGAAACGAGGTTGGACTGGTACTCATACAGGCAAAACCATCAATATGATCACCAATGAGAACGTGCAGGAAGTCACCATCTTGAAGATGCAAAGGACTAACTTGATGTTCATTCACAGGGACATTGTTGTACCATAGTCGACTTCGATCTGGATGAGCAACCAAAAGTGATTCAAGCCCCAACAAACGAAACACAGAGATCCTGTTGATGGTCTCTGGGAGCCATTTGGAGAACCTGCGGAAGGCTCCAGGCAAGACTTCGTTCGGCTCAAAAATTTCAAGGTCGACCATCACCAAACGCAAAAGGGGTGACGGACGTGGCTCCAAATCTGTTTGCAGGAGCAAGCATTGTAGCCCTTGCTGAATCAAATCTGCAGGACGATGACTCACGTAATGAACTCCATAGAGACTTCGGCCAGGGTCGGTGCCAATGGCGGTGCAAATGCTGCGAACCAGCTGGTCTCCATCATCCCAAGGAATCCTCATAGAAAGCATGCGCCCATCAAGCAAAATCAAAACAGTCTGTCGCCAATCAAGAGAACGGGTGGTCGACGAACTGGTTGACATACTCGTTGACGAGGACCTTGGTGTCGACGAACTAGAAAAGGACGGCGGTCGAGCTTGTCGTGTTGGCCGCCTCGCCATCAATGAGGTTGCATCATCATCAGGTGAATTTGAACGAAGGGAACGTAGCCTCCATGGTTTGTCATCAAAATCCTGGAGAGCATGATGTGTGATCGTCATTGGGCGAAGATCAAACCCACAATCTTCACCAATAAAAACCATAACATCATCGTTGAAACGCACCTGCTGCGATTTGGAACACCTGCGCAATGGAAAGGAGATGCTGTCAACCCTGAGCAACACTGAAGACCCCATTTCGGCTGCTAGTGTAGACGCATGCTCTTGCGCTTGCCACTCGTTCAGGTAGTTCCTTTCATGGATAACTGAATGCGACCATTGCAGCTTCATAGCTTCAGGGCTGGTCAATGGTCGGGCAGAAAGCCCTTGGTGTGTATACGTGTTCGTCATACAGCACCGGGCACGCCAAAAGGCTGCGCAGGAGAGGAGACGTCGCCATCCGAAGGTGCCACCCTTGGACGTTTGACACGCTGCTCCAGCTGGTCGGCAGACGTGGAGAGCTCCTCTAAACTCGTGACGATCGAATCCATGCCCTGATGAAGGCGCTGAACGCTTTCGTTGTGCGGGTCCTCCATCACATCGTCCCCCACATCGTTGTCGCCATCGTCGTCCGAGATTGTGACAGCTCCTTCTTTTCCACTCTGCTCCTTCTTGGAGGCCATGTCGAATGTCTTCTGGGCCTGCTTGACTGCTTGCTTCGCAGCCAGGACTCCTTGTTGGTGGGCACTTTCTGAAGCGTGAAAACTTGCAGAAAATTCTCTCCATTTCACCACTGACTGCTGCAAGAACAGCTTCCACTGCGAAAGCAATTGAGCCCTTGCGTTTTCCGCCTCGAGCAGGTCTTGTTTCGCCTCCCCCAAAGCTTTCACAGCTTGGGATAGGGTCTTGATGCTGTTCTTCTCGTCCTGCTTCTGCATCTCGTGGGCGATAGATTGGAGATGAGGAGGTAGATTGTCTTCCTCTTTCTTCATCTCTCGGAGCAATCGATTCAATTTCTGTTGAGCTGGTCCGTCTTGTCGATATGACGTGGCCGGCTCTGACACCAAAGTCGAACTCGTGGGTGCTGTTTGCATCTGCATCATCGGCCCCATGTTTCCCCATGGCATAGTGGGAACTGCATTGGCCATGGCATTCGGTGGCATCATAGGGGGTGAAGGCATAGCACCTTTGCCAGCACCCTTGTCGGTCGCCGGCGGTGGCAAGGGTGGCTGCATCATGGGCTGGGAGTACGGGGGCATCATGTGCGGGAAGGGCATAAAGGGCACCATCGGAGCCTGTGCAAAGCCTTGCTCCTGTCCTTTGCCTCGTCCTTTTCCATGTTGCTGTTGGTCTCCCTCCTGCCACATATTGCTGCCCTTGTTGGTTTTCCTGCCACGATTTGAGGAACGTCTGGTGCGGGAACGTGGACTCCATGAGTTCGATTGACGACCGTCCCATTGCTGTCCATCCCAAGGGGGCGGTCGGCCTGTCTGCTGGTTGTACGATTGAGGGCGATGTTCTGGCGGTGTAAAGGATGGGTCGTAGCAATGGCTCCATTCTTGACCACATTTCCAACACCGAGGGAACGTCCCTTTCATCACCACATGACATGTCGTACATCTCCATGATGGGTGCTTCTGCGCCATGATGACCTTCGAAGCTGCAAGGAGTCGAAAGAGAAATAAGGGATCTTTTGAATGATGTCTGCTGAGCTTGTCGTGGATTTGCAACAATTGGGAGGCCGATAGTCGTTGAACACCAATGCGATGCAAGTGCCAACTCGGTCGCGCCTTTGCCCTTTGCCGCCTCTCTGATCTCCTTGCAGAGGATGAAGCCGTCCTGTTGAAGATCAATGTCCACGCAGCAGGTAGAGATCAGATTCACCTTATCCAAAATCAAAAGGAAGATCAAGTAGATCTGAAATGCACCCCTCATACACCAGGAAAAAGACACCGTCAAAGATGCAAGCGCTGCCAGGGCGAGACCAGTTCAGCAGCGAAGCAATGAGGTGGAATGGTATGAGCAAAGGTGATGCGAAACTGCACTGTTTTCGCAGAGCACAAGACAAGGCAAGCCAACGCTGGAGAAAACGCCGGCAGCCCGCGGGAATTGCTCAGGTCCCGCTTAGGTTTCCAAGCTAAAGAGGGGCTACCTCAAGAGCCGACACCTTAGATATGTATATATATATATATGATCAGTAGTCGTAATTACCAAGGACCAATGAAAACTACCAATTCTTGTGGGCGGTGTCATGAATTTTTATGTTCAAGCAATATTTGGGATCATCAATCCCAGTGACGATGATATATTTTTCAAGGGGATTGAACTATTGAACCCACGGATAGTTTCCGGCGAAGATTCTCCCCCAAAATCAGCAAATCAAATTTCTGCCCAAGAACTCAATCATATTACCCCATGATGATCCATTAGTATATTATTATACCGGTGATATATCCCTGGCCATTTCAGGTACCTACTTTGGAGGTACCCGCCATATGTGGCCATTTCAGGCTATTTTTAGGGGATATGCCCCCAAGTTATATGGCTTTATATGGTACAGTCCCTCCATTTTAGGTACTGTGAGTAAAACAATGTCATAAAGCATCCCCCAAATCACCATAAACAGGTGGTATGTTTACCATTCCCAGTCATGGGTGGTTTATGACATTGTTTTACCCACATTACCTGAAATGACCCTTGAATATACCCCAAACTGGCAGTCCGTGAGCATGAGCTTTACCTTAGCGGAGGAAGAGCTTGAGGCGGAGATGGTATGGATGGTTTTGGGTTTCTGTTTAGAAATCACCGTTTTGCCAAGGGCGATTTTCCGCTGGCAAAACATGAATGGGATTTTATGGGATTTTAATAATATTTTTTATGTTTAGGAAGATTTGGGATTCCGAGGAATTTACTGTTAAATGGGATTCAATAGTTAACAAATAGCCTCCGGTTTTTTGTTACATAGCTATAGAACCCGGCCCATTAGCCATTGGAGCTAACCTTGGGGATCGAAGCATCTCATTTTTTCAAGGCCAACTGTCAAGGGGACAATCTGTCATGGGATAATATAGGGATATAGATGGATATGGGACATATCTGTGATCTGGCTTTGCCTGAAGATTGAGGATCCCGCAAATTGGCAATTTTGTGTTGAAAAAGATCAATCATCACCACATGGGACTTCAAAAAGCCGCGAATTGCTTGGACATTTGCAGGTGTTGAATTGTTATGCCATCCAATCTGTTGGGCAAGCGCGGTAACCAGGGACTCGTGTTGGGGGTCATTGATCCAGATTTTCTCAACTTCCATGACTCCATGACGAATTGCTCCGGGCAAAATAAGCAACTACCGCAAATGATTGCAGAATGAATGGAGACTTCCCAAAGTTGTAGGTATAACTTAGTCGCTTTATAAACGTTTCTCGAGTTTAGTTTATTTATCGATTACCAGTTTTAGGTGTTTGAAATGAAAAAACGCTTGCCTCGTTTGAAGTTTTGGGCTGCCTGGAGGGCGTTTTTGTGAAATAGGATATACCGACAAGATCTACCCATATTAAAGATTGTTTAGTCGGCAAAATTGCAAAAGATTGGCACCAGTGGATATAGGGGTTAGAAAATTAAGTCGATATAACGGTTACGTACTGGTGCGTTTTACGCAGGGAATGAAGGAATGATCCACAATAACTATCAATAATCATCCCATTCCCCCAGTCCCATCCATTCCCTACTAAGCACCAGTAAGGTTATCATGTCCGTCATCATACCCGCTAGTTGTGTCCTTTTGGCATTCTGTCATCCAAAAACACGATAGCCAAGAATCCCATGGTTCATCATTTTACCTGTCGCACTGGGGATTCCTACAATGACCAAGCATCCAACTATATTCCAATGTTCTTCCCACTTATTGCTGGCAATTTCCAATCTTTATTCCATTAATAATATTTATATTCCAATCTTCCCAACCATTCCAATTTCTGAATTTATCGAAAACAAATTCCCAGTCATGATACCATTTATGCAACGATGTCAGAACTCATTTCATGTTGCTACCCATTTGGGTACGAACAGTTCTTGGGTGGCAAAACCCGTAGTAGGCTCCAGCCTCATCGGAGTGGTGTAGGCAGAGCTAGGCAACGCAACTTGTGGGGGATGGCTGGTAACAAAGGGGTCATGGATGGCGAATCCGTTATGTACGTATATATATATACACATATTATAGGTGTGTATACATACATATAGATATTTGTGTATGTATATGTATATATGTATAAAAGAGAAATTTATAATATAGCCTCTGGTCATTTAACACTGCGAACTGGAAACTTCATCATTTTAAGTAGGCAAATCATCATTTTTGTCATCTATAGATATGGGATTTTCCATGGCTATTCTATGTTAAAAAACCAAAGGGTAATTTTATAGACCAATGTTGGAATCCCATGATTGCTCGGATTCCAAGTTTGGGATGATAATACATGATAATACCAGATATGCTAGCTTTTCACCATGGCACATGTACGACAATCTAGAATGGTATAATTAGCAACAAAGAAATGGTCTAATAAGACACAATGGGAACTGTATACGAATGGTATAAATGATATGTAATACCTGGGCATATTTTACCATTTTGGAGGCTTCTTGAAATCTGGGGGAACCCCAAAATCGTCCAACATCTGCCCCATTTTTAATGTTAAGGGCCAGAGTATGGGCCAAAATGTGAGACCCTGGGACTCCTGGGACCCAGAATTTTTTCTCTCCAACTTGTCTGTGATTTTTTATGCACTTGTACATAATTTAAGGACTGCCCATTCTGCGATTTTCGCCCCTTTTTTTGGTGTGCCAGGGGAAGTTTCTGGCATCCACTGGAGACCACCATTGTTTCAGATGCCCATTGTAAACTTGTTGGTGCCAGGCCGGTTGCTCACAGCACTGAACCCGGTGTTTCAAATCTAAAGAATGGCTAATGTTCAACCTCTCAAAATGGATGACTTAATGTGATTAAAATCTAGGGTTCACTAAAGATCTATAGAGATGACCAATTTGGTGGGTCCTGACAGTTAGCCCAGTCTGGCCCCACATCTTGGTTCTGGCTCAAGAAGGGGTCCTCTCGGCCTCAAGGTGCTAGACAGGGGGATCTCAATCCATGCTTCGGCGCACTCGATGTTAGCACCACTTTGGTCACTCCAGCGAGGTCCAATTGAACAGACACAGACCATCACAGAACATCAAATCGATGATGTTTCGTGACGACGGAAGTTCACCGGGTAAATCTGTTCGTCAGATTTCCAGATTTCGATTTCAGGCCCCCAGCTTTTTCGCGGCCATTTGGGCCGCATCTTGGGCCATGGCGCTTCCAGGGGTTTGTGAGGACCTTGCATCGCTCCTTGGCGAAACCAACCGGGGCCTCCTTTCGAAGGCGGGTTGGTTCTTTCACGTGATCATCTAGTTCAATGGATAAAAATAAGGGATTTTCCTTTCCAGGTGAAAGTAGATACTAGAGGGTAGAAAATCTATGGAAATCCGAGTGGCTCAAGATCAGGGAAGATGATAGATGCCTAGAATCTGAGATATGAATATATATATATATATATACTTATTTATTTATAATATATATATACATATCTGATACATATGTAGTACTTTCACAGTAGCTGTAAATTCTCCACGTCCGAGATTGACGGGTCTATGACATCCATGTCCATCAGCCCATGGACAGTGAAGGGTTTTGGGGATATACGCTATATACAGAGGATATACTGTATATACACAGAAAATCACAGAACATATAGTACTTGATATACTACAGCAATCCCCAAAAGATAGACTTAAGTTAAAGCCTTTAACTTACCAGACAGAATTTGGGCGAGTTAACCTCCGATTAATTTGTGGCTTGGCCTCATTGCCAGCAACGCTGAGGTCTCAAAATCTCTCAGGACGGCGGTTAAATGGGGGATTTTCCAGTGGGTGAATGAAGGGTTGGAACAGTGAGAGTTGGCTTCGCAAACATACCAAGATATACCAAGCATCACTGCTCTCTTCATTTTCGGTTGAAGTTCATGGTGAAAGACCGTCGGTTTCACACCGGATGTGCAGTGGGATATATTCATGGCACAGGGTCGCATGTGAGTCTTGTCTCCAAAGGATACTGCATTTCAAATTGGAGACAACCACCATTTCTAATTCTAATTCCTCTGCATTTAAATCGCCAAATTACTGTATCTTCTCATTTTACACATCGAAATGGGGAGGAACCGCAGGAACATGATTTTCTAAATCTTAAAACAAGGGGATGGAATGAGGTTCCAAGTTTTCACCCGCAGACCTGCATCCTACATGTTTTATTTGCACATGTTTTCTTTGCACATGATGATGATGATGATGGTGATGATCACGATGATGATGATGATGATGATGATGACGATGATGATGATGATGATGATGATGATTATGATGATGATGAACATGAAGATGAGCATAAAGATGAACATGCAGATGAACATTTTTCCCCAAGAAATAACATACAAGTGAAGCAGTGAAGCACACCAAAATTTCAGTGTTTCGGATTTTGGAGACAGATCGGTGGGAGACTCCGCCGTGTTTCAGGAGAGGATGATGTGCCGAATCAAAAAGTGCCCGGTGACCGAAGATTTCAGGGGATGGGCCGGTTGAAGTTGCCATGCCCAATGGATCGGGGGGCCGGACGGGCAGAAATTCATTTGAAATACGTCATTTTTTTATTTGGTCTATGAAGTGTTTGCCATAATTTTCTATCAATTTTGCTATCAACACTTGTTTCACATCCTAAACTTTGGGAGTTTCATTTTATCATTTTTTGTTAGCCTTGAAATCACTCTCCCCATTTCTCACAACCAGGGCGTGTCCAAGGCTAAGGGTCGATCTCCAAGCATCGTGTGTTTTTTGTGAAGCGACAATCTGGCGTATATTGACCCTACCTAAAAAAATGCAAGAGACCTAAGATGTTTCCAGAGTAAGACCCAAAATTGTGGTTGTGTAGGTCCAACAAGGATCTCAATCCCAAGTTGTCCATCGTTTTCTATCGTTTTGCAGACCCAACTCCTGAGTTTTACCAAGTTTTCCCAAGTTTCAATTCACAGAAATCGACTGGATGCACCTAGGCCCAGCATCAAGTTGAAAGGCGGGCTGCTTTTACTACTCCCCCTGTGGTAAACTTATGGTTGATGGATAAATATCCGGTTTTTACGACGGTTCATGCTACATTTTTATGGTTTTTCTGATGGTTTTTTGTTTATGGCAATCTGACTGTCAATCTTCGTATTGTTTTTTGTGATCCTTCTCCTTTTTTTTGAATGCCGCAATTGCATTGGGAAAACACCCTTTCCCAATCGAAACCCTTAAAATGGGTTGATCCACTACACTAGTTTTGGGTTCCTTGATATATATGTAACATGTATATAATTGTATATATATATATATATTACGATTTACGATTGGGGGAATGGATTCTGACATATCAGCACCCCAAATGATGAGGATGTTTCTAGTTAGCATGAGGGATGTCACCACTTTTTGTAAAGGCTTGACGACGAAGATCAGGTCTTCACTGGTATCTGGCCACTTCTTTCATTTCTTTCATTAATATTAATATATGAATATATTAAAAAAATCTGGCACCTGATATATTTCTTTATATGTATGTATATATATATATATATTAATATTAATATTCATATATTTCTTTATTCATATATATATATATATATTCATATCAACATTCATTTTTGTAGCTGATGCCCCTCCGAAAAATTGACCGCTGGCAGGTCGGTCGAGTCAAATGTCGCAAATGTCCGATGAGGACGAGAGGCCCAGGTGCCGATGCCGCGGGGCCGAGTTCTGGGATCAACATGCAACATGGATGGTGATTTCAAACATGCTTTGAGATGGTGAATATATAATTATATATATATATATGAATATTAATATGAATATATCTATATCTATATAGAATATAGACATATATATATATATATATCGATTATATCATATGTTGTTTTAACATATGTCATGTGTCCACAATGGATTTCGTTGGAGGAAGCCTGACCATACCGTGGATGGCTTTGGATTGTCACTTGGATCTGAAGCCATCATGGACCATATCAACAGCTGGTTCATGCAGAATCGCTTGCGTACTGGAGATTTTGGACCGGTGGTTAGATGTTTCAACATCCCTTCTACCTATTGTATGATATAAATGCCATAAACACCTCCCTGGAAACCCTGGTTTAGCATCCGATGTACCTATTTTGGGGTCCCATATCAGGGAGATGATGATATTTGATGATATCAAGGGTATTTCACATCTTACCCAACCATATTTCAGGATGTGTACTGTAAACCATGTTAACCCCCATGTTTGATGGCAGGAGACGTGGGGCGAGTCACCGAACCAACACCCAATCTTCGGCCGAACCGTACGCTGGGCGCAGCTAACCCGGGACCAAAGGGTGGCCAAAGCCTGTGACAGCACAACTTCCCGTGTCAACTATGTGTTTTCTATGGTGATTTGGTGATTTCACCAAGAAAAATGATGGTGATTCAACCCATTTTAATAGCATGCGGATTTAATATGAGCAACGCTCAAATGGTGGTGTAACCAACAAAGAAGTGGATTTAACATGGATTTAGCCAACAAAAATGGGGGATATAGTGGTATATCATGGGGATATATCTGGAACGATGTCACGAGCTCAAAATGATCGATCTAGACTTGGCTTGGTGCATCGTCTAGACCGTGGAATCTCCATCTTTCTCCACCAGTACTGTTGCTTCACCTTCCTGTCAATACATATACCCTCTGGTAATTTAACGTAGCTATTGAAAATCACCATTTATAGTGGTTTTTCCCATTAAAAATTGTGATTTTCCATAGCAACGTTAAATTACCAGAGGGTATAGTATATGTATAATTTATGTTATATTATATATATGTCATGTCATGTCATGTAATGTCATGTCATGTCATGTAATGTCATGTCATGTAATGTCATGTCATGTCATGTCATGTAATGTCATCTCATGTAATGTCATGTCATGTCATGTAATGTCATGTAATGTCATGTCATGTCATGTAATGTCATGTCATGTAATGTCATGTAATGTCATGCCATGTCATGTAATGTAATGTAATGTCATGTGATGTGTAATGTCATGTAATGTCATGTCATGTAATGTCATGTAATGTCATGTAATGTCATGTAATGTAATGTCATGTCATGTCATGTCATTTCATGTAATGTCATGTCATGTAATGTCATGTCATGTAATGTCATGTCATGTAATGTCATGTCATGTAATGTCATGCAATGTCATGTCATGTCATGTTATGTAATGTCATGTCATGTGATGTCATGTCATGTAATGTCATGTCATGTCATGTAATGTCATGTCATGTCATGTCCTGTAATGTAATGTCATGTCATGTAATGTAATGTAATGTCATGTCATGTAATGTCATGCAATGTCATGTCATGTAATGTCATGTTATGTAATGTCATGTCATGTAATGTAATGTCATGTCATGTAATGTCATGTTATGTCATGTAATGTCATGTCATGTGATGTCATGTCATGTAATCTCATGTCATGTCATGTCATGTGATGTAATGTCATGTCATGTAATGTCATGTCATGTCATGTCATGTAATGTCATGTCATGTAATGTCATGTGATGTCATGTCATGTAATGTAATGTCATGTAGTGTCATGTCATGTCATGTAATGTCATGTCATGTCATGTCATTTCATGTAATGCAATGTGATGTCATGTCATGTGATGTCATGTCATGTAATGTCATGTCATGTCACGTAATGTCATGTGATGTAATGTCATGTAATGTCATGTCATGTAATGTAATGTCATGTAATGTCATGTCATGTAATGTAATGTCATGTCATGTAATGTCATGTCATGTCATGTAATGTCATGTGATGTCATGTCATGTAATGTCATGTCATGTAATGTAATGTCATGTAATGTCATGTCATGTCATGTAATGTCATGTCATGTAATGTCATGTCATGTCATGTCATGTCGTGTAATGTCATGTAATGTCATGTAATGTAATGTCATGTCATGTCATTTCATGTAATGTAATGTCATGTCATGTAATGTCATGTCATGTCATGTCATGTAATGTCATGTAATGTCATGTAATGTAATGTCATGTCATGTCATGTCATTTCATGTAATGTAATGTCATGTCATGTAATGTCATGTCATGTAATGTCATGTGATGTCATGTCATGTAATGTAATGTCATGTCATGTCATGTAATGTCATGTAATGTAATGTCATGTCATGTCATGTAATGTCATGTCATGTAATGTCATGTCATGTAATGTCATGTCATGTAATGTCATGTCATGTCATGTCATGTAATGTCATGTCATGTCATGTAATGTCATGTCATGTCATGTCAAGTAATGTCATGTCAAGTAATGTCATGTCATGTCATGTCATGTCATGTAATGTCATGTCATGTAATGTCATGTCATGTAATGTCATGTCATGTAATGTAATGTCATGTCATGTGATGTGTAATGTCATGTAATGTAATGTCATGTAATGTCATGTCATGTCATGTAATGTCATGTCATGTAATGTCATGTCATGTCATGTAATGTCATGTCATGTAATGTAATGTCATGTCATGTAATGTCATGTCATGTCATGTAATGTCATGTCATGTAATGTCATGTAATGTCATGTCATGTAATGTCATGTCATGTAATGTCATGTCATGTAATGTCATGTCATGCAATGTCATGTCATGTAATGTCATGTCATGTCATGTAATGTCATGTCATGTAATGTTAGTCATGTAATGTCATGTCATGTGATGTCATGTCATGTCATGTCATGTCATGTAATGTCATGTCATGTAATGTCATGTCATGTAATGTCATGTCATGTCATGTAATGTCATGTCATGTAATGTCATGTAATGTCATGTCATGTAATGTCATGTCATGTAATGTCATGTAATGTCATGTCATGTCATGTAATGTCATGTCATGTCATGTCATGTAATGTCATGTCATGTAATGTCATGTCATGTAATGTTATGTCATGTAATGTCATGTAATGTAATGTAATGTCATGTCATGTAATGTCATGTCATGTAATGTCATGTCATGTCATGTAATGTCATGTCATGTAATGTCATGTAATGTCATGCCATGTCATGTAATGTAATGTAATGTCATGTGATGTGTAATGTCATGTAATGTCATGTCATGTCATGTAATGTCATGTAATGTCATGTCATGTAATTTTCTTGTCATGTCATGTGATGTGTAATGTCATGTAATGTCATGTCATGTAATGTCATGTAATGTCATGTCATGTCAGGTCATGTCATGTAATGTCATGTAATGTCATGTAATGTCATGTCATGTAAAGTCTTGTAATGTCATGTCATGTAATGTCATGTCATGTAATGTAATGTCATGTCATGTGATGTGTAATGTCATGTAATGTCATGTCATGTCATGTAATGTCATGTCATGCAATGTCATGTCATGTCATGTAATGTCATGTCATGTAATGTCATGTCATGTCATGTCATGTAATGTCATGTCATGTAATGTCATGTCATGTAATGTAATGTCATGTCATGTGATGTGTAATGTCATGTAATGTCATGTCATGTAATGTCATGTCATGTCATGTAATGTCATGTCATGTAATGTCATGTCATGTAATGTCATGTCATGTAATGTCATGTAATGTCATGTCATGTAATGTAATGTCATGTCATGTGATGTGTAATGTCATGTAATGTCATGTCATGTAATGTCATGATATATCATATCTGAATGCGATTTCTAGACTCTGCCGAACACCAGGGTGTTTCAACACCGAGTCCTTGCGCCTCAGGGCGCTGGGCTTGGACAATGTCCACAATCTCTTAGAGGCCCTCCAGGTGCGAGTCGGACAACTATCAATCCCTTAGATGTCTAGAGTGGATTTATGGAGATGTCTAGAGTTTGTTGATGTTAGTTGGCTGGTTGTAAAGGAAAAATCTGAGTGCGCTGAATTTCTGGCTCATTGGTCCTCAGACGGGGTAAAGCGTGGTGAAGGGCATGTTTTTATGGGGAAATAGTCCTTCCGTAATCAAACATGGCTAGCTGGAAACTCCCTGAAAATGGAGGTTTCAATGGGAACATGATCTACAGATGGGCTATTTTTCCAGCAAACCCATCTTTGATTAGCGGAGGTGATATGCCTAGCTACAGTAGAAGTATCAATAAAAATTGCGTCTCTGCCGGGTAGGATGAGCACAGGTTGGCCATGTTGACATGGGACAGAATGAGCCGATCCAGTGTATTCCACTCGGGTGGAAAAGATGGCCCCCAGATCAGTCATCAGCTGGGTACCCCGCAACTTCGCGAAGGCGAACATGGAAGGGTACCCCATTTCCCCATTGAAATTGCAATGAATTGCCCAGAAATTTAGAATTTTCAGACACACCCAACTATCATATCAAGTTGGTTAGTGAAAAATCTAATGAACAATTGCCCTTAAATCCCATGACATCCACATAAAAATGGACTTCATTTTTGACCACTGGCCGCCAAGTTTTTGGGCTCAGGGATCCTCCCCATGTTTCTGTGTAGATATCATAGACTCATTGCATTGTACCACTATAGAATTATGATCTTACTGGAATATTAGATACATTACATATATATCATATAACACTGGAATATCACAATATTATGTATAGTGTATATATATATATTACATAGGTATAGCATCACATTTTTTTTTTGCACTTTTTCAGGACATATTTGTATCGCCAGGACATCCCCAACCAGCTGAAGAATGTCCAGAAGACCTTGAAAAAGCTGCAGCAGCAAAGTGGGGACACTCAGCAGATGGGAAAAGATGGGAAAAGATGGGAAAAGATGAGAAAAAAATGGGAAAAGATGGGAAAAGATGGGAAAAGATGGGACAAGATGGGAAAAGATGGGAAAAGATGGGAAAAGATGGGAAAAGATGAGAAAAAAATGGGAAAAGATGGGAAAAGATGGGAAAAGATGGGACAAGATGGGAAAAGATGGGAAAAGATGGGAAAAGATGGGAAAAGATGAGAAAAAAATGGGAAAAGATGGGAAAAGATGGGCAAAGATGGGAAAAGATGGGACAAGATGGGAAAAGATGGGAAAAGATGGGAAAAGATGGGAAAAGATGGGAAAAGATGGGAAAAGATGGGAAAAGATGGGAAAAAATGGGAACATATCATCTAGATAAATGGCTTGGAATGAAGGAAAACCTGGACTATCCTGGATCTGCTGAGTGATTTGGCTTCTTTCCTGCAACGGTGACTAGTCTGACGGGAATTCTTTGATCCGGCCCCTGGATCACCATTCCAAGTGGAAGAAGCAAGGGAAATCACGCCGAAACAGTCGCGAACCTTTCAGATTTCTGCAATACCGGGTTCTTCAAAAAAAAATCCCCGTGAACCCAAGGGGTACAGAGTTATTGGGCTTTTTTACGATAATTTGCCGGGAATAGATGATGTTGTTTCGGAGGGGAAGCCATGCAAATTCATGAAAAGGCCTTGAGGTTTGTGAAACGTGAAGTTTATTGGATGAGTACAACAATACAAATACTAAGTTACCAAGTTCATCCCAAATGTTTGATGACGAAGTTGTGTTTGGGTTTTACTGACTGGTTTAGCCCATTCTCAGTCAACTTACGTGGCTTTGGACGTGACAGAGGGCAGGTCTGAGATGGAGAATTCTGGGGGCTCCATCTCAGCTGCCCGAAAGAACGATGAGACTGATGAGACGTTGATTGAAAACGCGTTATGTATGTAGTGAAATCATGTCAAATCATGTCAAATCCATATTTTCGTTTGTTGAACACGAAAATCTTGTTGGTGAAATATGATTAAATTTTCATGGCCATGCTGGGGTCAAGCTTCGCGGGTTTGTCGCTTGTTTGCTCTCTATCTCTGCCAGGCGAGTCTTTACTGAAAGGGCAAGCTGAAAGTAAAGAGATGCTGAACAGGTTGGGTGATGCGGTGGGTGTTCCCGATGCCAAGAACATCCAGTGTCCAAATAGATCCAAATCTGTAGTAGAATGAGGTAAGATTGATTTGGTTGACTGGGGTACGAAATAGTTTATTACTTAGGGTTCAACATGGTTTAACAAACAAGTAAACTAAGACCAACATGTTGACAGCAAAAAATCCTCAAGTTAAACTACTGTATATAATATACTGTATATAGTCATAAACCGTGGCTGGGACCTGCTATGACATCAGGGACCACCTGTTTCAAAACGCAGGTTCGAACCGGGTGCAATGGTGGCGACCGCTGTGCCGATGTCCGGAATGGCGGCCAGCAATAGGCGCGTTGGTCAAATTGGGGGACACTCATTAAATGGCGATTGTTAAAAGTAAAACTGGTTGGTGGTTTGGAACGTTTTTTATTTTTCCATATATTGGGAATAATCATCCCAACTGACTAATATTTTTCAGAGGGATTGAAACCACCAACCAGAAAATGATGATAAACCATCCGGATTTTGGGCATACTTGACTTACGGTAACGACATTTAAATATGTGGAGGGTGGGCTAGACTGCGAGGCCCCGGAGGTAGTATGAAATACCAGTTCGTATATTTAAATGTAGTTACCATATGTTTAAATGAATTGGGTTCCATATGTTTTAATGGCCGGGCGGGCCAAGGAAATCCTTCCCGGAGGTAGTCTAAAATACCTGTTCGTATATTTAAAAGTCCGTATATTTACATAAATGTAGTTACCGTATATGATTTTAGGGAGTTAAGGTGTTCCAAAATAACATTGTATGGTGGTGTAATGACAGATTCGGATGGCTTTGTTTCTATGGGTTCATGATGTACCAACATATATCAACACGGTTTATCACGAGGACAAGACGAATTTAAACAAATCGCTGGGAAATGGCTTTGCTGTAGCACTTTATTCAACCTTCAGCGGTGGGAACAGAACTTGAGGATATAAAGGCAGATGTTTTTTTTATTTTTTATTTTTAACTAGGAATTGTGAACATGGATTAAGAATCCCGCTCTCAACCAACACGAACTAAACCACACTGTCCCCATTTTGGTTGGGATCCGCATTTAGGAGGATTTCAATTTTTCATTTCCTTTAGATTATTGGTTGAAATCCACACTTGTGTTCCTCAAATCCCTATTCACAAATTCCAAGTCTTGGTTGGGTATTGTCAGTTCTTGTTTAAGTTTTTTCGTCACATCCCCATCATGATATTCCTATAAAATCCCATTAACTAACTATGCATAAAACCCATCAAAATCCCGTTAGAATCCCATGAACATCCAACCTGTCAGGCTGTCTCCCACACATCCCACACCGGGCGGCCTCCCACAACGGCCTGGGGTCGCTTGGTCAAAGCACTGCACCACTTTTTTTGCCATTTGAAAACGCATGGACGACTGATGGAAGCTTCTTAAAATCCATGGAGTTTCATGGATTTTCATGGAACATGTTGGATGTGCTGAATATTTTTCAGCGATCTTTTGCTGATTAGACTCCTGCAACCAGGAGTTCAGACCCCATTTTTGACCGGTATTTGGGTTTGTCTGAAAATAGTGTGACCCAAAATCCCATAGTTTATCATCAGGTTCCCAATCAAACTGCCAATTTTGTGGTATGCAAACCAAACCCGTGTTTATTTTTTTCGGTTTCTCCTTGTATTGTCTTTTGGACTCAAACATTTTGGATCATTTGAGGATTTAATGAAGCCTACAGGCAAATGTATCAGTTTTTATTTTTTGAATTTTTACTCGTAGCTCCCGAAATCAAGGGATATCCTGACATGTTCAACGATTTGTTCGATTTGTTCCATCATGGGAATTCGTTGAAGGGAACATCTACAGGATCCCCGTTATATTTGGTGCAAAAAACCAGGGTTTCAAGCATAGAGTTTCCCTTGGTTCCCTTCAATCCATTGAAAATCCATTGAATATCATTTCTATTGGTTCACAGCCCATGTTTATTGGTTAAATCAGTGAAATCACAACTTTTTCGTGTCGAAATGTGTCGAATCACCATTTTTGTTGGTTTTTTATATCACCATCTTTGGATCATCCACGCCACCAAGTTAGCGCGGCAAGCATCGCGCGGGCAACTGGATCAACCAGATAAGGTGCGCAGCGAACCGGTGTTTCTGACTCCAAAATGTCGGCAGGTGAGTATTGCTGGTGCTGCCAGGATTGTTTTTGGATTGTTTTTTGCTGATGCCATTGGTGCTGCCAGGATTGTTTTTTGCTGATGCCATTGATGCCATTGATGCCATCCATGATTGTTTGGTTGCACCATGTTGCAAAAGTTGCCTCCCTCCTTTGTCTTTGAAATCTTTGAAATCTCAATTCTTGCTTCTAAGTTCTAACTATTTCTAACGAAATTATAGCATTTTAATACATTTGATCACCATTCGGAGCGTATTTCACCCAACTCATTAGGAATTCATATCTGCCAGTTGCCGGGAGCTCTACCAACTCCTGGCGGCGATGGAGGCGCAAAATGTTTCTGCTGACATTTTTCCCCATTTTTTTCGGTGGGGAAATATGGCATGACCCGGTGGATTTCGAGGTTTTTTTCCTGGAAGCAGATTTGAAAAAGGCGCAGACAATAGAAAATCATGGTCATAATTCTTGGAATAGGGCAAAACCATTTTTAGAAGAGAAATAAGTTGAAGCAGAATACATCAGAATACTAGAGTTACTGGAATTCAACTAATTTCTCATTTTTTAATAGTTGAACCACAATTATGGGTTCAACGATCTTTAATTTTGTTCCTGGAATTGTGGGGTAGTTGGCAAGCTCATTGATCTTACATCGGATCGTGTTCCGCCTTTTCGGGGGTAGAAACTATGCGAGGTGCATGAACTTCACCCACTCGTCTATTGGAAAAACACACGTTTTAAATAGGTAAATCATCATAAATCATTTATAAATGGGTAAATAACCAGAGGGTATCAATTTGTGATGGGTATGTTATTGAAACCGCCAGTGCATGGTTCATCCGCTTGTGTTGAATTGTGATGCCAAAGATATTTCCAGATTTTTTGATGGATCACACATCAGCCCAGCAACCGGATTATGGTTATATATGGCTTATTACCAAATTGTAATGATACATCCCATTCAGATGAATCCCATTTTCCACAGTAGTATAGTAATCGCAACACCATTTCATGATTGCCGATTAATGACTGGTTAGAATTTTGTTTGTTAATCATATAAAATCATGAACGTTTTCTCATCACGTAATACAATGTACCATTGTATAATCCCATGATTCTTCCACTAAGATAATGATTACACCATATTACACCCATTAATAATCTCGTAATATTAGTTATATATATATAGTTCCATACAACATGAAGCAATCATTAATATTCATGACAGGTTATAATAATAGGTTAATGATATTAACCAGTGTTTTAATCCCATGATGGGATTAACATTTATAACTATAACCACAACATTATTTCACATTATAGAATCAATTGTCTTTGATCATGAATCCCATGCAAATGATATCATTCCCAGAAAATGATTTTGGAAAAATCCCATCCCATGAATGAAATCATTAACCTCCCATCCCACATTTTTGACCCCAGAAAAAACGAAATCGCCTGCGACCAAATCCCAAGGCATCATCCGCCGCACCAGCGTAGCCATCGGGATGGGAGGCGGGCAGCGACAGCCTGTGATGATGTCACTATTGGAAACGGTGAACAAAAAAGGAACAAAAAGCCATAGGTCCATAGGTATGGCACAAATTTTTCCAAGGGTACATAGCAACAATGATGACACATGAAGTTTTCGATCTTTTTGGGGTTACCAGAAGTTAGATTTATATGAGTTTGAAACGAAGAACCGGGGGATTTGAGCAACGGGTTGACACGAATGATGATGGCGGGACGCAATGGGACATGGATACCCGTCATCATTCAATAGCCCACCAGCTGGTCAGCTGGGAATTTCAGGACCCTAAAATGGAGCTACTGTAGGAGGCCATATTTTGTGGGGTTATTCCCTTACATAGCTCTGACACAGTCCTTATATATACATATATGATTATATATGTATATATGATAGGTACCTCCAATTTAGGTTCCTGAAATGGCCACTGACGTCATTCTCTTCATCTTTTCTTTCTGGACGCAGCCGCAGCCGTACGGCGCGCCGCGCCACGTAAGGCAATAACTTGCCCTTCTTCGGCAGATCTGCACCTTGGTGGGTATAAACCCTCCGAGGCCTTGTAGGTTTATGGCATTGGGTTTACCATATGAATAGGATATGATTGGGATATTCATGGGATGGGATTTCTGAGATCACAAAAAAAACAGAAAATGGAAAATTCATGTCAACCCTGGATTAACAAACCCCGTAAAAACAGCTGATTAATTGGGAGGGTACCATAAAAATTCGGTATCCGATGAAATGACTGGAGGAGTACCCCCCTGGTTGACATCACTGGGGATCCGCCCATTTGATGACTCCGAGCTGTTTTTTTTTTTGCTGCGTGGTTAAAAAACCCCTGCTTGGTGATTATAGAACGTTATTCTGAATCCATTTTTTTTTGGGATTTGACCTATCAACATATGGGGTACCCTCTGGTAATGACTAACATAGCTATAGAAAATCACCATTTTTAATAGGTAAACCATCTATAAATGGGCCGTTTTCCATAGCTATGTTAGTTTACCAGAGGGTAACTGGAAATAAAGGATAAATGATGGTTGTTTGATGATTCGTCGGGGGGGTTATGCAATCCAATGTGTGTGAGCTATCAGAATGGAAAGACAGAGAGTTTTGAACACTGCTCACATGATGATGATCTAAATCATCAATAAAACACAAATATCCTATGCAAAATAAGATTGGAATCAAGCAGACATGTTTAGACTACGATCGTGTCTACTCCAGATTATTTTCCTTAGCTATGGTTCTCCGTTGCTGATGCAATGCCGATAGGAGGAAAACCATAATGATCTTGTGACATACCTTAGGATCTCCCGACTCAAGCCCGCTTCTTGCATGTTTGGTGGCTATGTCCCGTTTTCTTTTCTGCAGTGCCTTCCTTGTTGGGTGATAGTATTTCCACAGAAAGAATCAACATTTTTGAGCAGATACCCTCCGGTACTCAAACATGAACATGGCGAAACTCCCCCATGATTTTCCCATGAAAAAACCTCCATTGGGATTTTCCAGCCATGGACACCTACCGGGTATGCCATGTATGCCATGGCAATGGGAACCTCCAGGGATCCCATTGTGAATTGGTGAAGGGGATTGGGGATTGCCGGGGATTATTAAAACTGATGTCACTGCGTTGGGTCCAAAAAATATCCATAGAACATCTATAGATATCTATAGAACATCCCCAAAAAACATGCATGACTACAACAGACCCATAGAACGTCAATTAAAAAACTGCATAACAAATCCATGGAATGTCCCTTAGAAAAACTTTAAACACACACATATATATATATATATATACATTGTATACCTTCAACATATCCATTAGAAAAACATCATATCCATCTAAATTTACCCGCAAACAGATGCAGAATGACCCGGGGCGATCCATGACTCCGAAGGCCGCTGCTCCCGCGCCACAAATGCAGATGCAGCCGATGCAGATGCAGCCGATGCAGATGCAGCCGATGCCGATGCCGCAGATGGTGCCGATGGCACCGATGCCGCAGATGGGCATGACGCTTGGGTCCCGAAGGGCCGGTTGAGCACCTTGCTGAGCTTTTCCTAAACTGATGGGGATCTGAACAAAAGCCTGAAAACGAAAAGATATTGGGATTTGAAGGCAAACAGTCGAGATTTGACCAGCGAGTACTTGGGACTTAAATATATTGAAGCAGGAAAGATAGGAAAAAAAAGTCTTCTGAATGGTAAAGTGAGCTAGTCTTTTCTTTTGGATAGCTCGCCATAAATGAGGAAATACAACTTCCATATCTAAGTCATTAAGGCTAAGGTGGGCCATGTTTTCCATTGAACCCACTAAACAGTAGTTGTCCATTAAACAGATTGTTTCCTACCATATGGATGGTATTGTTTACTTTTTCCATGGAAACTGGAGGGGACATATTCCAAGAGTCCTTCTATTTGTTTGAGCATGACTCTACAATCGTCCAGCTTTGGGCATTGAATTGTGACCCATACCTTAAGTATTAAACCTCTTCCAGTAAAGCGATGTGGCAGTCCATGAGTTCTCCTGTCTGCAGTGAATCTTGACCTGATATCCCAACCCAAAATCATCATATATTCTCCAACTGAAAAGGTTGCGCCCAATGTTTCACCACATTTCCCTCCAAGAATTATTCGGGTATGTCTGAAAATGGGGTATACCCCCAATTATAGCCATTTAGTAGGGATAATGATCATTAACCATTGGGTGTAGGGGTACACTATTTTCAGACAAACCCATTCACCACTATTAAATCTCCAGTCATCTCCAGTAAATTGACACGTCGACCCCTGGCAGAACCGCCGCAGGATGGGCGTGGTGCCCGTCCCTGGCGCTCCCGCGCCACCGGCGCCGGCCACGGGCACGCGACGCGCCAGTCTGGCTTTTGGCTCGGTGCAGGGAGCTCCGGTGCCTCGACAATTTGGGGATTTCACCGGCAAAGATGGTGATTTTATCAGAAAAAAATCGGGCGATCTCACCCAGAAAACTGGGATTTCACCGGCAAAAAAGGTGGGTGAATTCACCCAGATGGCATTTCCCCATGGATTTCAAGCAGAGCTACTTTTTCACGTCTATCTTCGGAATGATGGTTAGTCAGGGGATGATTCCTCGGCAGGAAACTCAGCCATTTTCAGGTTAGTGAACTATTGGAATTCAGATGATTTCAGCCAGATATCTTGGTGAATTTTTCTCTGAATATTGGATGAGAGTCTTCTCCATATTGATCATCACCCAACTATGATGGTTTATCATCCAACTAGCTCCAACTAAGATATGCAAATTTGTTGTTCAACCACAATGTGGTAAAGCCTATAATAAATCATCTCCAATGTCAGACATGGGCCCCACTTCCAAACCCTCCAATCTTGGAGTTTTTTTTTTGTTGGCCTTTTCAACCATACTTGGGCTGATTGGTTGAGATGATAAACACATTTTTGGGGATGGGTTAAACCAGCCAACCAGATAAAACCTGGGGGGTCAAACAACCAGAATTCACCAAAACAGGGTGATTCGAAGCAGGGAAAACTTAGATTTACAACTGCAAACTGGCACAGTTTTGTGCGGATTTGATCAAGCAAACATTCTGATTTATTTGGGATGTTGTTGGGCATTGACTATGGTGATTTGAACCAGGACAATTGGGAGTTTGCAATCCCCGAAAAGATCTGGACAGATTTCAACAGTTGAATTTGTTTCGAAAACCATTTCATCGGAGTTGAATGAATGGGATATTGCATACGCGGGGAATAAAATTGTGATCAAACTATTTTTTACTTTTAGCAATGCATAATGGATTTCAACAAAAGAACGTTGGATTTAACTAGGAAGTATGTATAGAGATTTAGCCAGCAAAGATAGGAATTTCAAAAAAAACACTATTTCACTAAGAAAAAATATATTTTCCTGGACTACAAATTGATGAATATCAGATTTTCAACAGCAAACAATACGTGATTCGACCAACCAAATTGGATTAACTTGAACCGTGATTTGCTGATCAAAAGGGGGACTTCTGCAGCAAAATTCGTTTTTACCAGCAAAACAATGGGATTTGAACAGCAAACATTGCGACTCGACCATATTTACTAAACATTGGGATTCAACAAAAAAGGTTATATACGAGGATCAACGGTTCATCGGTGGACGAACATTGATGAACTGGTGCATGATGGTGACTTGTACTAGAACCCCAATCAGCAGGTGGCGTGTCAACTCGTACTTGATGATTACTTAATCTGGTTGGTGGTTTCAAACATTTTTTATTTTCCCTTTCATATATGGGATGTCATCCTTCCCATTGACGAACTCCATCATTTTTCAAGATGGTTATTGCACCACCAACCAGGTGAAACATTGACCCCTCCTCTTGGTACTGACCCATTCGTTAGGCGCAGCAATTGGCTCCGGTGATACATCAGATCCCTGCCGCGGTGTTGCCGGCCTTTCAAGAAGGCTCAGACGAGGCACGACTGGTGTGAAGGTGAGTTGGGAACAGGGCAACCCCCCCGGAAAAAAGGGGATCCCTGCCAATGTATATGGTCCATATGGTTTTATCATGTTTTATCTGAAACTAGCTATGCAGCTATACATTACTCGAAGTCTGTTGCTTGATCATTGTTCTGTTCTTGTTTTCAATGGCCATTTTGGGGGCGCAAAGTGTGGTTCGTATCACCAGATCCCCTCAGGACGAAGAAGGCTTCTCAGACTCCTCTGATGATGAGAAGGGCGGCAAGGGCAGCAAGGGCAGCAAGGATGGGGCGCTTTGGATTGGGTCTGAAATTGCTTGGAGTATGTTGGAGTCCACAAAAGTGGGGAAACTCATCTTTCGAATTGTTGAACTGACTATTCTAACTATGGTGCCCCATAGTTAGCGAAGTTGGTTTGCACTGGTAACTACTGTAGTCTATAGCCAGGGTTTTATGGTTGATATGATACATCGAACTAGTCAATAGTGTGTAAAGCAACACAGATTTCACTGGGTGACACCACCTTGTATGGAATATTCCCATGATATCCCATGATATCCCATGATATCCCCAGGACCTACCACCAGTTTTCATGGGTTAAATCAGAAATTCACCAACGAGGGAGTTGGAAATGGCAGGAAGAGGATCCGGACCTGAAATCGCCCAACCTGAATGGAGTGCTGAAAAACAGCGGGGGTGATAGCCCGCCGGAAGCGCAGGTGGCTGGGTAGAAGATGGCTGGGGAGAGGAAAACTCGGCTGCCGTAACTTCATGAAGTTGTTGGATCTTGTTGGTAGCTTCACATCTTCGAACATTTTGAAGCCAACAATTGGGATGATACCAACTGACCATGACTGTGCAGGCTGAAATAAACCGCTCATCTTTGGCTGTACTAGCTGCACAGCTAATTCAGGAGATCGAAGATTTGCGGTTTGCTTTTATGAATACAACCATCATCACGGTTAACGGTGGTTGGCTCAGGCCTGGGAATGGTCTGACGGTATGTTTCGCCAGGTGTTTCTGGAGAAAAGCACCGGAGACAAATAGCACTTAAGATGCGAAGGTATAAGTTTGGTGCTGCATCTGGATTTCATGGAAAACATTGCCGTGCTATATTTAGTGAAATTTCCAAGCATCTTGGGGATAGCATACGTTTTCGTTCTATGTAGAACCTACATTTCTATCCGACTATCCCGAAAAGCGTGGCTTGATGAATAGGGCTTTCGTATCACGGTTTAAAATCAAGTTGCTCGAAGCGATGCGAATCCAACGTAGATACCATCCAGAATCAAAATATGGCTTGGTGGAAGACCGGTATCCAATTGCAGATGACTTTCGTTGAAGAATTGAAGTTTCCCAGCCAGCCATGTTTGTCTAACAGAGGGCACTATACAACCATTTGCTGAGTGGAGGCTGTGATATCCCAATGTACTGTACCCCAGCTACAGCGGAACCGTTAGATAAGAACCGATTAAGAATTTTCCAGCCTACCCTGGGGTTCTTAAGTGCTATAGGTGGAACATATGGGAATTATGAACGAGGGTACCCTCAAGTTCTTAACGGGTTAGTTCTTAAGGGGTTCATATGGTGAGGGTTTTGCAAATTCATTTTGGCGTGGCATTAGGTTGCAAAGGAGGCGGGGGGAAGAAAAAACTTTTCAGGTCCCGAAAAGTTTTTTCAGGTGCCGGCATTTCAAACAGAGCTATAGGCCAGATATTCCACCATGCCAGGGCTCGAAAGTTTTTTTTTTGGCGTGTATTAGGTTGCAAAGGAAGCGGGGGGAAAACAAAAATTAGGTCCCGAAAAGTTTTTTTAGGTGCAGGCACTCCAAACAGAGTTATAGGCCAGATATTCCACCATGCCAGGGCCTGACAGTTTATTTTGGCGTGTATTAGGTTGCAAAGGAGGCGGGGTGAAGGAAACAACTTTTCAGGCGCCGAAAAGTTTTTGTTTGATTTAGGGCCCGGAAACAAGGCAGCACAGGCAAGACAAGCCAAGACAAACCAAAGACAAGCCAAGGGCAGTATCTGAAGTCAGATACCTCTAGTGAGTCCGGTTGCTCCGGCTGGTGTCGGGCTCAGGCTGTTGTGCTCAGCCTTGCAAGCCGTAGTCGGGTTCGAGTCCTTATGGGCGCTGGTGATTTGCTTGCTTCTTGCGTGCTTCCTTCTTGCTTTCATATATCAATAATCAATGTTTGGTGTATTGACACCCGTTAAAGCGGAATAAGAACCAGTGGCTAGAATTCCAGGGCACCCTAGGGTTCTTATTTCAATTAGTTGACAGACAGGGCTGAATCCAGCAATCCAGCCATGAAGTTCTTATTGCAGTAGGTTCTTAAACAGTGGTTTCACTGTGCCCCAGTTACCTAAGAACATTGCATTGACCTCCCGCCGATTCACGCGAATGGGTGGTTAGTATTGCTTGGTGAATTACCCTCTGGTTATTCAACGTAGCTATGGAACATCACAAGTTTTTAATCGGTAAATCATGATAAAGAATCGCTTAAAAACAATCCATAGCTATATTAAATAACCATAAATAACCAGAGGTACTCCAATTTGCCAATTTTTGCAAGTGGTTCTATCGCTACTGGTACTATAGAACTATTTGCGCACTGGATCGACTTCAATCAAAAAAAGAGTTCTAGCAGCGATAAGTTGAACTTCCTCCCTTACCACATTTTTTTGGCTTCACTATGGTTAGTTGTATATATCAACATATCATATAGTATCTATCGAGTGGTTATGAGTCAAGTTCTACATATCTATCCATTCTGAAAAAGTGGTAAAGTGGTCCTATTTGTATACATACATATGATACATATGTATTATAATGTACAATGGATGCAATGTATATTTTTCTATCATTGGATATCATTGGATATATATATGTATTATCCCACAATATTTCTATCCTTGGATACATATCTATTATCTATTATCTGCTATCTATTATCTATTATCTATTAATTATCTACTATCTATTAACTATGTGGGATATGTATATATATATGTGATATCCTTAAACCCACAAGCTGTCCAGTTCCAGCGCGACGCTTCAGCCACGCCCCGACGCTTCACGCCCAGGTGGGTCCTGTCAGGCCTCCGACGGTGAAGAACGTGCAGCTGAAGGTTGCGGAGGCCGCAAAAAGGAAATCTGAAACTTCTCTATCTCAATGGATTGGTTAAAGGGAAATCTTAACTGGAAACCATGATTTTTGCCAACAATTTGCAGGAGGTTTCCTGCAGATTTTCCCTTAAACCAATCCATTGACTATCTAATCTGATGAAATGATCTAATCTGATCTGATGTAAGCTTAGTAACTAGCTCAGTTTAGCTTACTTCAGATTAGTTTAGCTTAGTTTGGCTGAGCTGATCTACCTGCCTGCCTACCTGCCTACCTACCTGCCTACCTACCTGCCTACCTATACCTGCCTACCTACCTGCCTACCTATACCTGCCTGCCTACCTACCTACCTATCTAATCTATCCAATCTATCTAATCTATCAAATTTATCCATATCTATCTAATCTATTTGTATCTATCTATATTTATGCAATTATATCTATCTGATCAATCTGATTTATCTATATAATCTATCCAAACTATCTAAACTATCTAATCTATCAATCTTCAATCTATGAATCAATCAATCTACCTATCTAATCTATATATCGTATCTTATCGTATCTTATCGTGTCTTGTCGTATCTTATTGTATCTTACCGTATCGTATTTTATTTTATCGTATCTTATCTGATCTTATCTGATCTTATCGTATCTATCTTACCTTACCTTACCATTCCTTCTCTTCTCTTTCTCTTTCTTTTTGGTTATCTTATCTTATCCCGTCTATCCTATCTATCTTATCCAAGTTAGCTATGCCACCTATGTTATCTATGTCATCTATGTTATCTTTGTCTTGTATGTTATCTTTGTTATCTATGCTATCCATACCAACTATGTTATCTATTTTATCTAGGTTGTCTATTTTATCTATGCCATCTATGTTATCTATGTTATCTATGTGAACTATCTTGTCTAATTATAATTATGTTATCTACGTTATCTATGTTATCTCTCTGTCTGTCTATTTGTCCCTCCCTCCCTCCCTCCCTCCATTCACCACGAGGTCACTACGGAGAATGGTTGGTAACAGGAATTATCCCCACATGGCATTGTTGCAGGTTGGTGAATTATCATATTTTAGCCATATGCGTATGTAGATATTTGTACACGTATTGTGTTCACTACGTATGATTTGCGTTGTTCAAGTTTTTGTTCGCGATCTTCAAGAAAAGATCTATCAGAATATACACCTTTTTGAGTTTTTCTGATGTTCCAAGACCTTTCCTTCAGGAAAACGATGACGACGACTCGTCACTCGGCTGCCAGTTGGGATGCAATCAAAGGATGGAGAAACGATGCCCCACGGGGTTCCCATCCTTTCAGAGAAACTCATGATGTGCCATGGTGAAAACAGTGGGGATCCCATGGTCAATGCCAGGGGATGATCATCAGTACAAGAGGGATTCATATACCCTCTGGTAAACTAACATAACAATGGAAAATCACCATTTTTAATGGGAAAACTCACTATAAATGGCAATTTTCAATAGCTATGTTAGTTTACCAGAGGGTACCCAAAGGATCCTAAAGGATTCTAGTTGTGGGATGACCACACCCAATTGATCCCATGTAACTTGACCATGGTACAGTAGTGACCCATGTAACACATAAGAAATCGTGACCCATAGGTGGGAAAGTCTATCTTTGGGGAACATATTAAATGAATAGGAACTGAAGTTCAAAGCCTGGCTGGGGGATGTACGTGATGTACATGGACATAGTTATGGAAGTACAAAGACAGGGAAAAGAGTCAACCAGTGGATGACACAAACAGGTTCTGTGTATCGCTGCTCCATCCTCAACTTTACCAGACACAGGTGGTATAAACCATTCCGAAGTAGAGGTTGATGGCACAGTTTACCACTGTTTACCCCTCAACCAGAATCATTATTGTGTTACCTTTTATCCCCATTTGATGGAGTTCAACCCATTTGGCGTTTTTATTTTCACATTCCACATGAACAAATGACTTATTTTTTTGTCCTACATTTTTTAAAAGGGCTTACTTATATGGATTTCATACATACGCCACTAAAATAGTTCAGCTAACGCCATTGGCCGGGGATCGAGGTTTTCGTCGAGGTCTGGAAGTGAGGCCAGGGCTCGGCTGAGGGAATGATGGGCGAAGCTTTGGTGGCTGGTTGTTCTTAAATGGGGCTTCAAAATGGTTAGCATATGAAGATATATGAAGATTCAATATTCAATATTCATTCTTGGTGTCAACATATTTTACAAAAGGGAGAATTTGCTATGTCATTTTTGTTCTTCTAAAGAACAGTTCTGGATTTACCAAGTCTGACCTGAGAAGCAATACAACCAGCATGTTGCTGAGATGGATGCACCAACAGGAACGATCATCTGGATCCCTATCTCCTTGCATTGATGTAAGAGAACATCCAGCGGAGACCATGTCTGGTTGGTGGTTTGGAACATGAATTTTTGTTTTTCCATATATTGGGAATTTCATCATCCCAACTGACGAACTCATAGGTTGAAACCACCAACCAGATGTATGTGACCCAATCATTTTACCATGGTTTCCATCGAAAGTTTTCCTGCACATCAATCCAGTGATGACCTTGCCCATCATTTGGTGGATGCGGGAAGGGAACAGTTTGTGCGAAGCACCAATGTTTGGAGGTCATTTTACCATCCCAAATTGCTCCATGATGCTACATGTATGGTTTTTCTCTATGTGTTTGCATATTTATTCGGACATGACCGGGTCATATGTTACCTCCATGTATGCATCATGGATATCTATGTATGCTACATGTAGCTAATATATATATATATATCTATAATTATATAATTATATATATACAACTATATATAATTACATATATATATATATACCTATATATAAGTATATATAAAATTATATATATATATTCTACTTATGTAATAATATATACATATATACATATACTGTTGAAATTTACACCTCCACATAATTGTCACACAACCACTGTGTTGTATGTATATTTTGGCTCAAGGGTAAAACAGTTGAGTGTGCTGTTTGCTGTGCATATTTTGTGAAAGTGGTAGCGGAGCTCTGGCTCCGGTAAAGGGCTCCTTGGGTAAGTGATACCAATGGCTACCCCGGAAGAGCAGTTAGCTCAGTTGGCTGATCGAGTGAATCAGCTTGGACAGTTGCTCCAACAGAGCCAAGAAAGGAACGCTGTGTTGGAAGGCCGCATGCAAGGATTGGAAGCGGCAGGAGCACAGATGGGACCCGCAATTCAAGCACTAGCAACAGCACAGACAGAAGTCGCAAACGCAATGAAGAAAGATGAAAAGAAAATTAACCTAGTGGACAACAGAGGAATTGGAAAGCCGGATAAGTTCAGTGGTAAAGAGAGTGAGAGCTACCTCAGATGGAGAATCAAGACAGAGTCATTCATGTTTTCAGTGTTCCCGGAAATGGACCAAGTACTGAATTGGTGTGAAGAACAGGAAAGCACTGTGACGGAAGCTCGGGCCCAAGCTGCTTTCGGCGTGGGCACGGCTAGTCCAGTGGATGACCTGAAGGATAAGAGCGCGCAGATTTATTCTGTGTTGCAGAATCTACTTGAGGGAGAACCGTTCATGAATTTGAGGAATACAGAAAAGGCCAATGGACTTGAGGACTGGCGTCGTATCAATCGCCGATACGATCCATCTACTGGTGCCAAGAAATCGGCACTCTTGAGGCACATCTTGAATCCAGGAAAATGCAAGCTTGAGGAACTCAGTGAGAGGATTGAAGGATGGATGGAACTTGTGAACCGCTACGAGAGCAGAAAGGACAGCGCAGGAAATAGACAGAGCATAGCTCAGGACATCAAGATGTCGATCTTGGAGTCCATGTGCCCTCCAGAGGTCGAAAGACACCTACAACTTAACAGAAGTCGTTTCTTGGACTTCGATGACATGCATGCCGAACTCGCCAGCTACCTTGAAACGCGAGTTGGAGTGAAGCTCAAAATTGAGTCACTTGGCAGCAGACCGAAAGGTGAAGATGACATGGACATTGGAGGATTTGGCAAAGGTAAAGGCAAGAAAGGTGGAAAGGGTTCCAAAGGTAAAGGCAAACATGGAGGCAAAGGCAAGGCCAAAGATAAAGGAAAAGGTAAGTCGAGTGGAAAACATGGAAAACATGGTGGCAATTCTGGCTCAAGCCTGTCCGTGGTTTGCTTCAACTGCGGAAAGGCTGGACATTACCAGAAGGATTGCAGGTCACCTCCCAACAACAGCAACAACAACAAAGGTAAAGGTAAAGGAGGAAAATCCAAAGGAAAAGGGAAACAAATCAGCAGCATGGAACAACAGGGTGAACATCAGGAACCTGAAAGAGAAGCCGAAACCGGCTATCTCGAGCTTGCCATGCTGACGGCAGTCTCGGACGATGAACCGATACCGGGAGAAGTCGAAGTACCGGATGTTGGATTGCCAGATGCAACTCGAGTAGAAGCAAGGAAAAGGTACCGAAGACTGTTGAGAGAAGGAGCTGCGATGACATGGAGGGACATCCCGATCACAAGGTACAGACAAAGACTTGCGGCATCAGTTGAAGCTGCAAGCAAGTACCGTGGATCGGTTGCCCAGTCAATGGCTCAGATGGTGTTCCGCCGAGAAGGACTCGAAGATGCCTGCAGTTCATGTGACGATCGTGCAGGGCCATCTGCAAGTGCAGCAATGGACTATGCTGCAAGGAAGTCTGCCCACGGAGTTGGGTCGGCTGGAACTGGCCAGACAACTTCGGGGATCCGAGAAGAAGAAGATGAGGATACTGTGGACGATACCACAGATTCTGAAGCTGAAGATGAAGTCGAAGATGAAGCCGAGGCTGAGACTAAAGAACCAGAAGAGCCTGATGAAGATCCAGGGTATGAAGCTGAAGATGACGAGGATGTCGAGGCTGTGATGGAAGGATACCTTGATGAAATGAGAGAGTACGACATGGATCAGGAAAGAGAGAACATCAGGAAGATTCTGAACGAAGCCAAGGAATTCCTCACAGCTGAAAAGGACGACAATGAAGTCCAGAGGCGATTGGAGTTGGAGAAGTTGGCAAAATCGCCGGAGAAGGATGAGAATGAAATGGAAGCAAAAGATGATGAGAAACCAGACACAAAGGAAACGACCCTGCCTGATTCAGGCAGAGTTGTGACCCCGATGACTGGCGTTCTCATGCATCGTACCATTGAAGGACTTCAGGTTGGCCGATTGCACCATGAGAAACGCAAGTTGGCAGAAATGATCGAAAATGCTGAAGATGAGGAAGAAGTTCAAAGACATGAGAAACGCATCGCAGAAATTGAAGAGGAGTTGAAGCAGTTACGCAACTACATCTCGAAACAGGATAAGAGTACCAGAGAAAACCCTGTGAAGATGCTGACCAAAGAGAACCTGACGGATCAGCAGTGGCATGATGCGCGCTACTTCAGGGCTATCGCAGCAGGAGTTCCGCACAACGAAGCATGGCGTAAGGAGAAAGCACGACGCCGAGCTATCATCCACCGACAGCAAGGTGTGGGTGAAAGAGCTAAAGTTCGAAAGGAACTACATGCGAAGTGGATCAAGGAGTATAGAACCAGAGCACTGAAAGAGGAGGAAAAGGTACCGGCAGATACGGAACAGATCGGGTACCAAGGCATGGAGACTGAAGTGATCAAGGAAGGTGAGGAACCAGGAAGTTCAATGAAGGTTTCCAGTGGAATGTCAAGAACGGGATCCTATAAGGAAAAGAAGGTGTTCAGACCCCTCACCAAGGAAGAGTTTGAGTCATTCCGACAAGAGACAAGGGACGACGAACGAAAGGTGATGGAGAAAGGTCGAACCGAGATGAGAACCAAGAAGAAGACCAAAGGAAAGACAGTTGCGAAGAAGCAGAAGAGGAACAGAAAGAGAAAGGAAAGGAGACAGCGTACCACAGCCTGTCGAGCGTTGGCATGGGAAGGAGAATGCAAAAGGGATCCATGCCCGTTCTCTCATGACCAGGCTGTCATCGATGGACTGAAGGACCAACATTGCAGATTCTTCTAACATGGTTCGTGCAGGTATGGATCGAAATGCAAGCTGCTCCACGATGACAAGGAGATGGAATTGGTACGCATGGAGAAGAAGACGAAGCAGATCATTTCTCAGCTTGAAATGCGACCACCACCAGCACCAAAGAAACGAAGAGCTGAGGAGCCAAAGGAAGAAGAGGTAAAGACTGAAGGAGAAGATGAGGCAATGTCAGAAAGACCTCATGAAGATGTCATGGATGATCCAGAAGAAGAGAGAGAGCCTAGCGTGACCACGGAGATCAAAGGACTTCGGGAGTTCGAGAATCGCACTGAGGACCAGATGTACATGAACGCACCATGGAGAAGTCCGGAATTCTTTGAGAACAAAGGCAAAGGCGACAAAGGTCGCGGAAAGGGCAAGGCAAAGAGAGGAAAAAGGAAATCCGGCCGAGCTGCGTCAAGTGCTGCAAGGGTAGATGCAGAAGATGATGATGATGCAGTAACCACTAGGACTGAAGATGAGATGGATGATGTTAGAATGACCAATGCTGAACGTAGAGCAGCAAATCCTGGGGACGATGATGAAACCCATGGAATCATGAGTTGGGCGGATTTGAACTCTTTCGATTCGAACGAGTTTGAACCAGAACTCCAGGGTTTGTATAAACATGTGGTTGTCAATTTTGACACTGGAGCAGCGGTTTCAACCGTACCGCTGAAAGAGTTTGGAAGGTATGCGTTCGGTGAAAAGCAGTCCACCCGCTACAAAACAGCCTCAGGTGAACTACTTTCTGACCATGGCCAAGTACAGCTGTATGGCAGTGACGCCAACTACACGGACAAGAGCTTGAATGCGAGGGTGACCGATGTGCACCGCATCTTGGCTAGTGGGTCGGAAGTGTGTAAGAGGAATATGGTAATATTGGACAACCAGGGTGGTAACATAGTTCCAGCTGGGTCGAATGCAGCAAAGAGAATCCAAAAGTTTGTAGACCAAGTGTTGAAAGAAGAAGGTGGGAAATCCACCAAGTTGCGAATTGAAAGGGGTGTCTACGTGTTTGACTACTGGGTTGACGAAGACACCACAAAGCACAAGTTGGAAAGGAAGTCGGGAAACTAACGGCAGGGTTGGCCGTAAGTCCGTTAGAAGAAGAAGAGAGAATGGAGGAGTCGCCAGCGGAAGCTGGGGCCCCTGCTGTTTCAGCAGAGGACCCGGCAGAAGCTGTCGAGGTACAGAGGCCAAAGGTCGCAAGAAAAGTCAGCGATCCAACAGCCCAAGAATTAGAGGAACATCTTGCCACAGCCCACGCAGTTCACAGATCGTGGTGTGGCCATTGCATGAGAGCTCGTGCAACGTACGCAAAGCACAGCTCAGTTTCACGGGATGAGGACAGTGAAATCCCAGTCGTATCAATAGACTACTTCTACTAAGGTGAGAAGGATGGAGAATCAACGAACTTGCAGGTAAAAGACAGCAAGTCAAAGATGACGTGGGTGACTACAATACCCACGAAAGGACCAGACCTGTTTTCAGTCAACTTCATGTTGGCTTGTTTGAATGAAACAGGGTACAACAGGTTGATTCTGAAAAGTGACGGAGAACCAGCAATCGTCGCTCTGAAACGAGAAGTGAAATCCAAAGCAGCAGGAATTGAGATAATCCTGCAAGAAGCGCCTACTGGGGACCACAGTGCCAATGGTGCAGTCGAAGTCGCAATCAGGGACGAGAAGCGACAGTCAAGAGCACTTTTGAGTGAACTTGAGGAACACTTTGGAAAGTTGGAAGATACGCATCCATTACTCACATGGCTAAGTAGACATGCGGCATTTTGCCTGAGTAGATTCAGTATTCAAGATGATGGGAAAACCCCATACCAAAGATTGAATGGAAGAAAATGGAACAGACCTATGGTGACGTTTGGCGAAAAGGTCTATTTTAGACCGTTGGATTCCTACAGGGTTTCCAAGGAAGGTGAATCCGAAAGAAAGAAAGGAGATCTAGCAAGTAGGGTCATGAGTGGCCACTACGTTGGAACGCACGGCAGGAACGCCGATGTGTTGGTGATGACAAGTCAAGGTGTGATTAGAGGCAATACCGTCCACAGGAAACCAGAATCGGAGAGATGGGACCGAACGGAACTCAAAGAATTGAAAGGTACGCCCTGGGCGCTTCGCCCAAGGAGTGCCGAAGATGTGGAACACAGGTTACACATCACGCTGCCTGAGACAACACAGAGATTAACCCCGAGTGTGCGGGATGGAGGTCCCAGGAATCTGTACGTCCGAAAGAAGGACTTGGAAAAGGAAGACGGTACAATGGACTACACACCAGGTTGCAGAGGTTGTGAGGCAATCATGGTTGGATTGCCAGCAGTTGCACACAATGCAACATGCAGATACAGGTTAGAACAGAGGTTGCCACAAACGGAAGAAGGAAGGAAACGTCTAGCAGACGTCGAGAAAAGGAAAGAGGAAGGTACCGAAAAGAAAAAGGCAAAACAAGTGATCACAGGAATGCCGGATCCCACTGAAGGTGAAGTGAGATCATCAGTAGCACTTGGACAACCTGAAGAACTTGAACAACCAACATCACCGAAAAGGACAAGATCAGACGGAGGAAGAGTTGAAGGTGAGAAGAGAACAAGGTCAGATACCTTGAGGTCAGGAAAACGGATACCAGACAACATCGATGATCTGTACTACGATGCTCAGGAGCAGGAGGGGCCGTTGGTTGTTTCAACCAGTGGAACTTCCGAGGGACAAGCGGTCGTTCCGGCTGTTTCAGCCAGTGGGACTGCTTCAGGATCCGCAGCCCCAGGTGCAGACATGAGTCATGATCAATTTTGGTCACCAGTTACATCGCCAAGTCACGTTAGAGATGTCCAGTCGTTGTTTCACTTTAGCATTGAACCCGACGAAGATTGGGAAGTTTCATTGCAAGATTTGAAATCTCTTGGAGCACATGATGTGAGTGAAATCTTTTCACCACCCAGATTGACAGAGAAGTGCAGGAATTATGGACTACTACCAGGGTACGCAGTTGATTTGGAGACTGGATGGAACTTGTTGAATCCAAATCATGTGAAGAGTCTGGAAAGGATCTTGGATGAGGAGGATCCGTACCTGGTAACTGGAAGTCCGCCGTGTGAAGCGTTCTCACCGCTTCAAGCTCTAAACACAGGGAGAGTTGATCCAGCTGTTCGACAGCAAAGGCTGGAAGAAGGCAGAAGGATGCTAAAGCAAGCATGCGAGTACTACAAGCAACAGTCAAGGAGGGGTAGGTACTTCCTACACGAACATCCAAAACCAGCAGCCAGTTGGAATGAAGAATGTGTCAAGGAAGTTCAGAACCTACCCGGGACATTCACAATTGAGGGACCAATGTGCAGATGGAGGATGGTGGCTAAAGACGCCAGTGGTGAATCTTATGTCAGGAAAAACACCAGATGGGTTACAAATAGCCCGGAGTTGGCTAAGATTCTGTCGGGCGTTTGCTCGAACGATGAAGGAACTGGAGAATGTCATAGACATGTTCATCTCGTCAATGGACGTGCCAAAATGGCACGGGTATACCCACCAGAACTGGTGAAAGGAATGCTAAAGGCCATCAAGCAACAAATGAAAGCAGATGGTGAATACCGAGAAGTGAATGCATTAGATGCAGGACCAAGCCCGGATGAAGATCCACATCTTGAGGACTACGAAGATGAGTACGTACCGAAGTTTGAAAACAAAGGTGACGAACAGATCTTCTTTGATGAGATCACAGGAGTTCAGTTGGAAACGGAGGAGGTACTGAAAGCGAGACAAGAAGAACTTGCTTGGGTGAAGAAACAGGAAGTCTACGTCAAGCGACCAATAAGCGAATGTTGGGCAGTTACAGGAAAAGCACCCATCACGTTGAAATGGATTGATCGCAACAAAGGCGATTCAACGAAGAAGAACTACCGTTCACGTTTAGTGGTCCGGGAAGTGAAGAAGAAACATGGTTCACTCCCAGGACACCAGCTGTTTTCGAACATGCCGCCATTGGAGGCGGTGAAGCTACTATGCTCGATGTTAGCCACAAGTGGCAGTAACGAGCAGCTGGCACTCTACGACATATCACGTGCGCATTTCTATGGAAAGGCACAAAGAACGGTATACGTCACATTGCCACAAGGTGACGAAGAAGAAGGAATGTGCGCACTACTGCAGCGCACCATGTATGGCACGCAAGACGCCAGCCATGTCTGGCAGTCAGACTACAGCGAGTTGTTGAAGAAACACAATTTCGAATGTGGAAAAGCTTGGACATCAGTGTTTTGGCACAAGGAGAAGAACATCAAGCTGCTAGTACATGGAGACGACTTTTTGGTCCTGAGTGACAAGGCAGGACAAGAATACATGCAAAAGGTTTTGCAAGAGAGATATGAGTTCAGATGTGACGGACTCATCGGAAAAGGTGGAGGATCACATCTGACAGTCTTGAACCGAATTGTGACCTATGACCACGAAACAGGAAAAGTGACATACGAAGCTGATCCAAGACACGCAGAAATGATTGTCTGACAATTGAACTTGGAAAATGCGAAAAGTGTGGTGACACCGTCGGAGAAGAAAAAGAGCAGTGAAGTGCTGGCATCGGTAGGTCTTCCACCGGTGACAGCGGAACAGACCACACTATACAGAAGTCTAGTGATGAGAGCACAGTTCCTAGCACAAGACCGTGCAGACATAGCAGAAACAGTGAAATCACTGACGAGAAAGATGAAAGCACCAAACGATGCAGACGTCAAGGACTTGAAACGATTAGGTAGATACCTGGTCGGAAAGCCAAGGGTCGTGTGCACCTACGAACCTCAGAGGACACCCAAGGTGATTAAAGTCTACACTGACAGTGATCATGCGGGTTGTCTGTTGACGAGGAAAAGCACAACAGGATTCGTTGTCATGATGGGACAACACTGCATCAAACATGGATCGAATCTCCAATCGACCATTGCTCTGAGCTCGGGAGAAAGCGAGTTTTATGCACTCGTACGAGCATCCGCAATTGGTTTGAGCATCAAAGCGCTCATGCAAGATTGGGGAGCCGAAAGGGCATTAGAGATCTACAGCGACAGTAGCGCTGCACGCGGTACAGCGAGCAGGCGAGGTCTCGGAAAGCTAAGACACGTCCAGACCCGTTATCTATGGATCCAGGAACGTGTGGCTGAGAACCACCTGCGGATCTGCCCGATCGGTACAAAGAACAATCTAGCCGATCTATGTACGAAACCCATAGGACGCGAAACTTGTGAGAAACACATGAAGAACATGTGTCAGGAGTATCGTCTAGGGAAAGCTGTTGGAGCAAAGAAGTTAGAATCAACAAAGGTGTAGCGAAGCTAGCACCTGCGTTGAAGGAGGGGTGTTGAAATTTACACCTCCACATAATTGTCACACAACCACTGTGTTGTATGTATATTTTGGCTCAAGGGTAAAACAGTTGAGTGTGCTGTTTGCTGTGCATATTTTGTGAAAGTATACATACACACACACACATATATATAATATGTATATATATATTCACTAATGATGCTACATGACGGGGTCCTAACTTGGCAGCTCAATGTTGGTCGGTCCAGCCTTTCGCGTTTCAGGTGGGATCCTTCGCCAACAACTGGACCCTGAAAGCGGCTGCGCCAGATCAGCTCGCAGAGGCATGGCGCCACAGTTTGCTATTGAACATGGCCATAGAAATCGTGAGTTTTCCCATGAATAGCATGGTGATTTTCCATCGTTATGTGGCTGTTTACCAGAGGGTAATCATATTGGACACCATAGTGTTTGATGCCCATTTTTATTGTGAAACGCTAATCATAGCAGCACTAGGGGGAACATCTGCCCATTTTTATGACAACACTATTTTATATGGAAATGGAGCTCACATTTCTTCGTTTTGATTAATTAAAAAAATAAAATGATGCACAACATGTCGGAACGGCCATTTGATGCTAGATCAAATGATTCCAATTTTCAGATTGTGACAGATTGTGATGTTTCCTTCCCATCAAAACTTGCTGGTTGGTTTGGTTTCATCGACTCTCGGATCCAGCCCAGAGCTTTCCTTCAATCTATTGTAGATATCAATAGATGGAGCAACAGGAGCAAGCATATCGACATTTCTATTCGAAAAGAATCTTCACTCATATGATAATTCTGGAGGTTCACCCCCAAGTTCATCAAAGTTCCCAGTTTTCCAATGATGAAGATTTCCCCATTGAATTCCCCCGTCCTCTCGTCGCGAGAAACTCCCATTAGGCGGGCCGCTTGAGTAGCATGAGAAGCAGAGCCTGGCAGCAGGACACGGATGGAGCTGCGACAACAGAGATGACGACCATAGGATTTAAGGGCATTCTATGGACATTTAATGGAATTGAAGGGATTCTATGGTGATTTAATGGGATTGTGTGGTGATTTAATGAGATTTCATGGGATGGTATGGTGATTTATCAAGAATGGGGATATTAATGGGAAATACCCTCCGGTAATCTATCTATATCTACCCTCCGGCAATCAAACAATCGGAAATCCCCGAACAGAATGAGGTTTTAATAGGAACATCAAGTTAGATAGATGATTTTCCATTGCCACATTTGATTACCAGAGGATATATCTAGATATGAGAAATCATGGGAATATTTGAATACCATATTTGCAGACATGTAAATATGTATATGTAGTCAATGCATATGTGGGATATGATCATCAATGAGCAACTAACACCAAATGCACATCTGGGTCTAAACGAAAAATGAGGTGACCAATGGCTATTCAACCAGAAAGACAGACACCGGAAGGCTTGGTTATTCCTCTGCGGTCAAACGTGGCTTTTTAGTTTTAATGAGAACCATGACCTTCAAATTCTTCGCTTTCTGAATGGAAAAAAGGAATATGTTAACAACTACTTTCATCCATTTTCTCAGGTGAAAGAGACAACTGCAGGAAACCATGGTTTTTACAGGCAGATATGGGGGTTTAACAGGCAAGTTCCCTTCAATTTGGGGACTCCATTCCAGCCGTCGAAGTGGATGAAGTGCCCGTCCTCGCGAGGAAGATTTGGGAAGTATCATCAACAAGCCAAAAAGCAGGTCCGGAAAATCCTGGAAAATCCCAAGGGAATCTGATAGTTTGAAGGCAGATCTGAGTTTTCTCCAGGTACCTTCTCTTTGGTGTTGGAACCATGGAATCTACTGGATGTCAAGGAACCAATATAATATCAAGGAAGAAGGAAATCAATCATCTAGTGGTTGTTCGGCCAGGTAAGGCACCAACGCCATCCTAAATTACACACCAAACCACCAAAGGAACCTTCTTTTCCAGAATCGGTTTAAGTGAAAATCAGCAGGACACCTTTTTTTGGGTGAAACCAATCGGTTTCCTGTAAATTTCCAACAAAGCCAATCCACTGAATCTTTGAAAAGCAGCCACCATATCTCAGGAGCCCCAAGCTCTGATTCTCTGCATATGCACTGCTCCACATTGTGACCAGTCCCAAAACTACTTTGTCTTTGTCTTTGTCTTCGCCTTGGTCTTTGTCTTGGTCATCTTCTTCTTTGTTGTTGTTGTTGTTGGTGGTGGTGGTGGTGGTGTTTTTTGTTTGGCCTCTGAATTTCTATTTTTTTTGCCTTAGTCTTTCTTAAACCGTGTAATCTTATTGCTCTCTGCCAAAATGGCTTGGAAGGTATGTGTTGATGCCCGACTCCTTGTTCAGCTTCTGTCGCGACCTCAGGGTAGGAAAACGGTTGTCGATTTTTTTCAGCACCCAAGCAGTGGCTGCATTCAACCCTTGTTGATTGTTGGTTAGAGAAGGGGGTTATACTCCCAACTATTAATTGGGGGTTCTTATCACCCACTGTGGCAATTCTGTTCTGAACCAACCTATAAACAGATGATAGAGGGCTTTGAACACTGCTCAGGTGACCATTTGGTCAATTTCGAAGCTACGGAACCAGCTGTAGTTGGGGTCGAACATCTCCATCCCAACTTCTGGCTTTCTGATATGTGGGGGTGCAGTTCCACTTGATGAGTGAGCCTATGGCCATGATTTTTGGGGTTGTATCCCGTCTTACGGGTTTTCCCATCATGGTGTTGTACCCATCAATAAGCTTCAAAAAACCCAACCGGGGGACCTGTGAGTAGGGTCCCAGGTCTTAAGCACAGCAAGCGCTGCTCTGAGGTTGGAACTGCCTGATGACGGTGTGCACCCTCATGTCCCTTGGCCTGTTCGGACATGGATCAACAGCCCTTTGAGTATATCCTCAGTCTTGCAGGGCTCTGTAGTGTGGTTGATTCCATCCTCGCACTTCTTGCTTGGATGCCAACTCACATTGATCAGACCATCATATTTTCAGTTTTTGCTGCTGAAGTTTAGGTTTAACTTGTGTTTTTTCATACTTTTCGTCGATCCGCTCCCCTTTTTTGTTGCCCAAATCGTTGCCAGGTTGGCTGGTGTGATCCCGATTCAGCTGACATACTTCTGGGGTGACACTCTGCCGGGCTGGGAACCGATTTGGGGCCCCTTGGTGGCGGTGCTGCTTTGCGGCCGCAGTGGTGTTTGGGGAAGATCAATTATCTGGATATAGGGCAAGATTTCAGAGCCCCAAACGAAGTTAGAGTTTGTTATATGTTGCTTGTTTTCAGATATTACTCCAAATCATCCAAAATTGTTGAAACCATGGTTTTGGGGTACCCTCATTTTAGGAAACCTTCATATGTACGTTCAGTATATATCCCGTTGTTGGGTACCCAGGTTTGACTCTTGCCCCTGTTTATAGGGGGGGGTCGGGTTGAAACCTATTCCGGCAAGTTTCTGAGGTGATTGGGGTTCTCATTTGCATCATTGGCTTCCTCAACATGACTATATAGCAACCCCAAAATGAATAGAACAATAGGAAACCTGGAAATATGAAGAACATATACCCTCTGGTAAATAAACATAGACCCTGAAAATCACCAATGTTTAATGGAAACTAGTCTTCCAACCCCTATCTGCCAGGGTCTATGTTTATTTACCAGAGGGTAATCTATAACATCCTGGACACACATTTCTATCTTTTTGGGGATTACATACTATAATTAAGAATAGCTGCGCAACTTGGATGAGAACTGACGTCCATCATTTGAAGAAATTCTTCAATATACGCCAATATTATAATATACACCATTCTTATGGTACTATTCTACCATTCTTATACCAATGTTACACCGTTGTCATACCATCATACCATTACTATACCGTTATCATACCCTTATCATACATCTATGATTATAGCAGTATATATATATATTATTTATACCAGTATTACAGCATCACTGATAGATAATACCAGTATATAATAGCATATATATATATAATACCAGTATACATTTATAGAGGAGAACATCGGATCATCTAAGGTAGCCCCCATTATCACACCCTCTGGTAAACTAACATAACTATGGAAAATCACCATTTTTAAGAGGGAAAATCCACTATTTCTATGGCCATGTTCAATAGCTTTTTGTATGTTTACCAGAGGGTACCATTTGATCACCATGGCCGATGGGTGGTTGACATTTTGCATCGCCGAAAAAAAACGCCGAGTTTTGGTGGACATTTGCCTTGCCATGGACGTGGGGAGCCTGAGGGATGAAGACATCGAGTTTGCCCAAGGATCCTGAAGTATGGTGATTTAATGGTGATTTTAATGGCTGGTTGGTGGTTTGGAACCATGGAGTTTTATGACTTTCCATTCAGTTGGGAATAATGATCCCAATTGACGAACTCATATTTTTCAGAGGGGTTGAAACCACCAACCAGATGGAATTTAATGGGATTTAAGTGGATTTTAGGTGATTTCACGATGGTTTAATGGGGATGTATGCGTGACTGAATGGTGATTTACCTGGATTTAATGGCCAGCCATTCTATTGGAATTGTATTTGTTTTTGATCGTGATTTCATGATCATATTTCACTAACCAAGTTGATATGATGTTTGGGTGTCTGAAAATGGAGTAGACTCCCCAAATATCACCGTGAGTGGTTGGAAAATTATGATCGACCAGTGGAATTTTGGGCTACCATTATTCTCAGACAACGGTTGGTATTGAATTATTGGTTACCCTCTGGCTATGACTAACATAGCCATGGTATAGATGGCCCATAGAAATAGATGGCTTACCGTTCTTAAAAATGGGTGGATCTTTCCATGGCTATCTCACCAATGGTATTGAATTATTGGTTGGTTGTTTTTGATTGGCCAAGCAAGATCGGAAGTTGATTCACTCCGTGTTTTCTTATGGGGATGGTCAGCGCAGCGAAGCGAAGCGAAGCGAAATAGGGGGTTAAGATAGCCATGATTCGTTTGGAATTCTTAGTGATGATGAGATGACAATAGAAAAAAAACTCATAAAAACCTACATAGGACAAGAAAATGACAATACTATAATACTAAGATACCGATATTTGGAATTAATAATGACAAGACTATAATATTATACCCTATGGTTGTTTAACATAGCCATGGAAAATACGAAAAGATAAATGGAGGTTTCGATCGCTGGGAAAATCATCCTTAATTTCCATGGGCCATCAACATACCATGGCGAACTGTGAATGTCATAACCAGGTTGGGTAATACTATACCCTCTGGTAAACATACAAAAAGCATCAAAAAGCTATTGAAAATGGCCCAGTCGAAATAGTGGATTTACCCATTAAAAATGGTGATTTTCCATAGTTATGTTAGTTTACCAGTGAGTTTTCCCATTAAAAATGGCCATTTATAGTGAGTTTTCCCATTAAAAATGGTGATTTTCCCATCAGTTTTTCGTGGCTGTTTACCAGGTTGGGTAATACTAGGCCCATCATGGGATGACAATACTGGAATCCTCCAGCAATATCCACAAGCCGAATGGCACAACAAACCCATTGTTCAGTTAAATGACACTGTTTTTTTTCATTTAATGTCATTTAAAGTTTAACCCATTAGCAAAGTCACAATGAAAAAACCATGAGATGCAGGTTTCCAACCCTTTTCCAGCCATTTTCAGTGGATGTATCCTCCTACTTAGTTCGCTGCGTAGGATTCTCCAAGCATTTTTCGACTTTCCAACGAAAAAAATCCCCAGGTTTTGTTGGTCACATCCCAATATTTGGCTGGTGAAACACATGTCAGCATTTTTGGCTGGTTCCATCCGTTTTCTCCCATTTTTCTCAACGAAAAAAACGCCATGTGAAAACTCCCAGCCAGTTCCCAGCCATTTCCCAGCCAGGTTCTGGTGAGCTTCCTGACCACTCAGCTGGATCCAAAGACCCTGCAATTCTTGGGACTGCGCGAGGTGGGATGAACCATGGGTCGAGTCGAGTTGGGGATATGGGGATGGGTCATGGCACCCTGGTACCGTGCCGTGAACCCCAAGTCATAGCTGGGATTTATGGATGTGAATAACCCACTAATAATGGTAATAATAGGTATTGACCCATCCCCATATAATACATGGGATGAATCAGTTCTGGTCACCTGGTCATTTACAGGAGGTTTAAGCAACATTGGGATTGAACCCTACACCATTGACCGACCATGCACCGCGCAGGTGGCCCATCTCTATGCGCGGAGTTGGTTAGTCATCGATCTGCTGGCCATGTGGCCTTTAGGCATCACTGCCGCGCCACAATCCGCAGGGTAACTCTTGCGCAGAACGGGGTGGTGTGGCATGGTGAGGCCTGGAGATGGGGTGAAAACATGATAAAATGGTGGTTGAAGGATGAAAAATAGGGTTGTCACGGTGGGTTAAACGATAGTTATTCCATGTTATGGGGAGATCTACTGCGAACATGGCAGTTTCTACCACTGGGACATTTGGACCCTCTGGTAATTTAACATAGCTATGGACAACGGCTGATTTATAGACAATTTACGTATTAAAAAGGGTGATTTACCATAGCCATGTCAAATTGCCAGAGGGTATTCCATTGAATTCCCCCTGAAGATTATTTAACATAGCCATGGAAAGATCCACCCATTTTTAAGAACGGTAAACGGTAAACATCGGTAAACCATCTATTTCGATTAGGGCCATCGAAATCCCATGGCGAACTGTTAGTCATAACCAGGTTGGGTAACTAATGAAAATGAATCATGGTCCTTCCCGATGTTGGTCAGGATATATTCCCCTATGAACATCCCAAAATACCCTCTGGTAAACAGCCACATAACTGATGGGAAAATCACCATGCTATTAAGAGGGAAAACTCACTATTTCTATGGCCATTTTCAATAGCTATGTTAAATTACCAGAGGGTAAATCATCACTGAGTGCTTCATATGAATTATCTGACCGTCGGGTCACTGCTGCTAAGGTACATCTTCCACAGGCTGGGGCTGGGGCAGGACCCCAGGAATTCGAGACGTCGTTGAGAAGCCACTGGAGATATTCCACTCATATGGGAGTCAAACATTTAAGACCCAACAACTTCCGCAGATTCTTGTCATGTTGAGTATCGCACTAGTATTCAGTTTTATGAAGTGCGATACTAGTGCGATAATACCTAAATATTCAGTCTTATTCAGTTTTATCGTCAGTTCTATTATCGCACATTCGTACATGTCATAATTTTAGATTCTAGTTATATCAATAATTATCCAATTACTATAGTATCTAATATCACTTATTAATCATCCAATATTTAGTATCTAAAAAACTGACTCCTCGCCGCCGGAGGTGTTTGAAGTTGCTGAAGCTCCTCAAGCTCCGTTGCTCGGCGGATCCCGAGCTGATGGTATGTGGAATCCGTCACGAATGAATGGCATAGAAAACGAACAACGGTGGTTTCAATCATGAATGGATGATTTTCCATTTCATACATATATGGGATGTCATCCGAACCCATTGACTTTCACGAAACATCCATTTTTATCCATTTTTCAAGATGGGCACTGGTTGCACCACCAACCAGTATATAGCATTTCTGAGGTTTTTTCTCCAGGAATTCTGAAGACTTGATCCATTTCTCCAGGCCATAGCAGCCTCTGGTTGTTTAAAACGATGTTTAACCCTCTGGTAAGCGTTTACAAAAAACTGATGGGAAAATCACCAGGCTACCAATGGGTAAATCAACGAACTTTCTATGGTCTTTTTTCAATAGCAAACTGTTAAATGACCAGAGGGTATGTTTAACTCACATATGGAACATGGCCCATTTACAATACATTCAGCTATACCTACCTATTGAAACATGTGATTTTCTGTAGGTTAAATTACTAGAGGGTAATTTATGTAAATCATCCTGCATTGCCCAGGCTACTGGTTTCCGCGAATTGAAGATATCCTCCAGAGCAGACAACTGCAGCTTGCCAAGCATCGCAGGTCATAGGCAAGTTTTTGATGCGGAATCCGTATGGCTCCATGGATCCAAGTGATTTTAAGTGTCAGAAGTTAATTTTGTTCGGGTACCAACAAAAAGAGGTTTCCTAAGATGGGGGTATACCCCCAAATCATAAATCTAAATGGGCTTTTCCATTATAAACCATCCATTTTGGGGGTACCACCAGTTATGGAACCACCATGAACCACCCATATATATAATATATATATATTCTTCTTGTTATCGTTATATATATATTCTTCTTGTTATCGTTATCACTGCTGTAGTCATAGTGATAATGAGAACGATTAACACCCCAACTCTTCCTACATTTTGGGAGGAAATCCAGAAACAAAATCCAATTGGTATCTTCACTGATGCAGGACAAATGGTTATTGGCTCAGTTTACTGCCCCCCAAAGTGGATGAAGAATGTGTGGGTCTATACGTTTGAGCCGTGTCGCCATATGTGAAGTTTTACCAGATAGAAACATATAGAAACGACAAGTGGAAAAATCTACCTCACTCTCCTTAATTTCTCCAATTTCGCAAGATGATCTGGTGAAACAACTGGTTCTTACATTCATTGTGATCACTTCGACAAGCGGGAAACCGAACAATGGGAAGCTCAGCACCGTGGTTTATGACGACGCCATGAGATCTCGATGAGACATTTCCATCTTCCGGGGGGCGGGGTTTTGGAACGACAGTTGGATTTATAATATCCTACCTTAAAGATCCTTAAAGTTATTCACCGAATCTACGCCCGAATTCTAGATCCAGTACCCCCTAAAAAGTGGTAAACGTTTAGTAAAATCTCCCTATTACGTTATGTACAAATAGAGGTAAAGCAATCCCAACCCCCTTTTTTTCAGACCCCCCAAACGAAACCATGGTTTAGTGGGGAAATTCCACATTCCATTGGGACCATTTAGGGTGTGTTTACTATGAGATAGTGGTAAAGTATTCATCCTCCACGGTCTCCCACCACAGGTCTGGGCTGAAGATGTCGGGCGCCATGCTGCTCTTGGTCCATGGGTTTCTTGGAACGAGGTCACGTTTCTTTGTGGTGATTTAACCTACGAAAAACTTACAAAAACCTACCAAAAACATGGTGATTTAGTGGAATTTCAGAAGGGATTCGACCTGCGGAAAATGGTGATTTAGTTGGATTTTCATTGGATTTGACCTACAAGAATGGTGGATAATAGGGGATAATGGGGATATAATTATATATATATATGTGGATATGTAACGAGTAACAATAGGGTAATCATGGGTAGATATGGATATGATATGGATATGATGTGTGTATATATATATACGTATACATATACGCATGTGTATATATATATACACATCATACTATGTATGTATAATGGGATATCTAAGTCAATCTAAGTAAGCAACTTGATACTGGTATGTCTCGAAATGGCATGATCAATTTGATAGGGAAAATTATGATGACAAACCCGTTGAATGGAAGTGGATAGATGAAGATTGATTGGGTTTTCAATCCCTTCCCATCTGTTCATAGCTCAGTGGTCCCATTTCAGCTTTTTGTGATTCTGCTCCAACGGCAGGCGGCTTGATCCATGTTTGGATCCCATGATTTTAAAGTTGAAGCTTTCACTCACTTGACTCATCCATTGATGATGATCTTTACCATGAATTTCACCGCCACAAAAAGGTTGGGCTGCTGCTGGTTCATCGTCCGGCACGATCTACGATCCGGCAATTGGGGCACAGGAGAAGACTATGTCGCTGACGTCTACTTTGTGACTTTGCACCGACGTGGCGATGTGGGGAGAGGGAACTATAGCGGGGGTCCAAGCCGTAATGGTTGGTTACTAATAGTATCATGATATATGATGATGTGATGGTATGACTATGAAACTAAATGGGGTCAGAAACCAATATGACATGAACCGAAGTGATAACTACCAAGTAGTGGAGTAATAATGGGGTATAGCCATAGCCGGCAATCACGGGATATTCAACTCACCAACTGCTGTTGGGGGAAGTAACTAACCATAACTAAGGGATGAACTAATATGGAGTTATAACCAGTAGTGGGATCATAGTATATACCCTCTGGTAAATTAACATAGACCCTGAAAATCACCGTTTTATAGAGGAAACTAATCTTCCAACCCCTATCTACCAGGGTCTATGTTAATTTACTGGAGGGTAATAGTGGGGGGGATATGTAAAAACTCACCAACTTGAAAAATGGGATACGATAGATACGGGTCTGTCCAAGAATGAGGCTATTTCAGTGGGAAAAATGATGAGAAAATTGATGGGATATTTCATGTAATTCCACCTTCATGGCCCTTAACACGTTACCGAAGTTGGCTTGGTGCACGCATATTCCACTATGGTTTATATGGTGATAACGATGGATGGGGTTACCTGCTGGTAAACTAACATAAGTATTGAAATTTATTGAACATCACCATTTTTACAAGCAAAACACCTATAAATGTGCCATTAATCATCGCTATGTCTTGTTTACTAGAGGGTATAAGCCAACGAACATAACTAGCGGCCACCACCTTGTAGTTTGGAAGGAACATGGACCCTTCGTCAAAACAGTCGTCTTGGATTTCCATTGCACACAGCTGGAACCCTCAAAAACAAACCAGAAATGGATGACTGGAAGATGATTTGCACTTACTTCAGACAGCCATTGCTTTGGTTTCTTGAAACAACATGAACAAAGGGCTTAGGCAGATGATTTACTATCTGATATTTTAAGATAGCTATGGAAGATCACCATAATGAATGGGCAAATCATTTGTAAATAAAGAGGTGTTAGTTCTCTTCGTTTACCCGAGAATATGTCCAATTCCTATTCCTTAAATCTCCAATAGTCACAATAAATTCATCGCTGTTTTTATCATGAAAACAGCCGTTTTTATCCATACATCACCATTTTCTGTAGGTTAAATCCATATATAATTCCCCTAAAATCACCATTTTTGCTTGGTTTCCAGGTGCACCTCCCCGAGCGGCCCCGTACGCCGCGCTTCCGCCCGAGGTCGTCATGGCCTTGACATCGGTGGGTTTCGGCGATATCGTCCCTGTGGGCACAGGCATGGGGACATGTGGCATGAGATTTTCGAATGTCATGGGATTTTTTAGATGATTTACCCTCTGGTTATGACTAACATAGCCATGGAAGCCATGGCCCATAGAAATAGATGGTTTACCGTTCTTAAAAATGGTGGATCTTTCCATGGCTATTTTAAATAACCAGATGGTAATGAGATATTTAAACACTTGTAAATTTACCTCATCAAATCTCATTAATATCCAATTTAGATTCCCATGACATTTTTGATATCCCATTACATTATCCCATTAAATTTAACATATATCTAAGCCGGGATATTCATGGGATATTCATGAGATTCAAGCAACCATCTGATATCCTATGAATAACCCAATGTAGTATATCCTCAAATATGGGTATTATATATATATCTGATATATGGGTACAACCCAATCATATATATTCATATATCTCATATATGGGTGTGTCTGAACATGTAGTATATCCTCAAATGACCAACCATCCTCATTGTATTTTTTTCGCCATATTGTTGTGTTTATATACAACATATTCTTTACCCATACATTCTATATTACATAATCTATATCTATACATTATACATATCTATATCTATACATTATACATATCTATATCTATACATTATACATATCTATATCTATATATATTATACATATCTATATCTATATATTATACATATATTATAGATGATACTGTATATACATCATTAGTGAATGATGGTGCTTTGAAATCTTCCAAATACGTGACATGAGCTCCACGGGGATGGAATGACCTCACTTGCGGTTGGAAAAGTGGCCCTTTCCCATGACGAAAAAGGGGTCCCATCTATGAATGGCTATGGATATCAGCAACTGGCACGCCTCCAAGTCAAACCGAACTATACATCTCTCTCTCTCTCTATACATATATATATATGTGGGAAAAATTATAACGACCTCACCGCGACCGAACCCTGGAATCATGGTTAGGATTCGGGAAATCATCCCCAAATAGCCTTTTTTTTGATTCAGATTGGTGAACTATTTAAATTTACCCATGTATATATATACACATCTAATATTATTGCACTAACCAACTGGGATGATTCCCAGAAGTGCTTGAAGTTTCTGGCCAAGATTCCCCCCATAAATCCCTGGCTTCCATGATTTTGAGTGATCTTTTTATCCAAGTTCTTCTTGGTTTAATGAGGTTACCCTCTGGTAATTTAACATAGCTATTGAACATGGTGATTTATAGTGGATTTACCCATTGAAAATGGTGATTTTCCATAGTGATGTTAGTTTACCAGAGGGTAAATCACCATTCTGTCACCCAAAAACAAAGACATGGCCCGTGGGATTTCTCCAAATGTCAAACAAACCAGCCATGGAAGCCTTTTACCCTATCAAAAAATGTCAAAAAAAACCAGCCATGGAAGCCTTTTTCCCTATCAAAAAATATGTAAAGACCCAGCCATGGAATGATTTTTCTCTATCAAAAAAATGTCAAAAAACCCAGCCATGGAAGCCAGGTGCCAGACTCTACTGTGTCATGGTGATGTTAGCCTCGAGTCTCTTCTCGGGCGTCTTGGTGGCCTTTGTGGCGCAGGCAATGGTGGGATGGCTGCGAAAATGGGGGGGGTTCAGCAGTAAAAATGGGGGCTTTAAGCAGCAAAATGCGGGAATTCACCGAGAAAAGTCGGGGTTTGCGTGGTTTTGTCTGGGAAAAAAGGGCGTACCCCTAAGTCTGTTGGTGAATGATCCTTTTCCCTGTGAAATTTTGCCAAAGTAATTGGGGCATAGCCTATTTTCAAAGATTTCATGGTCTCACTGCCCAAGAGACGGAGAATGTGGTGAAGCTGATGCCATAAACCCACCATTTGGGGATGGCTTTTACCACCCACCTATGGTACTGTACTGGATCTATTTGGGAAGGTTTATGCTTGGGTTCATGCGTCAAGCTTAAGACCAACAGGTCCAACAGTTTTTTCCCATGGGACATTTCTCTTTTTTCGGGTGGCCACTGGTGATTCATAGTGATCAGAAACCATCCCAATGATCACCCTCATGGGTCCCTGATGCGAGTGTGGTGTCAATGAAGTTGGGTAAACCTTCGAATGTAACACATGTGACCTTGTTTGAGGTCTGAGATCCACCATGCGATTGTTGCTCCATGGAACCCAATGATGTCATCCGGCGAGAACGAACTCGCGGTTTGACATTGAAAATCCTCAGCGATTCTCCCAGTTTCTCCCAGACAGGCCCTACGCACCGTCTTTGACGATGAAGTGGAGAAATATGTCAGCAACGCCCAGAGGCTTTTGTGGTGACTCCTGGAATCCAATTGGGCGACCAAGCCCCATAAAAATCTCCAAATTTTGTTTTTTTTTAACTTGTCTTTATATGGGGAAACATGGCAAAGTGTGTTTTCTATTTCTTGAGTTGGATTTATCATGTGCACAGAGTCGTATTGCCATCTTATTTTTAAGACGAAATCTCCACAGAAGATCAGCATTTGCAGTGCCAAAAGGGTCAAAATCAGCTTCGTATCCTCGAGCATGGCCTGAGGTTTGGCAAGCATCCGAATTTATGCGGCACAGGAAGGCTCGCCGGGTGAGAGAGGTCCATGGCTTTGTCTGAAAATTGGGCACCGAAAATTCCATCCACTGATCAATTTTCTATAGTATCCCATAGTATCCCCCTATTTAAGGCAAGGTGGGTATTTTGGGATTTGAAAAAACACCTCCATCGTATCAGGCTGCACTGGTTTTGCACTGGTTACTGATGTGACTGGTTGTTTTTGTTTCACCCCGCTGGGTGGGCGAGGTCCCGGTCGACCTCCAGAAACGCGTGGAGCATGGTCTTCGGCAGAAGTTCCAACAGGAGCCATGGATCTGAGTGGTTAGGGCCTAGGGGATTTCCATGGATTTCCTCTATTTATTTGGGTTTGTCCGGACAAGCATCCCCTATGGTCCTATGGTCCTATGGTTTATCATCATTTTTCCGTTTCATGTTTCATAGCATTCCCAGACACACCCATTTGATGGGGATTGTCATCATCCATTATTCATTGACGGCACTCCTCATTAACTAAGCAGTTATTATCATGGAATGACAGAGGGTTTTTGAACACTTATCAGTTGATGACTTGATGGTGGTCATGATTACTTTCTCAAGGCAGCGGTCAAATTTCAAGCTTACCGTGTTTGTTGTATCTTCACCTCTTCTGACACTCCCAGAATTGCTTGACTGGAGAATTTCCAGGAACCTCCTACCGGAAGTCTAGTGACACCCATTGGTTTCCCCCGATTTTCCCGAAAAAATATCATAAAATCAAACCATTGAGACACTATCGAAACCAATTCGAAACCAAGCTGTATGGCATTGGCCCAATTTTTCTATCACAAAACCCATTCTTGTTGCTATCAATTCGATCGCGACCCTCCAGGAACTGAGTTTCTCCGTTGCACCGAAAATCCTGTCGAACCTCTCACCGTCGGGCGGCTGAAGATTGTGCGGACTCAAGGCGTTTTCGTGTTCAAATTTGGTTTTCACATGGGGGGTTAAAGCCAATGGAAATCCATGATGATTTCAAGGGATCTAACCGACCAAATGCTCTGAAAATGAGGGTCCCAAGGGTCACCTCAACCCAGGTCCAGCCAGAGAGAGCTGGCTTTAGAGCTCTTGAGATCTGCGGTCATGAACTTCCCTGTCTTCGAGGCCGGAACGGTCACCGGGGTGGGAGTGAGGAACAGCGGAGTTATTCAAGGATTTTCTCTATGATTAAGGAGTTAGTGCTACTTAGTACTACATCGTTTCGACTGTTTATATACATAATAATATAAATATAATATAATATAATATAATATAATATAATATAACATAATACAATATAATATAATATAATATAATATAATATAATAATATGATATATAATATATAATATATGATATATAATGTATAATGTAGAATGTATAATGTATAATGTAAAACATATAATACAATATATAATATATATATTATTATATATATATATAATATTATTTACATATATATATATGATATATATATACATTGTAATACATGGTAGAATATATATATATATATATACATACATATAATATAATATATAATATAATATATAATATAATATATAATATAATATATAATACAATATATAATATACATACATATATAATATAATATGTAATATAATATAATATAATTATATACATTATATATATATATATATTGATTGAATATACGACACCACACCTTATATGCCTTGATGATTCCACCTAAAAGTACTTCCCGTCCTCGGATGAGCCGATGACCCGATGACGGGGGCGCTTGGCAGCTTGGCACAGAACAGCCGAATAGAACATGGTGTGTGTGTGTTTATTTTTTTTTCTAATGGTGTGTGTTCAAAAGTCAACAACCAAATTGCTGTTCTCATTTGAATCAACAACCAAATTTCATGATCGACTGATCATTAAATTCGCACAATCAAGCAACATTCACAAAGCCATTATCAAGCATGATCACATAAACCGCTCTCATGAAAAACATTATCAGAAAGCATTAGATCTTCATAACTCAGACATGAATTATCATAGACTATGAATAAGTATCATAAACCATAACCAGAACCCACAATGTTATTTTAATATAACTAGATTATCATCAAAAACATGATCATCAAAACCACTATCATAAGCACCGATGGTCTCCCTGTGATCTACTGATGGCTTTTTCCACAACCAACTCACAGCCATTCAATCCCGTTCCACCATTTTTTTCGATGGAACGGATTCTTTTCTGGTCGTAAATGCCCAATGATTCTCTGTTTAGATCATGATTCGCAGCCCCTCATAGCCAAAAAAAGGTCAATGAATCACCATTCCGTATGGATCCAGTCGCACTTCCTGAGAAAGTACGGCTGGATCCATAGGCCCATTCATAACCATTGAATAAACATTAGACAACCATGATATGAAATAGTTATTTGTACTCCCTATTGATTGCGATACATCAGTATCTCTAGTAATAACCATACATAACCACCAATAAAGTCACTAAAAAAACATCAACAACAATTATAGAACAGTTGACAAGCGTTAACAACCGTTAAGACCAGTTAACAACCGATAACAGCCGTTAACAACAATTGAATAACCATTCAGAACCGTTGACAACAATGAATACCCATAATAACTATAACAACAAGTAATACTTAACCAGTGAGACATAATTCCGTAATGCCTATTATATCTATCTATATATATATACAATCCCTATTAAAAATCCTAATCCTAAATACCCTCTGGTAACGAAACATGGCTTGCTGGACAATCCATTATTTAGTTCGATGGTTCTCCCAGCAATAAACCTTCATTTGTTGAGGACTTCCCAGCTAGCCATGTTTGATGACACTGGAGGGTCTCACTAGTAATAACCAATGGATAACCATTACCAGTAAAAATAATGAATAACCATCAATGATCATTAATGCATAGTCCCTATTGATCCCTATCATAGTTATGATCAAACTTATGCTTATTGATATGATTAATCCCTATTATTTCCAGGGAATTGATAGTTCACTCGAACACTGCTGACGTGTAGTTCACACAGCCGCTGCTCGGACTGCATTTCGCTTGAACAAAAATACCTATTAATCCCTATGAATCCCTATCAGTAACTGTTAACAACCATAAGTTGGGGATGGGTCAAAACCTACTACTACTGTACCATTTTGGGGGGATAAACACCCATAAACTAGCTATTTTACGGTAACACCTGGGTAACAGGGTATTACTGGGTTTTGACTCACAGCCATATGCATGTATATCAATTCCTATTATATACCCCCTATCAAGAACCAAACGTTATAATCCCTATCAATCCCTTCAACCAAACGTTATAATCCCTATTCATCCCTATCAATAACCATTGAAAAACCTCTGTTTTTCAGGATCAAACTTACCACAGCTGCAGGAAGCACCTGAAGGCTTCGTCGGACAGCTGGCCTCAGCCTTCACCTGGGCACCTTGGACCTGTTGACCCTTCGAAAAGCAGGTGAGTTCACCCGAAAAAATAAGGCGATTTCACATGGAACATTTTGGTGATTTAAGCAGGGGAAACATGGTGATTTCAGCACGAAAAATGGTGATCGAAGCAAGAAACATGGTGATATCACCGAGAAAATGGGTGATTCAAGCAGTAAACATGATGAGCCAATGGATTGGTTGAAAAAACCGGGAAAGGTTGAAATTTGTCCCGTCTGGATTTTCCATCTTTCAGATGGCGGGATTGATCAATCTTTAGAGCAAAGCTCGGGATTTCTCTCGGAATTTATAGCATATCATACAACCTAAAATTGATATAAAAACTATTGAAACTGAATAAGATATCCAATATTTATTATTAAAAATTGATATACAATTACCAGCGAATGGGACTTTGTCGTATTTTTTTCGGGTGGAGAACAAACGGGACGGAAATAAACCCTTGGGAAACGGACGAAACACCTGGCTGGATTTCAAGAGACGGCAAGGGTTTCCCCCCAATGAACCCCTCCGGTTCATCCTCATTTTCTCGGTGAAACATTGCCCATAAGGTGAGGGGGCTTCAAGGCTTCATGTTCCACCATTTTCAGACCCAACGATCATGTCAAGTTGATTGGTTAAATCCCATTAAATCACCATTAACCCCTCATCACCTCACCATAAAATCACCACTTTTCAACACAACCAGAGACCTTCCAAGACATTCTCAGACTTGAGGTGCAATCTCTTGCTGGAGATCTAGTCGTGGAGGTGCAAACCTGGTATCATGGGGAGGTTTCCACAACTGGGGGTATGGTTTGTAATGGACAATCCCATCAAAATGGATGATGTCATGGGCTAACCCCATGACTTAGGAACCAGCCAATATTGATAAACGTGACTATGGGTCAAACCCTGGGGGGGGGGGCCTGATTCCTGTTCTTGAGTGAGGAAAAACCAATATTTAATGGAGATACATAGGATTTAAGCATAAAAGTGGGGATATTCATGGATGATTAATATGTCATATAGATTCATATAGTAAATGAGGCAAACCCAATGCCACAAACCAAGCCGCTTTCTTACTTGGTATACCATATTTTTTGGGATGTTTATTCAGAACCCCTTAGTCATGGTTACTGGACAGGTATTTCCACGACTTGAAGCCATTGAAAAATGCGCAGCAACTGCTGGGGGAGCTGGGTCTATTCCTTTCAATGAGGGATACAAAGCCATGGACATTTTAAAAGGGCAATATGAACCATGAGATTTTAGGCTATCCTATTTTCAGACACACCAATATTGACGACTAACTACCATCCACCATGATGAGATCGATATTGAACATATATATATATAAATCAATAATTGCACATCTATCTATTACTATCTAATTATCTGCAACTAGTTCACATATATATATAATTATATATATATATACATATGTATGTATGTATATATAACAACAGACCAAAAAAAGCTAGAAAACTAAAATAGAAAATAGTGATCAATTGAAGCTGTTCTATCATTTTTGGCTCGCTTCCTCTCTTGATATGTACTGCTACCAGGGTAATAACTATAAGTGTACTACTATTAGCACAATATAAACTATGATGCTAAGATGTACTCAGTATCTATAAATAAATATATATATAAATATGTATGTATATATATATAAATACGTAAACATTAATGAATCCAGTATTAACAATGATACTCACATACGCCGACCTTGCCGTGGGGTCCCCGAAGCATCGCAGGAAGGTCAACTGGAAGAGGAGTTGGTCTTCGTCATCGAAGGTTGGGACCGACGGAGACGTCTCGGGTCGGTCTGTGCCGTAAAAAAACAGCAAGTTTCAAGAAGCAAAAGGGTGATTTAATGGGGATTTCATGGGGATTTATAAGATTTATAAATAAGATTCATAAGATTTAATGATGTGGGTAAAACAATGCCATAAACCACCCATTTGGGAATGGTAAACATACCACCTGTTTATGGTGATTTGGGGGAAGGACAATGATCATACAGATGGGGGCTAAACAATAGTTTTACTGGGATATGTAGTGAGATATTTATGCACGCCAGTCTTCCATCATTCACCATGATCACATTTCTGTTGCTTCATAGCACCCTTCTTTGAGCCAATCTTGTCTCTCGACCCTGGTAGCACCAGGTAGCCTCATGAAGATTCGCAGTGGCTTTGGACTCATGAGCATCGAAGATTCCGACGACGAGGACGTGGGGGTTCCAGGGCCCTGGGGAAAGATGGCCACTTCAGGAGCCGAATTGATTGGAGCTACCTACCATATAGAAAGTCTATGATTCAGGGCTATGTTTGGGGATGCCCCAACATTTATGGTTACCCTCCGGTAGTCAAACGTGGCAATGGACCATGGCCGATTTATGGATGATTTTCCCATGAATCCCTCCATTTATAGGGGATTTCCCATTGCCCATTGCTATGATTGATTAGCGGATGGTATTTTTATTTGGACAATGATGATCAAATATGAATCTGAAATGAGTCTTGTTTCAAGTATGATTATATACTCCTATTTGGGATGACTATTCATAGGAAATTAACTTTAGCCACCCGACTGAGATATCCTGAGACCACTTCTCTTGAAGACGGTAAATGTACATCAATTAGCAGTTCTATGGTGCTAGGACCCCAGTTATGAGGATGTCATCTCAATTACTTGACTTAAAGATACTTAAATAATCTTCCGGGGAAACCGGTTCCTTTTCAAAACATGTTCGATGACTTTTGCAGTGAAAATCCTGGAGTTTTCCCATCTCTGCTCTATGATGCTGCAATATGCTGCAATTCTGCTCTGGTTCAAAAGAATCACCCAATTAAATACTGCGATCATGGGATGTACCCCTAATTTATGACACTTTGAATGGGCTATTTAACCATAATGGGCTATTTAACCATAGTGGGATATATAGATTCGTAACCAGCAATATTAGATCAAGCCGCTGGATTTTTCAGACTCCCCATCTTCGATCTCTTCGGTCAGGACGAAGACTCCGTCGATGGAATGAAGAAAACTCCGTTCTGTAAAGGTGCTTGGCCACTTGTCGAGACCTGGCCCTGGCCCACTTGACCTTTTTTTGGGACATCCCAACAGGACGACGGTTTTTGGCGATTTCCCGTGATGGGATTTATTGGGAATACTTGGGATAGTTCCATATTTGGGCCAGTTCTATATTTGGCATTATCATGCATTATCTACATTTGGGGCTATTAACCCAGTTTCAGTTTCAACCCAACGCCTTTCATCCATGACCGGGATGATGTCTTTTCGCCGCGCCCCAGGTTCGGTGAACGATGTCTTTTTCAGGAGAGGGTCCTTATCACCACCATCATCAGCAGCAGCACCACCACCACCATCATCATCATGATCATCATGATTATGATGATGATGATGATGATGATGATGATCATGATGTTCATGTCTCTGGCAGCACAAACTACTCTCCAAGAGCGGACGTCAGATGGATCCAGATGGTATCAAAGGTAGGATGTCCGTTGCCACAAGTTTTCCCTGGTCGATAAGTTGGATCTAAAGAACATTGGCATTGAAGAACCATCTAGCGGGAAAAATAGCCATTGTTTACCCTGCAGCAAACTAATGTAGTCATGGAACATGCTTTCATTGGTTATTTTCTGTGGCAAACTATTAAAGTACCAGAGGGCAAGGGATCTAAAAAGCCTTCCACATCAGTCACATCAGTTTTTTTCCCCGAATTTCCCGGAAAAAAGTACAGGAAACCTGTATACTTGGATACACTTACCAAGGTTATCCAAGGTTACCCAAGGATGAAACCATGGTTTTTTGGAGTCAAACCATGGACATAAATCTCTCTCCAGGATGACAGTCTCAGGGACTTCACGGTCTCTTGGGTTTTTGTGGGCTGGGACAGAATGGAGACACCATGATTGTGGTTTTGAATGGTGAGTGGTTAGTAGTGGAGTTTCACCAGCAATACTTGGGATTTTCCCACTTGAACTAGGGATTTTACCACATCCCCTACCAATTTCCACCCCTCCAACTCCTGGCATGGTGAAACTGGGTATTTTTCGACCTAAATCCAGCCCGGTTTTTTGAAACCACCGGGGCTCTAAAAAGGGTTTAGGTAGCATTTTTGTAGCCATTTGTCACTTCTTTGCGGTGCCCCCTGACAGGCTTCCAAGAGTGGGTTCCCACATTTGAAGAGATCCAGTAGAGAGACTACAGGCTGTAGGTGTGTGTTGATCACAAACATTTATTAAATCCAGGGATGAAAAGCAGATGTGTGAAAAGCCACTGGTTCAGTTTAGCCCGAGATTCGATGGGTGTACCTTTGAGCACTAACAGTTTAAAATTGGCACTTAAAAGTTATCTGACTAAGACTCAAAACCAACAGTTCACCCACCAAAAAAAGGACTTTTATCCATATTTTATCCCGCCACATGTATCATAAATCTAACTTAGAGGAGCAGCGAAAAGGCCACAAGCCCTGGTGCAGATCAGATTTTCGCGAGAGCTTGTAGCATCTTGAAACCACCAAGAAGTTAGTGGGTTAAACCACTATGGTGTGTTGAAATCCAATGTGGGTGTATCTGAAAATAGGGTACCCCCAATTATAGCAATTTGATAGGGAAAATGTTAACCATTGGGTTTAGGGGTACGCTATTTTCAGACAAAACCATGTTTTATTTGTACATCCCAACTTTTGCTGGTCAAATCCCGATAGTTGGGCCCATGTTCGACAATGACAGATCCAGGGCCCCCCAAGAAACGCTGAGGTCATTACAGATGTTGACTCTGAACTTGCAGTGCCAAGCTTGGGTGATGCGTGTGGTTGAACTATGACGACCTTAGAACAACATCACATGGATCATTGGCTTAGTAGAACCACCCCAACGCGCCAACAACAGAATCAGTTCAACGCGCCCTTATTTCAGGTTGGTGCATTTTCATCATTCCCTGATGACGATCATTAACCATCATTAACCATCATTAACCATCATTAACCTTATTTAACGATTTTAATTCCCCCAAAAAAGTATTGGTGCATTCGATTCGTACCCTGTGTGGCAGTGCAATCCCCTGCAGTGGGTTTTACGGTGGTTCACCGTGGTTTTTACTGCGAGTGTGGCCGCCACGTCTCGCGCCAAGTCACATCGACTCGAAAGAGTGTTTGCTTTTGGTGTTTTATGGGGAAGTCACGAACAACATAGGGAATTCACAGTGTCTTGCATTTTTTTGAGAAACGATGTATGTGTTATTGAAATATCTTTGTTTTCACCGCTACTTGGAATAATCCATACCAACTTAATATGGTAGACCCAATGATTTTTCCGATTTTTCCCAAGGTTATAGTACATTGATTTGTAAAGTCTGGTATGTATTTGTCTCAAAATAAGGTAGCATCAAATTCGAGGTTTTAATCCAATCAAAGGGCCATTTTTACTGTTGGTATGCATCATTTTCCCTGGGGACCTCGTCGAGGTGCTATCAGCAGTGGACTACATGAGGATACTGAAGTTGTATCCACGGCTGCACAGGCCCTTCAAAAACTCTGTGGGATTTGAAGACGGCTGACAGCTTTGGCGATTTTTTGCGGGTGGATCTGAACATTGGAATGTTTGGTGCTATAGGCTATAGCCATCATCACTTTTCGTGAATGTGAGTTGTATACATTCCCTTTTTATCCCTTTTTTATTGTTAAGACTTAAGACATGTTAAGACCAATATCAACATATTTAATCCCTATATATATAAATATCTTGCTTGTTGCACTATATATAGATCTTAGCCAATACATTTTTTTTTAATCTTGACCCAATGAAAAAAACCATCCCCTGGTGGGTTCTCCATTCACATTCCCATTTGATGTTTGAACTTTCCATTTGATGATTAGATTCCAAAAATATTTTAATGATTTTAATGCTGAAATGTTTCCCCATGCTTTCCCCCATCATTCTTATATATATATATCCCATGAAAAAACAACAGTTAGCAACCATGGGTTTTTCCGAATGCCCCTGGGTCAAAAGATTGGCTCTTTTCCCATATAGTCATAGTGGACATTCATTCCCCCATTAGTATGGTGTTAAAAAGAACTCAGTATCAGGACCCCAATAATTAATTCTGGATGACCATATCATCAATATGGCATGATCACGATAATTTCTAACCATTGATGATATAATCAATAGGTACATATATACATACATATATACATACATATATACATACATATATACATACATATATACATACATATATACATACATATATACATACATATATACATACATATATACATTCATATATATACATATATATATAATGATTCCCCCAATAAATGGTTGTAAAAACATGGTGTTTAACAGTTTCCTTAACGTTTTGATATGTTTTGATCATCCTTAACGAAGTCGTTGTTCACATGGCGAGCGCTCGCCGGAGGCAGCATGAAGACCTGGTCACGGCCTTGGAGAAGGGGAAGATGGACCTTGCAGATTTGGCCTACAAGGCGCGCTGGGACTGGACGCCAGCGTAGTGCAGTGACAGTGTAGTGTAGTTTAACATGGTCCATAGAAAATCATAGAAATAGATGGTGACTACCGTTCTTAAAAATGGTGACTTTCCATGGCTATGTTAGTCATAACCAGAGGGTACATAGTATATATTATATAGATTTATATAGTATATATTATGTAGTATATATCATATAAATATTATAGCATATCCTATATTGTATATATGATACAGAGAGTATATTATATATATATTATGTAGTGTATTATATAGTATATATTATATAATATGATACAATATGATACAATATGATATGAGATGTATATGCCTGCGGACCGAAAACCGTTCCCATAAAACGCACGTTTTTGAATATCGCGATTGTGGGGTGGAGTGGGGTGGGGTGGGGGGCATGTTAACGTTCCTTGTACTTCGTACATGATATATTGCCATGCTGTTGAGATCTCTGGGATTGTTTACTACGTTACATGCTGCTACGCTGCTGAGATCTCTGGGATCGTTTACTACGTTACATGCTGCTACGCTGCTGAGATCTCTGGGATCGTTTACTACGTTACATGTTCTATGTGGAATCTGATGAAAAAGTCAATTCCCAGCAACTTGAGTGCCAAAAGTGACCTCTTGATGGTGTATGCTAGAGCTTGGCAATGGAGATGCATTCACAAGAATGCTGACTGCCAGCTGATAACGGTGCATGCGTTGCAGCGATGACGCTGAAAAGTCAAAAAACGCGCCCCAAGTTTTTCCAAGATTTCCAATCATCAAATCAGCACGGCACTGTGGTAAAATCGCCATTTTTTAAAAAACGTGCGTTTTATGGGCACGGTTTCCGGTCCGGCGGGATGTATATGGAGAACTATGATGCCACATTGTTTGTTAGCTAAGTTTCGTTGTATCAGGGTCAAGGGTTGGGTTTATAAAGGTTATGGTAGACATGCCATGTACTGATTGCTCTGATGAAAACATACAGTGGGTAGAAGAAATGGTCCACCAGTTGGTAGATGGCTTATCACAAAAAAATAATCATAATCACATTGTTTACAGTGTTTCATAGTGGCCTAATACCAACTGGGGATTTCTTCCATTCCACAGTCGTTTGTTGTTTTTTGGAAGCGCCAAGATGATCCAAGATGTCGTCTGCGTCGTCTGCTCAGGCGCCAACAGCCCAGGAAAACTATGTGACAGGTGGGGCTCCCGTTCGCGCCTTCGGTTGGTTGATGTTTGCGGCTGAAAAAACGATGGTTTATGGTAGATACAACGTTTGTAAGTGGCTGAATTCTATGATTTATGGTAGATATAACGCACATCAACGAACTAGATAACTATCGTATTCATGTTTTTTTCAAGCAACGAACATAACTGGGGGGGCCCATCCTGTAGAAGGCTGATCCCTTGCTTGGCCAAGCTTTTTTGTTTCAACTGGATGAAGACCGGAAAACGGTTATGGTTGGAGTTGTCAGAAGTCACTCCAATGCACCTGGATACTTCCAAGGGAAGTCAGTTCGACTCCACATGAAGGGTATGGAGAACTGCAATGTTCATCATTTTCTCATTTGGGTATGGATCAATACCTATTAATACCATTTTTAGTGGGATGAACATCCATTTACCAGCTATTTTGATGTTCACCAGGGGTACAAGGTTTTGACACACTGCCAAATGGCAAAACCGGCAATTGCGGCATGTTAGAACCGAGCATTTCTCTCACTGTTCCGATGGCCAGGCTGGTGCTCCAAAGCACTCGAGGCGTGTTTCAAAAAGGGCAAACATCGATGAGACCGCAGGTGGCTGGGCGGCTGCGGGCTGTGAGGATTTCGGGACACGGGATAAACCAAGAACTTGAATGATTTGTATGAGGATATCATGCGTTTTTTTTAAATGGGAATTGATGGGAACTAGTCACAGTCGAAATTATTGAGAATAGATGGAAACTGATTGTATATATATATATTATAACACACATTATAAAATATAACCATATATAACCAACTTGATAGTTGGATGTGATTGAAAATGGCCGATTTTATCCCCGAAAAAAAATCACCAAGGGGGTTTTCATGGTGATGAATCAGTGGATCAAACTGATCAATCTGTGGTGAGGATTTTTCCGCTTGAATACGTTAGAGGACTGTACTATTCTGTTTAGGTACCAGGTACAGATTACGGACAGATTTTGTTTTGTGATTGTGGTGGGGCTGGCTCTATACATATAATTACATATGTACTGGGTAAATTATATCGGCCTCACTGCGACCTCACTGGAATGATGCTTTTCTCAGGGGAATTATCCCAATCTTCGCCGTAGTTCAGGTTGGTGGTGAATTATTATAATTTATATACTCAGATATAGAACATATATCACTCTCTGGTAAATAAACATAGACCCTGAAAATCACTAATTTTTAATGGAAACTAGTCTTCCAACCCCTATCTGCCAGGGTCTATGTTTATTTACCAGAGGGCAATACATATCACCCATCTGAAATGTCGTGGGAGATTCTCAAAATCGCCCCCTTTTTCGCCACAGGTGCCGTGACGGTGCCATGACGCTCTGAGGGGAAGGGTGTGGCACTGGCCAAGGAGCAGGGGATTTGCCACTTGGGTTGATGGAAAATTCGTTTGTTGGAAGATAGGCCACCCCCATTCCATCCAGTGGTGCCGAACAGATCCGAAAATCATTGTCCCCATGGCTAAGATATGGCTAAAATGGGGATGTCGCCCATTTTCACCATGTGTAGAGTATCAAAATGATTCAAAATGGTCATTGTTAAATTAGGGAACAGGGTTTCCCAATTTCAGAGAAACCACTGTGATGACTTGCATGTTTTGTCCACAGGAATGGTACACCAAGAACTGGATGCCCAATGCTTAGTAGCAAAAGTGCTTTGAATGTGAAGCTATGTGAAGCTCAAATCAACTCATCTTTCAAACGTGACCTTTCTGGAGTAACACCCAGTTGCAAGATGACGAGATCACGTCGTCGCCCTGTTTGAGCCCCTGGTTCATGGCACGCGCCGTTTGGACCCACCGTGGGAATCCCGGTCGAATTCGACGCAGCAAAGCGCAGGCCCTCCCAGCGGAAGCCGCTAGCGCAGCACAGAGGGTGGAAAACACTCTCCTTATGCTGTGAAATCGTTCGGTGCCAGAGCTTGGCCTCTTGAGAAAAACCTATGATCAATCGACCAATCATGATCAGATGATGTGTGTGTCTGAAAACGGAAGATGAAGCCCACCATTTTAGGCCATTAAAAAATAGCACAAGTGATGATGAACCAAAAGAAATGAGGCGCCCTATTCTCAGACAAACCCATATACAGGATATTAAAGTGCTGTTGAATGTCTTTTGTTTCTTTGACGCTTGGGGCGGCGCTTCTCTCCACAGTTCCAAGTGATCAAAATGTGCGGCTTCAGACTGGGGGTTGCCTTTGGCGACCGCCGCGACTGGTGAACCACGGTTCAGCTTGAACAATCCTCAAGAGCGTTTGGGGACGGAATTTTCGCTTCATTTTAAGAACTTCTGGAGGGTAGAAATGACAATGTTTGCTTTGCATTTTCAAGGACTGAAAGGAAACGTCGCAATATTTTTCCCACATGCTTTGTATCAATTCGGATTCATTATTCTGATCACTATTTGTGTATGTGCCTCTATGGGTCAAAATTATCAACCCAGAAATTGACTAAGTACTATATACAAATGACAAACTTTACGGGTCCGTCAGTACCTCAAGTTTGACCCCTAGATGTCGTGAAATTCGGCTAGTTGCTTGATCAATAGGGATTCTCCCCCCCTCACAACCAAGAGGTAGATAAGAAAGGGTAGTTTTTTACCCATCGCCTCTTTTCACAGAATTGGATGGCAAAGTTTACAGGAAACCCATGGTTATTTGTTTTTTTTTTAAAAAAAACATGGTTTCCCGATGTTTCCTGTAGATTTTCCCTTAAACATCTTGAACCAATCCATTGATTATTTGACCAGTAGCCATTTGCATTGCAGGTCCTCCGCCAAATCCCATCCCTCCAGGGACGTTTTCGCGTTTCACAGCGTTGAATGCTCGGCGTTCGCGGCCCCGGCCGTCCGTGCCATGGGTCAAAATGGAAGACGAAGCCACAGAGGTTTGTATGCTGTAAAGGATGTGATTTTTTGACATTTTTGGGGCCCCAATTTCTGCTTAAACTCATATCTTGCTTCTATTTTTTTGTGCTCAATGTTGGAACACTTGCTGGAAACCATTGGAAACAGCCTTGAAACAGATTGCCATCAGCTCAGCACACCTGATCGGCCGCATGGGACGGCTGGGCGTCGGTTCCTTCAGTTTTGCGCGAAACTGCAGACAGTGGGCTGGTCGTTGTGCTCAGTGTCGAGAATCTGGCGAAATTTCCAGTTTAATCTCCATCTGGCTGAGATCGGGGGCACAAAACATCAGCCTTTTGGCCCATTTTTGGAATGACAAAAATCACTTATATAATGGTGTTTGTTCAATATTTTCCACTATGTTAGTAGGACTGTACTCTTGTATGTTTGTTGGCACTCCATTACCAACTAGAAGAACAATGAAGAACACATGTTCGATGAGTCAAAACAAGATCTTACAAACCAGCAATCAGCAACATGATGAAGAAGGGGGCACGAGCTTGCATCCGAAGAACCCAGTCCTCCAAGTTCATATCATATAATATCATATAATCATATCCCATTATCATCCATGATCCATGATTGCTAAATGTCCACTTTGTATCTATCTCCATAGATATATCATATGATTATACGTATTATCTAAGACTTTTTCAACTGACCCTATCGAGCTGACCCCTATGTTTTCCATTTTGGCATTTTGATGGTTTTAACTGGTTTACCTTGATAATGTTGGCTTCCCAACGTGATGCATAATCTGGAATGCTCATTGTAATGCGAGCTATCAATCAACTCTCCACATTTCCCCAAGTTTTGGCTCTATGCATCCAAGTGTTGCATTGGCGGGTCTACTATTTCCATCAAATTTGGTGATTCTCCCAGATTTCCCCAATTTCTAAGGGTCAGATGGGGTCGGTTAGACTAAGTGCCCAAATCACCACCTAAACGGGGCACTTAGTCTAACCGACCCCTACTCTTCCTGGACAATGTGGGGATGGTCATCTGGGCAGGGGTCGGTTAGACTCAGTGGCCAAATCACCACCTAAACGGGGCACTTAGTCTAACCGACCCCAATTTCTGGGACATTTCCCCAAGATCTGGGTAAGGTGAGGAGTTTAGGGAATCTTGGAAAGTGGGAATGCGGTTCGGTGGGGAACATTTCACCATATTTCACCCCATTTCCCTCAATTTTCCCCTACTTTTTTGTGCAACTTCACTTACTCATGGTTAAATTTTGGAGGAGCTTGAGATATAAATCCCAGGGAAATGCATCAAATTTTGCATAAACTGACCACATGATATAACATGGTGTCGGGACATAGGGTCGGGTAAATAAGGACAGTTGACATTTTTTTAGATATTATTCCCATATATCGCCAAATGACATATATCTCCATACATCCACATATATACAATATATACATACATACATATATATTTATATGTATTTCCATTTTAGATGCCAATGATATCCCCCATCTATTGTTGGCTGAACACGGCCTTTCCACTGTCAGCAAATTCCTGGCCGAATGCCACACGCCCCAGCCAGCGCCGCAAGCGGCAGCTGGTGGCGGGCCGCCGTGTACGTCAGGACCGTGGACGAGAGTAGGGAGGTGAACATGTTGCTGATATGAACGAGTGCAACTGTTTCAAATATCATCATCATCATCATCATCATCATCATCAACATCATCATAATGATATTAATGATATCATCATCATCATCAACAACATCATCATCATCGTCACAATAATAATCATCATCAAATAGTATCGTTTGGTGATTTGGTTCCATAGTATCAGTATCACCATCATCACCAACGCGAGGGTAGTAGTTTCATGAAGCCCAGGTGGCTGATGATTATAAACCCGGACCCCCCCAATGAGCTCATGTACTGTAGCTCAAAGTCAAACTTGCCACAAAAGTAACCAATTGGCATTGTAAGATGTAGAAGGGATGGTTTCCGGTCTTTCTAAATTCAACCCGATGACCCCAAACAATGGATGGATAAAAACTCAAAAGAGCAATATGGAGGTTTCCATAAATGGGGGGTACCCCTAAATCATCGTTTTAATAGGATTTTGACTTATAAACCATTCATTTTGGGTACTCCATTTATGGAAACAAACCCCTAATATAAGTGGTTCACTGGGTTTGAATTTTGTTATGGCCATGGGCCCCCAACCACCAGTTATTCTATCACATTCTATCTATTTCAATGCAAAAAAAAAACACGTTTTAACCGACGTGCTTCGCCGATTTAATGCGTTTTGATCACATTTGATCATATGATGTTTGTCTGTAGGACTTACCTCCAAATCCAATAGGAAACCTCATGATTTGCCCGAAAGAGGACGAACTTCTTCGCCTGAAAAAGTCATTTGGGTCATCTTGGTCGCTACGAACGTTCCCCAAGAACTCGACCGCGATCCGAAAGAACACATCACCACCGGGCCTCTGGTTTTTTCAGCGGCCGGCGGGTTCACAGCCAGATGGTGCGGATGAATAATTGGAGCTGGGAAAATGATGACTGGACAGTGATTTTTATAGTTGGTCTGTGTTACGGGTTTGTCAAAACATGTATATTGTATATATATATATATTTATATACATATTAAATATCTGTAATATACATCTAATACATATCTAATATATATTATAGCTATTATATGTGTGTATATATATATATATATCTAGTTTTATACCCTCCGATGTCCTCAAACATGGCTAGCTGGGAAATCCCCGAACTCAATGGAGTTTTTTTTTTCCGCTAGGAACATCATCGAACTAAATAGGGGATTTTCCGGGCCATGTCTGCCATAGTCAACGGAAACGATCTCAGTTCGATGATTTTCCCATGCCCATTCGGTTCGTGGCTTCCCCAGTCAATTCTTTTGACACCCGAGGGTAAACTAGGTGGCATAGATCTGAGATCCGGCTATGGCCTGTGGACCTGGGGCTTGCAGCCTGATTGCTGAAGTGCACGGGTAGCTTCACGGCGCCTCCCCTGAAGGGGCCCTTGGCGTCGAATCGACGGTGCAGAGCGATCGCCACCCACGTCCAGACGTGAAGAAAAGGGGCACAGTATCGGTCGAAACTGCTGGAAGTTGATGGTAACCTCATCCCCAATATTAAACATCCCCCAAAACTATAGTCTACAGTAGTAGGGGATGAAGCCACATGTTTGATACAATGGGGGTGTTGAATATTAGGAGGATGGGATTATTTGCAAAGCTCCTTCAAACATGGAGCGAGATATTGTTTATCATCTAAAAGGTCGGACATTCATTTGGCTAACATGCCCTTTGATATGCCAGTTGGAACATGCTAATATTCAGAGATAAATCAAATCATTCATTGTGGATTTTCGGATGTTATCCCAGGAGTTCGTGTGTCTACTTCCCTATGAAATCTACAGTTTGGTTTATCCAACCCTCCAAAGTAAGATGTAGAAAATCCCCATTTTTCTCCCCGAAAAATGATCTCCAATGGCCCATATCATGGCACGGCAGGTGCTGCTGCCGAAGTCCGGTGCCGACCGGTGACAACGAAAAACAAGGGCGATGGGCGATGATGGGCGCTGGGTTTGGAGTTGAACATGCATCTTTTAAAGTTTTACCAGCTGTTTTTTTTCCCATTACAATGACTGGTTTTATCTCCTCATGCCATTAATGCATGGTTATCTTCTGTAGGATGTTATTCACCAATCTTCTCTTCTCTTCTCTTCTCTTCTCTTCTCTTCTCTTCTCTTCTCCGACTCTTCTCACCTCTGCTTTTCCATCTGTCCATATTGATGTCGGAAGTTTGACTTCAAAACTTCCTTCGACCATGTGTTTTCAGATACCACATATGTGCATCTGTGGCTCGATTTTTTTAATGGGTTTGATCACTACATGCCCCCAAATTATTCCAAATCTGGAGCTGTTTATCTATGTTTCGTTTACCAAAGGCTGATCACAAGCAGAAGGTTAGGGCATCCACGGGCACCCCATAATGTTGAATTGTGGAATTATGTAGAGACATCTAGATATGATCGGACAGTCACATTCCCACATCTTATTTTCATGTATATGCACGTAGATAGATAGATGGGTGGATGGATGAATGGATAGATAGATGGATAGATAGATAGATAGATAGATAGATGCAAAACATATACGTAGTCATATTGTGCATGCATATGCATATATATATATAGATATATGTAAATATGACCATGTGTACGAGACACACATGTGATGTGTGCAACCGACACATTCAATTTGTAGGTCCATTGTATTTTCTTTCGACTGGTTATCTCTCCAGCCATTGGTTGAACCTCCGGCACCTGACTTGGCTCAAGTTTGATTCATGGCTGCGATCTGGGCAGCCGTCCCACAACGAAACATCGCGCAAAATGTGGTTTTCAACGCGCCCATCATGTCCCCCCGCAAATTCCATCAAACAACCATTTAAGAACAACTTCAAACATCTTGGGACCGTAATGTATATAGATAAAACATATATATATATATACATATATATATATCTTACAGTCATCCTGAAATAGATAGAACATGGATTTCTCCCAAAAATCCGCACCAAAACGCGAATATCTTTGAACAAACCTTAAGAACTATATTATATTTACTTCAGGATGATTAGGGGACCAACGCAATCCATCATAATCCATGACATTACCCAACAAAAACCGTTCCATAAACTTGGCATCCAAAAATCATTCACAAACAAAATCTTCAACTCAGAGTTTAGAACACAGAAACATCATAAAACGTATCTCTTTAGCATTAACATCATTAAACATGATTAAACAAACAAATCGTCATGGCAGAAAAAACCGGCACCGGAGGCTAACGAGTGTGTCGTCCTTGGGTGAGTTTTCCGCGTCCATGGGCTCGTCGTCTCCCGGAAAGTCCGTTGGAAACCAAGGCGTGGGATGAAAACGACGGGGCCCATATGGGGGTTGTCCAGAAAATCCCAAAAATGGATGATTTACAATGGAAAATCGTATTAAAATGGAAGATTCGGGGGTACCCCTAGTTTAGGAAACCTCCATATTATTACATATTAGTACTAACTATTAGTACTATTATTACTATTGCTGTTGATCTGTTGTAATTCTGATTATCATATTTATATATATGTTCTTGTGATTGATTTGTTATTATAATAATTTTCATGATCCGCTAAAGGAACCATATTTTCAAGGGTATCCAGAGTTTCCCTGTTAATCTGGGAGCCAGTTGGAGCTACATTCAGAGTTTGCAAGCACAGTGCTGGTGATGATTTTTCCCTTGAATTCCCCATATGTCCACATATTTGATAGTTAATAGTTACATCCTGTTGAATTACCATAATATCAGATATGGTTGGTGGTTAATTTTGGTTACTATCTGTTACTATCTCTGCATAGAAGTCATCATGTTTCTTGAGATCCTGTTGTCGAACTCCGAAGCCGTGCCATGGTGGACATCAGTGACATCAGTGACATTTTCCTAATGGGATGGTCATCATGAATATGAGGATATGTCACTGGGGATACGTCATGGGATATGTCATGGGATATAACATACAGGGACATAACCCATAGTTGAGACTTGAGACATATAATAGCTTCATAAGCCATAGGATATACTATAATTCAAAGTTGGATGAAACTTGGATGAATGGGGGATGGTCATCAATCCATTTTCATAGGGGGCGAATGACCCAAGAAAACAAGGGGGTGCCCATCCATCGTGCTGGCATTGGCATGGCGCTGGCCCAAAAAATATCTCCCATGGAACTTGACCATGGCACATTTGGCACATCTACGCCCCAAATCTACCGTGTTACCCCCCAAAACACAAAAAATATATATTTTTCCTATAGTTGATTATAGTTGGCCTTGTATGAGTCCTCATGTGTCATTTCTCTACATGTGGGTTTGTTTGAAAATTTAGGGAAACAATCCAAAGCCTCTGTGAAAATTGCCAATTTGATGGGACATTTCCGTCATTTCTCATCTGCCAAACCCCCCACTCGCCAGGAGATCTTCCACAGAGCGAAGCAGAAACGACTGAGGAGGTTCGGATCCACCAACATAGGTAAGTTGGTTAGAACTTGGCCATCTAGGACTTATGATGAATATATCATATATCTATAGTTGTATAGATGATGCATGATGATGCCAGATGGGGTGAAGCAACTTATAGAACTCGTGGGCCACTTCGATATTTCATGGGTTTCATGGATATATCCACTTCGATATGAGTTCTGCCAGTGGGGGCTCTGTGCTTCAAAAAAATGGACATGAAATCCATAGGGCCATAGGGAAAATGCTGGCAAACCTTCGGATAAAGCACCTCTAAATTAGGTAAATTACAGGGATCATGCTTTGTTCTTTCCTATATCATACTATGCCCTTGGGTGGAAGTGAGAGGCAATGATCAACTCTCCCCTACTCGAACTGCTTCTTTCAAGCCCGCCCCGATGTTGAATAATTGTGTGGCAGCCATATTTCGTCACATTTCTGCCAATGGTGATTGTGGAAACATGTTCTATGTCTTGCAAGGTAATCTGGTGGAACTTACCTGCATAACTTACGCGTGTGGTTGTCTATTAAAAAATCCAGCAAGGAATAGTTTTAGATCCTTCATGACCTGTCCGTTTTCACTTTGGCTGCATCATTGATCGAACCTATTTCCCATCTTCCCATACTCCCAGAATTGGCTGAAGCGAAACAATATGCAGAACAACATAGAACAAGTTTTCTGAAATGCTCATATGCCCCGTGGTTAAAACATCGTATTTCATGTGGGATTCACCGTCATAAACCATCCCCAAGTCAGCGTTAACATACCATCCCCAGGCATGGTCGGTTTATCCACATTGGGAATCCTAGGAATCCCTAGCGGATTGACCACTGGTCCAGGCAGATCCTTCTCCTGGCGAAGGGCCGTCCCTTTGTTTGAAGCGATGGGCCACCACCACGAATCGCGGACAGGAACGTTAGTTGGTGAGTAGGGGACGACACTGGAAATTGTTGGTTTTTGATCAAGTTTCAGCTCATGGATTTTTTTTTCTCAAAATCCAAGCGGTCAATCTCAATGGTTTCACAACCGGTGGATGATTTTTTCAGTCACAGAAGCTCTTGTAGCCACTGGCCACAAACCACCAGACGCCGGATACAAAAGTCATGTTTTGCATAGACCCATTCAGAAGGGATGGTCATTGATCCGATTTTTTGGGATGTTTTTTCTTGATCCAAAGCCTTGATAATCATCACCATGGTGAGGAGATGAAACCATAAATGACGACCATCAACCATCGAAAATTAATGATTGTAATGGGGAAAATTGCGACTAAACATGGGATTATAGATGATTATAGCATCATTTCTTCAATGGGGCTGTGAACAGCTTTAAACAACAAAAACATATGTTTTTAAAAAGGGGGGGTTCAACGCTGACCCATCGAGGGTGAACTCGGCCATCATTGTATCCCTTGTTGGTTTAGCATCTCTTTTTCAAGAAACCTCCAGTGGTAACGAAAACATAGGTTTCGTGCAAGCTGCTCCCCCCAAATCAATCGATGCATTCTGTTAAGACTCGACCTATTTCTGTGTGAAACTCCTCTCTGTTAGGTGAATTCCATGTGTTCAGGATTAAATCCATTGATGGAGATGATTAAGGGAAATCATCCCCAAATGGTCGAACTTTTCAGGTTTGTGAATTGCTAGAGTCTATCCAGATGGACTGATGGACACCCCAGACGATAGGCTTCAGTTGGTCTGTTTCTCGGCCAATGAATGGGTTGATGTTGATGAACAGCTATAGTTAGATGGGTTTATAAAGCAACTTGTAACTAGGGGCCCCTAGCTGTGCGGAATTGTAGAAAATACCGCAACACAGATAGGCAGTCCAGTCCTAGATTCATCCTAGGCCAGATAGGTCCCTGGCTGCCAGTATGAAAATAGGGTATGCAAAGATCCCATGATCCTATGGTTTTAAACTTCATTTTGCCCAATAACATGTTGCCACATTTTCTGGTATCCCATGATATCCACCAGTTTGGACAATAATACAGACCAAACATGTGGTGCATTTTTTTTACGACCTCACTGCAACGTCAAAAATGCTGGGTGTTGTAGATTGATAGTGGGAATGCCAAAATGATCCAAAATGATCCAAGGTGCATCAAAATTGACCCATCCCAGGTCTACGGTGATGGCTGGCCCTACTGCGTCCTGTTCCTCCTCCTCATCGGTCGGGGACCCGTTTAACCCCCCAAACGTGGCGACAAAACCAACGGGGGGAAGTTTAGAGACCAACCGATGGAAATTCCGATTGGTTGTTACCCTCTGGTAAACTAACATAGCTATGGAAAATCACCATTTTTCATGGGAAAATCCACTATTTCTATGGTCATTTTCAATAGCTATGTTAAATTACCAGAGGGTAAATCCCACGGATTATCCCACATGTGTTGTTTTCCATACCAGCAACATCCAACAACAAGGGGAATGTGGGGTATATTGTGCATATTTGTACTCCATCTCGGCAAATTATAACGAACTTGTTGCCACAACGTCACTGTAAATGATTGTTGCCAAAAGAAAAACTATCCCCTAATGATCTTTTTTCAGGGTGATGAATGATTCCCGAGAGCGCCTGAGCGAAGGGTTTTTCCAAAATAAGGAGCTGAGATAATACATCTACACATCTTACATCTTCACATCATTTCACATCTTATGTCTGCAGATCTTACATCTTCAGATCTCACATCTGCATATCTTACATCTTCACATCTTACATCTTCACATCTTATGTCTGCAGATCTTACATCTTCAGATCTCACATCTGCATATCTTACATCTTCACATCTTACATCTTCACATCTTGTGTCTGCCGATCTTACATCTTCACATCTTCCATATTCAGATCTTACGTCTTCACATCTTATGTCTGCAGATCTTACATCTTCAGATCTTACGTCTGCAGATCTTGCACTCTCTCTTCTGACTCTCTCTCTCTCTCTTACGCACAGAATCGCATACTATGCTTGGGAACCCGCTTGCGGCCCAGTCCCGCCGCAGCACAATCACACTTTTTATATAATGAGTTTTTTTACTAGCAAAATGTCGTATTATGCTTGGTAACCCGCTTGTGGCCCTGTCCCGCCAAAGCATAATCACCTTCCTCAGGTTTCTCTATCAAAATGTCCTATTATGCCTGGGAACCCGCTTCGGCACCAACAAAAATCACAATTTTTCTTCCGTTTTTCACGATCGAACCTCATTTCGTGCGCAACTGTCGCATTTTCGTGATCGCTCGTGGCCACCGCCCCGCCTTAAGGGAGAATAGAAATTAGCAGACGAGAGAAGAGAGAGAGAGAGAGAGACAGTAAGAGTGTGTGTGTGTGTACACTGCTATTCACATGCAGAAAACTACAACTGGACATTTGATGACTATGCACGTTATGTTTTCCGAATTCATGCGCCAAAGACTATGCACGTTATGTTTTCCGAATTCATGCGCCAAAGACTACTTAACAGCAGGGGGCTGCAGGGAATGTCATAGTTCTGCAGCCAACGAAGACGGCTATGACATTCTGTGATATCGATCCGGGACGCTGGATCGACGTACCTGCCTAATCATGTCTTTCCATTTCCGCGATGGGATGTGGCTAACCCAAGAACCACCTTGCCGATTAATGATTTGGACCTGGTTTCACCTGTTTATCAAGGATGATGGACTCAGGAATTCTACCAGGCATGTACAACCACATCGTCATTGCAGTTCACTTCCAAAAATCAACAGTGTGCATTAGTCATGTGTCCTATACAGACCATGACCTCATCATCCCTAATGGGGAAGAACAATCTTGGCATAGTGTGCCGAATCCGCCCTCTACGGAGGCAGAAGTTGAGCGAGTAGCCATAGGGGCTGCTAGAAGTGATGGCAATAGCCGAAGGGGGGTCAAGGACAATTGAAGGGTGGCATAAGCCGAAGGAGTGCCCAACGGGCGAATGGTGCCCATAGGGCGAAGGTGGCCATGTGCCGAAGGATTTTATTGGCCGGGAACCCTACTTCTTACTGTCATTTTATGAGTTTCCACCTTCTCTTTCAAATCAATTTACAATTGTGAGGACAAGAGATCAATTTGAAGAGATCTAGAATATAGGAAGACCTATCACAAAAGTGTGCGGACACACATAGTTTGTGATGCTCGAACCAAGCAGAATGTCAAACACGGTAGGGACTTTATCGCTGCAGATGTGTGTACGATCTTGATTCATGTTTTCGAGGTTTTCTACTGAGCGAACACTTCAAACCAATCCAATAATTGAGACCATAGTCTTGTGAAGTACCTCCTTCGCCATAGCTTATTTTCACTGGGATGTGTTAGCTACCGACAGATACAAGGCGCATCTATGGGCTCACAGTGGGCCCCAGTTGTATGTTCACTAGTTGCCCTACATCGAGAGCACACCTACAGCATGCCTTTTTGGACAAGCCATTTTTTCTGGAAAACTTTTTAGTTCCTTTCGTTATGTTGACAACCGTCTGCTTTTGGGTCCACAACAACTCACTGATCGCCTTCGACAAACTTGCTTTTGGAATTTAGACTTCTACACCTCGCCCATTCTTTTGGAAGAAGTACAGGGTTTTGATGCACTTGGATTCAACATCAATCCACATCAACGTACCATTACATCGGTATTGCCTTGGGACACAGTGATACGCACTTCCGCTGGTTTTGGACCTAGAAGCTCCATGTATACAGGTTTCATTGCTCGAACACGTCTAATTTTACAAAATACTTTTCCTCGTGAACTTCAACTTCCTCAAGTTCAAGACCTGCTCGCCCTTCATACCCTTCAGGAACCTAGATACTGCGAATGCATTCCTCAGATCATTTCGATTGCCCGCAGTTTTGGACACAAATGGACCAGACAACAATTGACACCGTTTGACTGAAAAGAAGCCGTTGTAGCTGCATTTTGATTTTTGTGCTTTTCATTCCAATCGCAACTTTGCAACTGTTGCAACTGTTCAAACGTTTTTCTGCAACATCCCACCCAAAACGCCTGGCTCGCAGTGTGATATTTGTTTTTCCGTAATTGATTATATTCAGTTCTCCAGCTTAGTTTACGTCCGTTGTTCTACTCTATATGGTTCACGGTACTGCAACACACTGGCTTAAGTGTTATATAACTGTGATTCAATCAATCCATTTACTGTTTTTCATCACTGCGTTCTATCTCAACCACCTGACCTACGTGTTCTACGCGTCGGAATCTCAGTTTTTGGCGAATTCTGCCCTTCGTCCATAGACAACTAATCAAACGTTCATTTTAAACGGATTTGTGGAAGAACAAGAATACAATCAATTTGTGTCCATTTCATTTCGTGGTATCCATGTTTCAATTGAAGTGCAGTTCTCTTCACTTTTTAACACTCCAAAGTCATACTGTCCTTGCTCTATTTGTTCCACGCGTCGGCAACCCAGAAGTGTCACCTTCCTTATGAAGACATATGTATATATGTGTATACCGCTCTCCACACGCAAAGTGTTGCGCAATCTGCAACAAACAATTGATGTTCGTGAGGGACAAGGGCACGATAACTTTGGATTGCATCATATTCAATTATTTCGCTAATACAAACTTTGGATTGCATCATATTCAATCATTTCGCCAATAACAATTAACACCTTTTAATCTAACCATGTCCTTTCCATTTCGACTTTATTTATCGCGATTTCTTTGATCTACGTGGTCTACTTGCTCTACACGCAGTCTTTCAGAATTTGCCTTCCATGTGAAGGGGGTGCCCAACGGGCGAATGGTGCCCATAGGGCGAAGGTGGCCATGTGCCGAAGGATTTTATTGGCCGGGAACCCTACTTCTTACTGTCATTTTATGAGTTTTCACCTTCTCTTTCAAATCAATTTACAATTGTGAGGACAAGAGATCAATTTGAAGAGATCTAGAATATAGGAAGACCTATCACAAAAGTGTGCGGACACACATAGTTTGTGATGCTCGAACCAAGCAGAATGTCAAACACGGTAGGGACCTTATCGCTGCAGATGTGTGTACGATCTTGATTCATGTTTTCGAGGTTTTCTACTGAGCGAACACTTCAAACCAATCCAATAATTGAGACCATAGTCTTGTGAAGTACCTCCTTCGCCATAGCTTATTTTCACTGGGATGTGTTAGCTACCGACAGATACAAGGCGCATCTATGGGCTCACAGTGGGCCCCAGTTGTATGTTCACTAGTTGCCCTACATCGAGAGCACACCTACAGCATGCCTTTTGGACAAGCCATTTTTTCTGGAAAACTTTTTAGTTCCTTTCGTTATGTTGACAACCGTCTGCTTTTGGGTCCACAACAACTCACTGATCGCCTTCGACAAACTTGCTTTTGGAATTTAGACTTCTACACCTCGCCCATTCTTTTGGAAGAAGTACAGGGTTTTGATGCACTTGGATTCAACATCAATCCACATCAACGTACCATTACATCGGTATTGCCTTGGGACACAGTGATACGCACTTCCGCTGGTTTTGGACCTAGAAGCTCCATGTATACAGGTCTCATTGCTCGAACACGTCTAATTTTACAAAATACTTTTCCTCGTGAACTTCAACTTCCTCAAGTTCAAGACCTGCTCGCCCTTCATACCCTTCAGAAACCTAGATACCGCGAATGCATTCCTCAGATCATTTCGATTGCCCGCAGTTTTGGACACAAATGGACCAGACAACAATTGACACCGTTTGACTGAAAAGAAGCCGTTGTAGCTGCATTTTGGTTTTGTGCTTTTCATTCCAATTGCAACTTTGCAACTGTTGCAACTGTTCAAACGTTTTTCTGCAACATCCCACCCAAAACGCCTGGCTCGCAGTGTGATATTTGTTTTTCCGTAATTGATTATATTCAGTTCTCCAGCTTAGTTTACGTCCGTTGTTCTACTCTATATGGTTCACGGTACTGCAACACACTGGCTTAAGTGTTATATAACTGTGATTTAATCAATCCATTTACTGTTTTTCATCACTGCGTTCTATCTCAACCACCTGACCTACGTGTTCTACGCGTCGGAATCTCAGTTTTTGGCGAATTCTGCCCTTCGTCCATAGACAACTAATAAACGTTCATTTTAAACGGATTTGTGGAAGAACAAGAATACAATCGATTTGTGTCCATTTCATTTCGTGGTATCCATGTTTCAATTGAAGTGCAGTTCTCTTCACTTTTTAACACTCCAAAGTCATACTGTCCTTGCTCTATTTGTTCCACGCGTCGGCAACCCAGAAGTGTCACCTTCCTTATGAAGACATATGTATATATGTGTATACCGCTCTCCACACGCAAAGTGTTGCGCAATCTGCAACAAACAATTGATGTTCGTGAGGGACAAGGGCACGATAACTTTGGATTGCATCATATTCAATTATTTCGCTAATACAAACTTTGGATTGCATCATATTCAATCATTTCGCCAATAACAATTAACACCTTTTAATCTAACCATGTCCTTTCCATTTCGACTTTATTTATCGCGATTTCTTTGATCTACGTGGTCTACTTGCTCTACACGCCGCTACCTCAGAGTGCCTTCTTTGGAAAGACCTGTCCATGAAGATGCAGGTGCGTATACACCTAATCCCAAGCATGAATTTCATTTTCGAATGAGTTCAACGTTGCTTATATTGACGTGATCTGCTTGCTTCATTAGGCAGTCTTTCAGAATTTGCCTTCCATGTGAAGGCCTTTGTGTGTGTGCACACTGCTATTCACATGCAGAAAACTACAACTGGACATTTGATGACTATGCATGTTATGTTTTCCGAATTCATGCGCCAAAGACTATGCACGTTATGTTTTCCGAATTCATGCGCCAAAGACTACTTAACAGCAGGGGGCTGCAGGGAATGTCATAGTTCTGCAGCCAACGAAGACGGCTATGACATTCTGTGATATCGATCCGGGATGCTGGATCGACGTACCTGTCTAATCATGCCTTTCCATTTCCGCGATGGGATGTGGCTAACCCAAGAACCACCTTGCCGATTAATGATTTGGACCTGGTTTCACCTGTTTATCAAGGATGATGGACTCAGGATTCTACCAGGCATGTACAACCACATCGTCATTGCAGTTCACTTCCAAAAATCAACAGTGTGTCAAACCCTGTCGACTAAGGGCAGCGAATACTCGGTCTTGTTTTTGTTTCTCACAGCAGGGGGTCGCAGGCTTGTCTTTGACGCTGCGGCCAACGAAGACCGTCATTGACAGGTGTGTAAACGTACCTGCTAGGGATGCTCCTGGGCGCAATGGTCGCAGCTGGGGTCCCACATGGTTCCACATCTAAACGCATGAATCACTATTGGCTACTATATCCGGTCACAGGATGTAGGGCACATGATGCCCATGTAGACATTGCTTTCTTGAGACTTGATGATGCAGTAAGCGACCTCCTCATTTCGTTGGGGACGGATACAAGTGTGTTTCGGCCAGATACTGTCAAAGAGCTGGTCGTGACCGGGGGCGCCCGGCCGATTTCATCGGTCTATTCTGATATTTAGATTCCATAATGCTTGAGCCTGGTATTTTCCGGGATTACATTGCAGCTGGTCTACACTCTTCACCCAACGCTATATTCAAAACGCAACAAGTTTCCATCAGTTGAACATTGCGCTCACTGATCTAAGAACTTCAGAGTTGATGGTTAACAAGATACAGGAGTTTTCACGTCTACACGATGTTCTTAAATCTGTATTCAAGAATTCACCTGTGAATGATGTCCGCTTATGTGTGCCTCTCATTCGTTTTCGTCGTTTTTAAGTTACTAAGTGTTCTGTGGCGGTTTTCCAGGTCTCCAAAACAGATGTTCCACGTTCAGGCGTTGGATCGCATGGTTTTTCTGTACAGTCGTACAGATTTGAGCAAAACATGTTTACCTTTACCTATCATCCATTGAATGGCTCTAAAGGCCTTCTCTTTTTCTTCCTCCGTTTCTCAATGTCAATCTGACGATTGCCGTTTTCCCAGCTCAGCTGTATCATACTTGCGCTTTCCAGAAGTTAGTTCAGAGCCAGGGTCTACATCACAACACACCTTTGACACAGAAACCTTGAATTTAAAGAATGAATTCTTCTTCCGTTTTTTGTTACTTGGTCCTTTTATAGTTTGACCTTTTCCATTTCTTTGCAGTTGCAGCCATGTCTCACTATCACTTACTTCAACTACACTACAACTACAACTACCACTACAGCCTCAACTTCAACTTCAACTTGAGCTTCAACTACACTACAGCTACAACTACAACTACACTACACTACATTACAACTACAACTACCACTACACTACACTACACTACACTGCAACTAGAACTACAAGTACAGGTACAACTACAAGTTCAACTACACTACAACTACAACTACAACTTCAGTTACTTCTACAACTACAACTGCAGCGACAACCACACTACACCACTCCAGGCCACACTACATTCAGCAGTTGTGGGCGAGTTGACCACTGCAACCACTCCAAAAAGAACAACTCCAACCACGTTTCGGTCCATCAGTGGAATCGCTCTGCCATCCATGTATCACAACAACTCACCTCTCTTATAGTTGTCTATCTTTGCAACTTCCACCACTGCCTTGTGCGGTACTACTGGTGCATTAAACATCATCATAGAATGGTTAGTTGAACCATTCCAAACATGATTTCTTTGAGGTCACACAGTCATACAGTTGTTTGTTTTTGCGCAAATGATCGCAGATGTATATGACCATGATAAATGCCGGTTTTAGCCACTAAAAATTGGCCGCATGATGCCGCATGGGGATATAACAAATTTATGGGAAAAATGCATTGCAGTAAAAATGTATAGTTCCTCGTTGCCAGGACCCATGCGTTTTCAAGATGGTAAAGTATCGTAAACGACATGATCGAATGATTAGGATGATTGTGGGAACATCGAGTCGAGTCGATGGCTTGAAATCAGGTTTGTAAGCCAGTCTTATTCTAGTTTGATTATTCCTGGATGAATTAGAATGACCTACCTGTGACGTCACTGGAATGATGGTGACGAAGGGGAATCATCTCCGAAAGGTTTTATTTCATTTGTTTTCGTGTTTGGTGAACTTTTATAATTCAGCCAGTAAATTACTAGGAAACGCCCTACCCAGGTCAGTGACTCTGTGATTTCATAGAATTCACAACAATTTTTTCAAGAATCGGAACGCAGAATCAATGGCACTTCTGTCGAAGTCAGCAATTTGGAGGTGTTGGTGTCTGGTGCTTAAACCTGGCAAGGGAAAATCCGGAGCATTCGATCTTTTACCTTGGGGCTGGAAAAAAGGCTGATGTTGTTTATGGATGTTTATGGGGATTCCATGGATGAATCCGTGGAAGAAAAGCCGGCTGACAAACTCACAGTTCCAGGCAATGCCTTTGAAGGAAAAAGTGGAGGACGTTTGGGATATCACCAGGGTTTGGCCAGTGGAGGCCCCATGTTTTACCGTGTTCTACCCTGTTGTAACCCTCTCTGTCCCCGGGTCCGAGAAAATTTCCAGAGTTTGCTTCTTGATTTGATCATCTGAATCATTCATGTCTTCTAAATTTACCTCCATGGGCATTCAACAAATATCCCACATGTGTAGGTAGATATTGGAAACAGAATTCAAAATTCACCCAAATCTTTATATGTATATAATTGTATATATATATATATACATAATTATATATATATATACAGTTACTATAGTGTATATGTATTACATAAAATAATTATATTAATTATTAATATTTTACATACATCGTAATTTTGTATCCAAATATTATATGCATACATTCATCAATATCTATACACGATGGCCCTAGCATTGCCAAAAGCCGAGACGCAGCTCCTTGCCGCTCCTAGCGCACCGTTCGCGAGGACGAATCTGTAGACCGGCAGATTGCAGCATGTCGGGGCCACCCAACCCTTAGTGGACTAGGTGATCGTGGTGAAGAACCCCAATTTGACCCGAGTTTTAGTTGATAAAGAACCACATTTGTTTGGCAAAAAACTTTTTATTATTTGGCAAAAAACTTTTTATAACCACATTTGTTTGATAAAGAACCACATTTGGAGTGGTGGGGATGTATAATAGGATGTACCCATTGGGCATCAGTTCCATGGTTTGCTGGAGAATTCCCCCATTTAGTTCGGTGATTGTCCCATTTAAGCTGCCAATTTTTAGGGAACATCCCAGTGCCATGTTTGATTACCAGAGGGTCTGTCATGAAATATGGAAGATAAATCATAGGGTTTTTGGGTGGAACATCTTCCATATCTTCCATATTTCATGACATGATGTAGCTCAAAAAACAGTCTTCATATCATGGGGTTTTCTTTCCAACATGAACAATACCCTCTGGTCATTTTCAATAGCTATGTTAAATTACCAGAGGGTAGTAGAAGTCCCCCACATGTTGGGAAAGTCTCTGTAGCTCCTTGGCTACGAACAGAAGAGATTCCTGGATATCTCCATAGCTCCATATCACTGCGACGTCACTAAAAAAAAATGCTTAGGATTCGGGGAATTATCCCAGAGAAGCCTTATTTCAGATTAGTGAATTATGATAATAATATATATATATATACCCATATATATATATAATATATGTATATATATATATATGTACACATACATGTCCCCACCATAGCAGATATTTTTAATTAGTGAAATCAGCATTTTCGTTGGTGAACTTGCCATGAATCATAATAAAACATGATCAAACCTTGTAAACCACTATCAACATGTATTTTGTTGGTTAAATTCCTGTTTTTCTCTGGTTCAATCCACATTATCTTGTTGAAATCCCTACGTTCCTTGGTCTACTGCGCGAGCACGGCTCAAGGCAGTGAGGGCGGAGCGCCCAAGAGCGAACAGCGACTGCGGGCGCGCTGGGAAAGTATGGATTTTACATGGAGATCTAGAGATCTCTACATGATTTTCCCAGCTTCTCAAGCACCATTATAAATGGATATAATGGATATGATGGATATGATGGATATATAAAGATATATATGTATATAGATATATTGGGATATTCATTGAAATGCTGCGGGATAATGGGAGTTTTAAACATTAAGAAATGGCGAAGCGGGGTTTATATAATAGGATACAATTCACCAACTTGATTTGATTTTTATCATTATTTTTTCCGGTTGTTGTATGAAAAACGGTGGGAATAACAATGCTGATACTACCCTCCGGGTATTGTATGAAACTACGTAACATAGATATATCAGACATGGGAAATCAGACATGTAAGTCATTTCTGAACGGGTTTCCGGTTTACCGGAGGGAAATGCCCTATAAAAACACTGGTTGTTGGGTTTCCAACGGTGGTCAGGAACTGAATTTCGGGCTTCCATCGGATGTAACCAGCCAAGATGTGGATTTAAGCACTAAACATGGGACTTTCCAAAACAGATCAGCGAGAAGCGAGAATCTTGGGAAACAGATGGAAACAACAGAAGATGAAGTGGAGATGGTCGTATTCCTGACGAATAATGTGGTAAACCTTGGTTGAATCTTGCACAACTGTGGCCTCTGCCCTGACCATGCTACCGACTCACTAGAAGGCTACCCCCATTTTTCCATCCAAATGCGATGATTTTTCCCTTTTGGGGGCATCAAGCCACATCTTTGCTTCCCTTTCAGGGCCTAGGGATGCATAGCAAATTTCGTAAAAGGGGCGCTGCCTTCAGGCAGCTTCAGTGTCTTCAGAAGCTACCAACGATCCGTTTCATGTTTTTTTTTTTAAAATATATATATTATATTAGTATAGTATTGTATCTTTTATAGACCATTAATGGATGTTCCCTGAGTTGGGTAGATCATGAGTACATATCCATCCCCCTATTTCAATCCAGTGATTCAAACTCCAGTGATTTCATGGAAGCGTTCTGAACGAAGCACCACCCCAGTTCCCGTTGTGCATGTTATAGATACACACATGTATTTACATATGCAGGTCAGAAATGGTCAGAATATATGAATATACACTAGTGTAATATACATCCAAATTAGATTCATTCGACGCAGGTCAGATTTCTTGAATCTTTTGATACAGTTAAGATCAGTTTTTTGTGTCCGTTCATTCACATGCTGTGTTTTTGGTCAAGATTCGTGTGAGGCGGTTGAGGACCCAGCCTTCAGCCTGAAAGTTTCTCGGGATTGGAAGGCTGGGAGAACTCATGGGAGAACTCAATGGGATTTTAATGGGATATGAACTGGTGATTCCCCCTTGGAATTCATGGTATTCAACGGGGGGATTAAATCAGGATCTCATGGGATGATTTTTTTTGGATAATAAATTAATCCCCTTTTTTGTAGGTCAAAGTATTAAAGGTATCATGATCTAATTGGCTAATTGGTTCTCCCTAAATAGTGGTAAATTTAATATCCTAATGCTAATAGGAAATACCAGATAATAGTAAATTTAAATTACACTACTATCCAAATAGTGATAAAATCTCCTACTGAACTGGTATTTCCCCAAGTATTCACAGCCTTTTTGGACCAGTCGTATTGTCAGTGAAAGCCTGATTGGTCACAGCACATGGCTGGTTTGATCCACGAACTTCCCAGATTCAAATGGTGAACATCGCCGTGAGCGTGAGGTCAGTCCCGGCTCGATCCCGATCCCTCGATATTCGTCCATATTGAACATAGCCACTGTTTAATAGCTAACTCATCTATGATAATCATCTAACTCAACGGCCATGGCTTCGGCCGACAGCGAGCCAACAGGCGGAACTTCAACAGATCCGCGCCACAGTGGAGGTCCGTCGGTTTTTTCATGGGATCCAACGTGATCCAACCAGAGATGACTGGGTGTGTTATATGGGGAATATGTGGGGATACCCCCCGGTTATATGGTTATATAATGTTATATAATGTTATTAATAGGATATTAGTAATAGGGGAATATGTGGGGAAATATAGGGCCCTTTTTTTGTGGGGAATATGTGTGGATACCCCCACCCAAAAAATATCCTGTCCATCCAATAGAGGGGAAACTGTGGGTTTACCATGGGGATTTTAGGTACCAGCAAGCAATGGGAATGTACAACGGCGAGAGGGAATTCAAACAACACATGAAACATGTTGGCAACTGGAACATGTTGGCAACTGATACAGCATGTTAGCGACAAAACAATGATTAAACACGACCAGTACGCACATCCCATGCAAGACAACCAGCAAGAGCAAGAGTGAGTACCATGCGCCAACGTACTCCAAGAATAATTGAATAATGTCGTAAACGCAATGCCATACACCTCTATAAACCTACCATGACTGGGGATGATTGAAATCACACCACAAATGGTGATGACTTGGATGATTTATGACACGAAACACGCCAGGATCCGAATACCTCCGAGGAGGAAAAGATCCATATCCTACACGAGGCGTGGGCTTTGCCTTGGAAGGTTCAGTACAGATAATTTCCATCTGAATTTGGTACATGTTGTACATTTTGTACATTGTGCAGCAATCCATTTTGGTACTTGTAGCATTTGTTTTGTACATTTTTGAACTTGTTTCAGCCATCCAGTGGATGGGTGTCTGCTTTGACCCATAAGGAAGGGTGAATAACACGCCCCTAGTGTATTCTGTGCGGTCTATCTTCTAGCTTCCGTTCAGATAATTGGTTTCTTCTTGGGTTGATCCGTACATTGCATCATTGCAAGAAGGCACGCCTCCTGATATTGTTCGTTCAGACAGCATCTTTGGCCTGGGAAAGCACAGTACCATTGAGTGATCCTGACAGACTTATTTGATCGGAACTGGAAATTTGAACCATGCCCATGGCATGTTGGGACAGCCAAGAGGGTGGTGCATTTTGTTTGTCTCGTCATGCCATCGTCACATATCGCCTCAAAAGGTGTATGTACTGGTTTCAGGCGCATGTCTAGCAACCCCCACACAGATAGAACCGTTGGACACCTGGAAATGATGGAGGAAACATATGGAAACATCATCTACAACCTCCCAGAGTAACTTTTAGCTTTTCATATCTCTTCTATCTTTGCGGAGACCCTACAAAGTTATTTTTACATTTGTGGATCGGTTTGGGTCTTGAATTGCCATGTCTGGAACCCATGGCCTTTTTAGGCCCTTTTTTGAAAGGATTCCTCAGCTGGATGAGATTCCCAGATTTACTGGGTGACCTGCCGGTTTTTTCGATGACATTCCTTTCTTGGTAGGCAAACATGGCTGGAAAATCACCAGAGAATTGAGCTCCAGAAGCGGATTGGACAATGACCATTGCGATTGAAGACAATGACCGTTTGGTGTGATAGGAAAATGTACAGGAAATCCATCTTCCACATTGGTGGATTAGTTTATATATATAGTTACTTCTAGAGTAGTAGAGCCTCACTGGCCTCTCTATCCCCAAACATGATCCAAAAATGATGATTGGCATTGGGGGCATTTTCCTACAGCTGGCGAAACTTAAACAGCCTTTCTGATTTATTGTTTCTGAATAGCTATTGCAAGTTCAGGGTTTTTTTCAAATGTCCCGTTCTAGAGATTTCAATCATCACTTTCAAGTACCCTCGGTTATTTAACTTTTCAGGGTTTCCCCCCATAAGAGTTGCCCAGAAGTTGTAGAGACGATTGTTTAGCTTGTCTGGTTAGCCTCTTGTAAACGTTTACATAGCGAACTGGAAAGATCCACCATTTTGAAGAGCCAGATATCAACTATTTCGATTAGGGCCATGGCTTCAAGTTCGCAAAGTGTTAGTCATCACCAGAGGGTAGTGGCTTGAACCATTTTTTTAATTTTCCGTCCTATGACTGGGATGATCCAAACGGACGCGCATCTTTGGGATGGGTTGAGTCCGCCAAGATCCACCCTAAGCACGTTTCTCGGGATAAACATGGCTGTGCATGGCCGTGAAAAGCCATTGGAATTCCATGAGCATCATATTTTCCCTATGAAAACAGCCATAATTGGGGGGTATATAATGGTATATACACCATGTATCAAATCTCACAGTTGGTTAGTTCTATCCCATGAAATCCTATTTGAATCACCATAAATTAGATATTGATCCATGACCATATCCCAACTTGCGCTGGTTGTAACTGATTCTAACACCCCCCAAATCGATATCGATAGGTGCGAAACCTGCAGGCATTGCAACAGCGGATCGATGACACCAGGGCTCAGGAGGAAGTCAAGGCGACTTACCAGTTGGCAAATGGGATGAAACCATGGGAATGTACTGGGGACACAGTGTGGGGATATGGGATATATAAGAACTACAACAAATCATAGCCAACTTGATATGACTTTTTGGGTCTTTGGCAGAGAATTCAGGAAAAAAAACCCTAAAATCGATGGTTAAGCATGATTTTCCCCATTCCAATGGTCATTTTGAGGCCCCCCATTTTCAGAGAGATCCATATGATGAGTAAACCCATCCCAAGAAGAAAAGAGATTTGTAGGCTGGGACATGAGGTGTAAAACGGAGATTTCACCAACAGTAATGCGGATATTTACTACCAATAATCAACAAGAGCGTGATAGAAATAGCTGTGGATCTTTGGGTAAACTGGTGACGGGCACAAAGTTTTATACTTTCATGTTTGCAAGACCGGAAATGGAGACATGTAACTATAACTAACGAGCTAAACATGTTTTTTTGAGGGAAATTCGTCCCATGGCTTGACAAGATTCAACCAACACAACTGGGATGTCATTCGGTAAGTTGGCAATACAAGTGGTCGGCTGTTTCAATTTTTAGCTTATTTTTCTTTTTCCAGGAATGGTAACACCACCAGCCAGATGTGATCTTTGCTCAACAATCACCAGGATTTTACTTGCGAAAATTGAGATTCAATTAGATTTGATCAGCAAAAATGATGGCGTTGAGCAAACCAAACTGGGATTTGCTAACAAGAATGGACAGCCACCAGCAGTGTTTTTTTTTCCCGGTAACAGTCACATTCACTGGGTTGAAACCAGCGTTTTATATGCGAAATGTGTTTTCTCTTTACATTCGCCCTGGATTCATTCTAATTTTAATTGCGGATTTTACATAATTTCAAGATTCGGGATTTCATGCTGTAGATAAAACAAAAAGCAACTGGGACTTAGTTACTCATACCGCCCTAAACGAACAAAAAAAACAAAGAACCAACCCCCAAAAACAACAAGAAACAACTACCTCAAGTTAAAATATCCCAACAAAACCACTTCCCCTCTGCTAAACTAACATAGCCATAAAAAATGGTGATTTTTCCAAAAACTTCCCATCGCCCTCCCCCCGTCCCCGGTCCCCCAAGAGAGCCTTGCAACGTCGTAACGCGGAGGCTTCGGTCCAGAAGCGCATCGAGACGCTGACGGCCGAGCGGGAACGCTGCGATACCGAGGCCTGTCACCGATCAGGATCTTGAAAGAGAAAATGATGACCATTTGGTGCATTGAAAATCACCATTTATTATCATTTATTAGGATTTTCCTAAGAAAATCACCAGAAAATCACCAGAAAACTAAGAAAATCACCAGAAAATCCCCAAATCTCCATCAAAATCATCAAATCACTATCTGGTTGGTGGTTTGGAACATGAATTTTATTTTCCATAATATATGGGATAATCCTTCCCGTTGACTAAATTTTTTCAGGGGGGTTGAAACCACCAACCAGGAAAATGATGACCTCAGATTTTTTTGTTGATGATGGAAAATATGATTTAGATGATTTTAGATGATTTTAGATGGACATGATCCATTTTTTGGTTAATGATAAGATGTTTTGACGTGATATGGGGAATCGAATCCCCCAAATTTCCAAATCAATGAATTAGATGATTTCTGTGGATTTATTTGGGGAATTGTATTACGCTATTAGATTTAGATGGTTGTTTTTCGATCATGATTGTCATGATTTGCCCAGAACATCCAGGGGGGGAATCTCCTTAAGTGGCCAAAGAAATGGGGTTCGGGACAGATCATTGGCCAAGAGAATTGGTGGCAAAATCCATGGGAACATCCTGTATTTCACTGGTCAACAGAATTGTTTAGTGGATAAATTTGATGCAAAATGGGAGTTGAGGAGGTTTGGCGGGGGTTTGGTCAATTTTTGTTTAGTATAGCTTCATGTTTTTTTTCCTTTGCCACAGGTGGAAAATTGACGAACACAGACTGACAAGTTGGAATAAGTTGGAAATGATGCTGGATTTTTCAGGGTATCTGAGGTTCGCCCTGTGGAACCAAGCCTGTGATGCAGAGACAAGAATGAATAGCTGAGCAGTGCCCCAGTTGGCCCCTATCCTGTTGGTTTTCTCAAACGCTTCGGGCATCACAGAGGGTTTTTTGTTGCAGAGCTGTCATATTATGTGCAGAAATGAACCTGCAAAAGTGGCGCAAGTGGGATCTAAGATGAGTTGAGCTGCAAAAAAGATCAAGAATGATTTCGGAAAATTCGCGTCAACATGATTCAACATGTGTCAAGCAGTAAAGAAAAAGGCTATGACCAGTAGAAGTTGATAGCCATGGATAGCCTCTGGAAACTTGTTGCCACTTTGTTATAGCTATGGAAAATCATGGCGCAACGGGAGGCGCTGAGGCTCAACGGCATGAAGGTAAAGTTAGAGGCGCAGCGGCTTGAGTGACCAGAGATAAAAACTATGTAAAGATTTTAGCCGAAAAAAATCAGCGATAGACACTGATAACTTCAACAATTGAGAAGCAGATATGAATCATGAACGAAGATGTGGATTTTTTTTTGGCTTCTGTTGTAAGAAAGTAGGGCAATTCGCCACCGAATCATTGGGGGTGCGTCCACTAAAGCAAGGCTTTAGGGGAAGCCATAAAGTTGAGTTTACAAAATCTGTTTTTTGGGTTTCACATGTTTTTGCTATAGCAAACCATCCCCAATAGAGACGTCAAAACACAGCTAGGCTATCCACGACTAAAGGGGTGGATCATGACGCTTGGCACGGAAACACTCAGTAATCTGGTTGGACTAATCTAAGATGAAACTTGGTGGAGGGTTTGAATCTTAAACTTATATATATATATGATATATTACACATGAAATATGATATGATGTATTATATGATGTATCATGGTATTCTGGTACTTTACTATCATATATAGATTATTGTGTATATTGATTCTCTTCCTGCGTGACAGGTCTGCTGCCGAGAGCAAAAAGAACAGATGAACTGCTTGGCGAAGGACGATGAACTCTGGGGGAAATGTCACATGAAATCTGGCGCAGATCGTGGGACAATAAAACGGGATTATAAATAGTGATAGATTGAGATACAGTGAAGGGATAATATTACAAGTTATAATATGATTGGGATAAAGTGGCATACAATAGCGACAATAGCAAAAAAATGATGATGATGACAACAATCATAGTTGCCATAGTAGTACAAGTATAGTAGTGTAACGATATGATGGGGTAAGTAAAACTCTTTCATCTACTCACAATGGGATGTAAGAATGCAAGAAGAAAGGCGAGGACCGTGGTGAATGATGGATAATGATGGTATATTCTGGTATATCAGGGTGATGGGCTCGTTGCTTAAAGGTTTTGATGGAAAAACGTGCAAACACTGATATTATGATGATATTTTTCCAAACAAATCCCCGATCATCGAAACTCCACTGGTGCGTTGATCGCCCGAGACACCCTGCCCAACATTTCAGGTTGGTGAATTGCAATGACTTATCCAAATCAATAATGGCAACACAATTTTTTTTGGTACCTCTTTCCAGAAATATTGCAAAGCCGGAGCTGATGGTGGTAAGTCCCTTCTTCGGCCAATTGGCTGTGAAGGGAGCGGAGCGTGGTGTCAGCTACATGTTCTCTGTACCCAAGAATCCCATCACAATCAATTGGGCCAGGTGACTCACATCTTTCAGGGGCTCAAAAAGATGTGCTTTTTGTGTTTGCGACATCACTATTCTTGCTACTTGTATCTCAACGACATCTTTCCCCAATAAAATAATATAATATAAGATAATACAATATGATATATAATAATAATAATAATATATATATATATGTACATAGTACTAGTACACACAGCCCGGAAACCGTGGTTCAATTTTGCACAAGTTCCCTGCGGGGTTCTCTTTAGTTTATCAATGAGGGGGAAGATAAATCAATGGCCAGCATTGGAAGAGCCACGAGTCCCAGTTCTCCTGCCTCACAATTGATAAAATCCAAAATGACATTTCAAACTCAAATTTACCTTTAGATTCCTTTAAAATTGATTCTCCACTTGGAAATTCTCCTAAATCCTTGAAGTTTTCATCTAATTGCAGATGATTTTCCCACGCAAAACACATTGTGCTTTCCCTCCTCCTCGGAGAAGCCGCGCGCGTCGCACGTCAGGAGAACCAAAACCTGGCGGAGGAGGAACGTCAACGTCACACGGAGCTGAAGGTGGACCTGGCTTCGGAGCGAAGTGATGTGGTAAAGCCAATGCCATGGTAAACCATCCCCTATTGGTTATATAGCCCTATCGGTATATATAGCCCGAAGTGGCATTGGGTCATAATATTGGTAATATCCAAACTGATATTGGTAGTTTTTTTGGGGGTTTATGAAATTGGGGTTATGAGGGCGTTTCCCGCTCCCGTACTTTGTGTGTTTTTGCGTCTGCTCGATGCATTTCTGCAAAAGATACCAAACCCTGTTCTTTCCAAAACCAAACATTGTTGCTTCTGTAACAAAAGCAACCACTGTGCATTCTCAACAGCTCTCCCAAGCCGAAATTGGATATATAGCACTATTTTGGGAATACAATGGGATATAATGGGGAGAAAGCTGAATAGAGTATAGCGACCTCACTGCGATGTCATTGGAAGGGTGATTAATAGGGGATACAGCAACTATGTATGCTCAAATGGCGGGAGCGTTCAGGTTATTGCATTATTGTATATTTAAACAATTTTAAACAGAATGGTAAACCATCCGCAACTGGGGCTTGTTATTATATAATTGGGTATTCCGGGTATACCCCTAGAAGTGGGATGATGTTTACTATGACTTCCAGTCATGGTTGGTTGATGGGATGTTTATGGCAGGTTTAGCACATTAATCCGTTGCTGTTTGAGAGACATTTGGGGGTTGTTTCAACCATCAAAACGTTGAGGATGACTTTAACCAACGATGAGAAATGGACCGACGGGTTTGCCAAAAACAAATGACACCCGTGTTGGGATTGTTTTAAGCAACGAAAAATGGGAGGATGTTCACATTTTTTCACATGTTTAACAAACAGAAATTGGATTTTGAACAGTACCAGTTGTGGATGGATGGGGAAGACCCCCAGCAACCCCAAACTCGACCAGCAATTACCTGCGGATGAATCACATCCTCCATGTATTCACTAGCTTACGTTTTGGGTGATTGGGGTGAATCTAGGTAAGCATGTCACAGTATTCTTTGCCGCACATTGCTTGAATTTCGGAATCTTGGATCAATACTGTATGTTTTATTCTTTCAGAAGTGCCACATGTTTCTACCTATGGATGTATGGGTCCCTCACAATATTTTTTCTTGTAAAAACACATTCTTTTTGCCATTTGATATCTTTTGGGTACTTTACTTCTAGCAACCCCCAGATAGACGAGTCAAATCGCAAGATCATCCAATAGGGTTAGCTTCCTCTGCGTTTTGAATCTCTCCCCGTTGGATCAATTGGGTGGTCGTCAGGAGAAGTTTCAGGCCGCCATCAAAGATGTCCAAGAGAAGATGGACGCGGAATTGGAGGCGTCGCCAATGGGACTATGGGACTTGGGAATTCGATGAACTAAAAAACGGAGGGAGGTTTCCTAAATGAGGGTAGCCCTAAATTAAATCATCCATATAGTAGGATTTTCATGGATTTTCCATTTGGGGATCCCCCATTTATGGAAACCTCCATAACCCTCTTAAAATGATTGGCCTCTTAGACTGCGGGGTGCACTTCCTTCAGCAAACAGCTCATTTCTGAGGGACTTATAAGATCTTATAAGTAAGTAATCATTATAGTAATGATAAGTCTACGAATCTGATCTAATTCGCCCGAAGCATAAATCCGCAGGAATGGAGTTGGGGACAGGATGGGATGGGTCAAAACTTTGAATCTTTGCGACAGCAAAACTCCTTGTGGTTGATGGGTTATATAATAATATATGGTAATATTATACAACTGGTTTGATGCGGCTGATTATCATTTGCTATGACAAGAAGGTCAAAGATGAAGTTTTGATGAATAAACTTCGAGATACCTGGGCACAGCATTTGCATGGAATTTGCTTCAGAAGAACAGAAATCACTTTTTTCATCTTTTTTCCATCTTTTTTCAAGTTCCAATCCATTCGAATCCATCAACTATACCGACTATACCGGCTATACCCGTCATCAGCTAGATATGGACCCAGTCCTTGATGGCCATGAATTTCACACTTGGATGACCACACCGGAATCCAATGTTCCCATCGTTGATGAACCCCCCTCCATTTTCCAGAATATCATTCCTTGTTGGTAAAAAAGGGTCAAAACCATCAACATCCAAAATCCCATAAAAATCCCATTGTCATCCTATTGTTATCCCATTGTTATCCTATTGTCATCCTATTGTTATCCCATTGTTATCCTATTGTCATCCTATTGTTATCCCTAGAATGAGTACTGACCATGGCACCTATGGTCACCCCATCAGAAACTCCATCCAGCGACTCCAGGTGCGGCAAGGCTTCCTGAAGGAGAACGATGACCTTCGCAGCATCTTGGCAAAAACAAAAATTCGTGGTGCCCCTGGAGATGTTGCCGCCTAGTTATCTTAGTTGGCTTATTTAAGGGCTGCCGCCCCTGCCGCCGACCCCGGACAAAAAAAGAGGTTCGCAGGAGAAGAGACGACATATTAACAGCGTCAAAATCGAGCCCAAAAACTCCACTGCTGCTGCTGCTGCTGCTGCTGCTGGTGCGGCTAAACTTGCTTGTCTTTGCTTTACTTCTCCTGCTGCTGCTGCGCCTGCTGCGGTAGTAGTCCGAAACAAGAGTCAAAAGTATTATTGCTGCTGCTGCTGCTGCTCCTGCTGCTGGTGCGGCTAAACTTGCTTGTCTTTGCTTTACTTCTCCTGCTGCTGCTGCGCCTGCTGCGGTAGTAGTCCGCCAAAAACTGCCTAACGTCCCTTCTGAAACCCTAGAAAAACAATAGTTTTGGACAAGGTTTTATGGTTTTCGACCAATTTGTATACCACTGTTTCTACAATGAGACATAGAACCCTCCTGTTGCTCCTGTTGCTGCTGCTGCTCTTCCTCTCGAGGCTGAAAACACACCCTCCCGGACAGGGAAACACAGTGGCCCTGAAGGACGGAACAGCGCCAAAATCGAGCCCAAAAACTGCCTAACGTCCCTTCTGAAACCCTAGAAAAACAATAGTTTTGTGAAAGGTTTTATGGTTTTCACCATTTTATACCAATGTTTCTTACAAGGAGACCTAGACTCCCTCCTTGGCTTGCTGCTGCTCTTCCTCCCGAGGCTGAAAGACGCAACCCCTCCCCAGCGGGAAACACAGTGGCCCCTGAGAACGGAACAGCGCCAAAAATCGAGCCCAAAAACTCCCTAACGTCCCTTCTGAAACCCTAGAAAAACAATAGTTTTGGACAAGGTTTTATGGTTTTCGACCAATTTTTATACCACTATTTCTACAATGAGACATAGAACCCTCCTGTTGCTCCTGTTGCTGCTGCTGCTCTTCCTCCCGAGGCTGAAAAAACGCACCCTCCCGGACAGGGAAACACAGTGGCCCTGAAGGACGGAACAGCGCCAAAATCGAGCCCAAAAAGTGCCTAACGTCCCTTCTGAAACCCTAGAAAAACAATAGTTTTGGACAAGGTTTTAGGGTTTTCGACCAATTTTTATACCAGTGTTTCTACAATGAGACATAGAACCCTCCTGTTGCTCCTGTTGCTGCTGCTGCTCTTCCCCCCGAGGCTGAAAAAACGCACCCTCCCGGACAGGGAAACACAGTGGCCCTGAAGGACGGAACAGCGCCAAAATCGAGCCCAAAAACTCCCTAACGTCCCTTCTGAAACCCTAGAAAAACAATAGTTTTGGACAAGGTTTTATGGGTTTCGACCAATTTTTATACCAGTGTTTCTACAATGAGACATAGAACCCTCCTGTTGCTCCTGTTGCTGCTGCTGCTCTTCCTCCCGAGGCTGAAAACGCACCCTCCCGGACAGGAAAACACAGTGGCCCTGAAGGACGGAACAGCGCCAAAATCGAGCCCAAAAACTGCCTAAGGTCCCTTCTGAAACCCTAGAAAAACAATAGTTTTGGACAAGGTTTTATGGTTTTCGACAAATTTTTATACCACTGTTTCTACAATGAGACATAGAACCCTCCTGTTGCTCCTGTTGCTGCTGCTGCTCTTCCTCCCGAGGCTGAAAACGCACCCTCCCGGACAGGAAAACACAGTGGCCCTGAAGCACGGAACAGCGCCAAAATCGAGCCCAAAAACTGCCTAACGTCCCTTCTGAAACCCTAGAAAAACAATATAGTTTTGGACAAGGTTTTGTATAGTTTTCGACCAATTTTTATACCACTGTTTCTACAATGAGACATAGAACCCTCCTGTTGCTCCTGTTGCTGCTGCTGCTCTTCCTCCCGAGGCTGAAAACGCACCCTCCCGGACAGGGAAACACAGTGGCCCTGAAGGACGGAACAGCGCCAAAATCGAGCCCAAAAACTTCCTAACGTCCCTTCTGAAACTCTAGAAAAACAATAGTTTTGGACAAGGTTTTATGGTTTTCGACCAATTTTTATACCACTGTTTCTACAATGAGACATAGAACCCTCCTGTTGCTCCTGTTGCTGCTGCTGCTCTTCCTCCCGAGCACCCTCCCGGACAGGGAAACACAGTGGCCCTGAAGGACGGAACAGCGCCAAAATCGAGCCCAAAAAGTCCCTAACGTCCCTTCTGAACCCCTAGAAAAACAATAGTAGTTTTGGACAAGGTTTTATGGTTTTCGACAAATTTTTATACCACTGTTTGTACAATGAGACATACAACCCTCCTGTTTTGGACAAGGTTGTATGGTTTTCGACCAATTTTTTTTAATTTTTTTTAAATACCACTGTTTGTACAATGAGACATACAACCCTCCCGTTGCTCCTGTTGCTGCCGCTGCTCTTCCTCCCGAGGCTGAAAACGCACCCTCCCGGACAGGGAAACACAGTGGCCCTGAAGGACGGAACAGCGCCAAAATCGAGCCCAAAAAGTCCCTAACGTCCCTTCTGAAACCCTAGAAAAACAATAGTTTTGGACAAGGTTGTATGGTTTTCGACCAATTTTTATTTTTATACCACTGTTTGTACAATGAAACATACAACCTGTTGCTCCTGTTGCTGCTGCTGCTCTTCCTCCCGAAGCTGAAAACGCACCCTCCCGGACAGGGAAACACAGTGGCCCTGAAGGACGGAACAGCACCAAAATCGAGCCCAAAAAGTCCCTAACGTCCCTTCTGAAACCCTAGAAAAACAATAGTTTTGGATTTTGGACAAGGTTTTATGGTTTTCGACAAATTTTTATACCATTGTTTGTACAATGAGACATAGAACCCTCCTGTTGCTCCTGTTGCTGCTGCTGCTCTTCCTCCCGAGGCTGAAAACGCACCCTCCCGGACAGGGAAACACAGTGGCTCTGAAGGACGGAACAGCGCCAAAATCGAGCCCAAAAAGTCCCTAACGTCCCTTCTGAAACCCTAGAAAAACAATAGTTTTGAACAAGGTTTTATGGTTTTCGACCAATTTTTATACCACTGTTTGTACAATGAGACATACAACCCTCCTGTTGCTGCTCCTGCTCCTGTGACTCCTTCTGTTCAAAAGGCACCTGCCGGATGGGAAAACACCATGGCAGTAGTAGTAGTAGTAGTAGTCCGAAACAAGAGTCAAAAGTATTATTCCCTGGCACGCTCCCCCTTGCGTCTGCCGGGGTCGGCGGATATTGACTGCTGGCTACTGGCTGGGTGCTGCTGTCTTATTCCCTAACGCGCTCCCCCTTGCGCAGCCGGGGTCGGCGGATATACGATTTTTCAGTGGACACATCCTGAGTATTCCTGAGTGTTATTCGTTGTTGTTGTTGTTGTTTTTTTTTTTCCTGCGCACCCTTTCGAGTACACCATCATGGCTGCGTCACGACTCTTTTGAAACTCCAACCACAAAGGGAAGTTGAGTCTTGCCGCATGTCAGCATGACCATCATACAAAACAATGCCTAATTACATCTATATAATTAGTTTGCTAGGCAACACTGCTACACACCCATGCTCCCAGCATCTCCCGATCATGATCATCCATATCATCATCCCCCAGATCATGATCATCCAGATCATCATCATCCGGATCATCATCATCCGGATCATGATCATCCAGATCATGATCATCCATATCATCATCCTCCAGATCATGATCATCCAGATCATCATCATCCGGATCATCATCATCCGGATCATGATCATCCAGATCATCATCCTCCAGATCATGATCATCAAGATCATCATCACCCGGATCATGATCATTCAGATCATCCAGATCATCCAGATCATCCAGATCATCATCATCATCATCATCATCATCATCATCATCATCATCATCATCATCATCATCATCATCATCATCATCATCATCATCATCATCATCATCCGGATCATGATCATCCAGATCATGATCATCCATATCATCATCCTCCAGATCATGATCATCCAGATCATCATCATCATCGGGATCATGATCATCCAGATCATGATCATCCATATCATCATCCTCCAGATCATGATCATCCAGATCATCATCCAGATCATCATCATCCGGATCATGATGATCCATATAATCATCCTCCAGATCATGATCATCCAGATCATGATCATCCAGATCATCCTCCCCCAGATCATGATCATCCAGATCATCATCATCCGGATCATCATCATCCGGATCATGATCATCCAGATCATGATCATCCATATCATCATCCTCCAGATCATGATCATCCAGATTATCATCATCCGGATCATCATCATCCGGATCATGATCATCCCGATCATCATCATCCGGATCATCATCCAGATCATGATCAAACCTATCATCATCATCATCATGATGATGATGATCATCATCATGATTATCCGGATCATGATCATCCAGATCATGATCATCCATATCATCATCCTCCAGATCATGATTATCCAGATCGTGATCATCCAGATCATGATCATCCATATCATCATCTTCCAGATCATGATCATCCAGATCATGATCATCATGATCATCATGTTCGTCATGATCATGATCATGATCATCATCATGATCATGATCATCATCATGATCATCATCACCATCATCATCATCATCATGATGATCATGGTCATCGTCCTCCACCTCATCATCATCGTTATCATGATCATGGTCATCATGATCATGATAATCATCATCATCATCATCATGATCATGATCATGATCATCATCATCATCATGATCATCATGGTCATCATCATGATCATCATCATGATCATCATGATCATCATCATGATCATCATCATCATCATCATGATCATCATGATCATCACCATCATGGTCATCATGATCATCATAATCATCATCATCATCATGACCATCATCATCATCATCATCATTATCATCATCATAATCATCATGATGATCATTATCAGGATCATGATTATCATGACCACAATCATGGTCATCATCATCGTCATCATCATCATCATCATCATGATCATCATGATCATCATCTTCATCATCATCATCATCATGATCATCATGATCATCATGATCATCACCATCGTTATCATCATCATCATCATCATCATCATCATCATCATCATCATCATGATCATCATGATCATCATGATCATCATGATCATCATCATCATCATCATCATCATCATCATCATCATGGTTACATTTCATGCCGATTCAGCCACTCCAGGATGAGCGGCCGGCCGGCCGATTTCAAATTTCAGCCCGGATTGCACCACCTCTCTACATTCTACGGTTAGTTAGATCATGGTTTGCAATCATGGCCCAGGACAATATGCTTGGATGACCCCATCCACTCCAGGAGCTCAGACTCTTCCAGCTCAACTCCACGCTGGGGATACCTCCATCGAGGCCTGATGAAACATGGGGGTTCAGTGATGGTCAGTACATATCTGACATATCTATAGTATACCTGTAGTATACCTGTAGAGTAGAGCATGAAAGATTTGAATTTCGGACCTACTATTTCCATGTACTTCCCATCTTTGACGGAATTTGAGAATGGTTTGATGTAGCCGTTGTATCCCTGAATGGTGGATGTGTCCGACCCCTCCATAGTCGGACACAACGAAGTTTCAGAGCCTACGCCGGTATTGTGAGGTGGAGCCTCGCAGGAAATGGAGGATGATGAGCCTGTTCGGTTGAACATCTATGACCTGGGAAAGAGCAACACAGTGGGCTCCTTAGTGATGTACAAACGCAGAAGGCTGAGAGCTCATTTGTTTCCTTCATTGCGAGTCGAGACTTTGATGACTGTCAATCCATCCCGTATCAAATCACTGGTGACCCAATCAGATTCCCATCGGTATCAGGTACAGAGCCTCAATGGTTGGCTGAAGCCCGTCGGGATTGGTGCCTTTCATTGTGCAGTACAGGTGTGGGTTGCAAACGAAGCACGCACAACCTTCCAGAGTCTGACTGGTGGTTGATGTTTGTGTCAAAGGGAGCTATATAAACGGTTCCAATTATCTTTGGTATAGAATGAATTGACTGAAACATCTGAAACAGTAGCAGCTTATTGCGGCATTGCCCAGCTTTGTTGAGTCCTGGGCATTTTATATTTGAGAAGCGGAAAAACCACGCAGAATTCCAGGTCTATGGTGTTGAGTGGAGCTACGGGGGATGGCGAGCACAGGAGGGGCTCAAAGATTCTGAAGATTCTGAAGCTAAAACTGGCGTCTTCACCTTAGAATTTGGATGAATTTGGAAAGGATTCAGTGTCCAATGGCTTGTTTTTTTTTCGTCAAGCGCACTTAGAGACTTAGATTGTCAGTTGATGTTTCTTGAGAGGAAATCATTTTGATTGGATTCCTGGGATTCCTCAAGTCTCGGATTCAGAAGTTTTGCTGAGATTGGACAGCGACCAATCAGACCATCCTCAGCTTGATTGTTTTGCTGAGATTTGGAGCTGTTTGCCCCAGATGTCAGTAGATCACACCTTCCGCGAGGCTGGGGAAAAAAGGGTGAGACGGAAACAGCAAATTGCAATTTTGAGACTTTGGGATTTTTGGGTTTGTTTGAAGACTGGCACCCGCAACTGAACTTTGACGTGTCAAAGAAATGGAGATTTTGAGAGTGAGAGTGAGAGCCTTTTTAGCACTTCTTGAAGGGTCTCAAGGCTTTTTGCTGAGCGTCCATTTTGTTTCCCCAAGTCACAGTTGAGCTTCTCCACAGTGGCCTTGAGGCCGTGCCAATGGGAAGCATCTCCATGTCAGAGGATGAAACAGTCGAGCTTATCTACAGCTTGATGGAGGTTGGAAGTGACACTAATTCGCTGGTTGAACTCAGTTAAACTTGTTCCCAATGCCAGATGCATATGATTTGTATTTGCACCCTCGAGTGTTTCTGGAAGGAGTGGCCTATGTCTGAGTATGACATCCTTAACAAAAACTGCTGCCACTTCTGCGAGGACCCAGCGCTCTGCCATGTTGTTGCAGGTGATGCTTTTTCGATCTGTCATGAAGCTTTAGCTGCTATAATCTGCTATGTTTTATGCTATAGCTAATGTTCCAAGATTCTGGCAGGAACTCTGCTTATCGCTAGGCCTTGGGCCGTTGCCCAGCCGAGCAGGGCAGCCCAGGAAGCCCAGCGTTGGGTGGTGACGGTGGTGACCACTGGCTCGTCAATCATCAATCCATGGATCTCCGAGGTGAAGAAACTGGCCGGTCTGGGTGCCACGCTGAATGAAAGTGCCCAGGTGGCCGTTGATCAAGTCTTTCAGGCAGGGTACCGGATACTGTTGTTATACTGTTGTTATAGTTTGCTCATGAACGGGCCTCGAATCAGCGAGAATCTGGCCGAGGACACAAATGGTTTGGGGCATCCTCAATTTCTTGGAACCATCTGCCGACAGGTTTGTCAGAAAACAACCGCCATGTGTCACAGGGGTCTTTGTCTCTGCACTAGCGTGTCCAATGCTTCCAAAGTAGCAGGTCGCATCCAAAGTGAAGTCAGACATCGTAGGCCCGAGAGATTGGTTGCTGTGCAAACTTTCAGCCAGCGATGTGACTCAAATAATGGACCACCTTCTGCAGTCCCCTGGAGGTGCTGGCTATGTTGCGACCAACTTAGCGGCTTCTTGGCCAGCGATTCAGTGGTGAACAAAATTGACCTCTACCAGACTCTACCACCCAACACAAGAAGACGGATCAGTTGTTTCTGTGAACCAGGACTTTCTGGTGCCCATTGTCTGCTCCCATAATCTGTAGGACCGACTCTAGTCATAGAATTCTAGAAAGAGAGTCCCTTCAGTTGATGTTGACTTTCACAACTTATCAGCCTGCATATAACCACGGTCAGTTCATATCATAACATCAGGCATAAAAGACCAACAATAAAGACCATATCTGACAGTGGTTTGGATCAACAAAGCTACAACTTCAATGACACTCCAAGGTGCAGGCTGTCATGAGTGGTGCATCAGCTCTGGCAGATGCGCCGCGGCATTTGTCCGCAACTGAAAAAGTCCGCTCACTGCATGGCGTGGGAAGGGCGATTGGACAAACATCGATATAACATGATACAACCAATACACAACAGGGATCAACAGGGATACTGTAAGGGATTAGCAACCATTGTTAGTATTCCTATCGTTCTGCCACATATTTTCGGATACTTTGTTTCATAACCACTGGTTATTATATGTTCTTCCGGTATTGAATCATTCAGAAATTCCCAACGGATCAACGATGATGGCGGTGCCAAGGACTACCTTCACCGTGCTGGTCGGACTGCACGTTATGGGGAGCCTGGGAAGGTGAGGGGTCAATGGTGGCATGGCATTTTGGGTGGGGGGCTGGGATTATTTTGGATGGATATGTTATGGTTTTTTGAATGTTAGGAATAGATCCAACATGATATAATTAGATAATAGATCTAATGTTGGAGTTCATCTTTTTTTAACTCCTCTACAATCACCAATGGGGCGTTTGGCTGATTGACCCTTCACGTCCTTCACTTGATTCGCGACCAATGAGGGTGGCCAACATGACAGACCTTGATGCAGTAGGTTTGATGATTGATTGCAGGTAGGAGACTGAAAGTTGACAAGTCAAAGCTTTTGGATATCTCATGATATCTCCCTCTGTCACTTCAGAAATTTGGAACATCCCAACATGATCCTGCTACAGGGAAAGTGCTCCAATGTCCTACACTGCTGATGCACCGCAGGTGACTTCGCTGGTGAAAAAAGGAGACAAAGCACTGGCGAAGGCCCCGGGTCGTTTCTTACCTATGGTCCAGCGAATTAGGTTCAAGTAGGTTCAAGCACTGACAATTTTGATGTATTTTGATCATTTCCATTGCCAGAAACTTTCCATTTTTGGCGTTTTGGTTCGGCCCATGACTGAGCGGCGTCCGAGCCATCTGAGCCAGGGGATCGAGCGTTCTGTTCAGCTCGGAAAACCAATCAACGAATTGCCTGGAAGCTCAGTGGGTGGAATCTGAACCTCACAGTGTTGGGAGAGACTTATGAGTCTTATGAGGGTGAGATGGGTGAGTGAGAGCAACATATGTAATATCTTGTAATATGCAACCAATCTGACATGACTGAACTGCATTGGCAGGCCTTTGCGCCTTCTCGTGCACATCCCTATGTTTCAGTTTGACTTTTCTTGCAGCCAAAGTGCTTGAGGCCCATAGAAGGCAACCGGCTAGTGGCTAGAGAAACTACCTCACAAGACGCAGCAGTCTAGTCAGAGACTTCTTCAGCAATCTTTTCTTCAGAAAGTCCTGTGATGTCCTGTGCCTTTCATTCCCCAATGGGATTTCAAAAAGCACCAAACAGCATCAAAAAGCATGGCTTGAAGCTGAAAAAGCTGGCTGCCGATGGCGGATCCTGACACAGTCCTCGAGCTTCTCGGGAGCCAGTAGTGATGCTTTGATGGATGTTCCATAGGACATGGAATGGCTAAAACATGCTAAAACCACCTGAAACCCACAGAATCCCACAGATTTCATACTTTCTGGCACTGTCTGGGAAAGAATCGCTTTGACCTTCCCAGAAGCTGGACCTCCGCATGCGATTCAGCTGCTAAGGTACAATGCTGTCATTGGTGCTCGTGGCAGAGAAAGCCGTGGCTTGGATCATAGAGGACATGAAACTTATTCTCGGAGCAAGCTGAGATCACGATGCTTTTTCGGTGTCACGGGTCGCCAGAGCTCACTAATAAAACTGGGCAAACAGTTCTTGCACGCAACAGCCCCGGAGCTATCCACCAAGGTATTGACCAAGGTTTTGGAGCTGCAAATCACTAAATCAATACATATGTATATGTATATATGTATATATGTATATATGTATATATGTATATATGTATATATGTATATATGTATATATGTATATATGTATATATGTATATATGTATATATGTATATATGTATATATATGTATATATGTATATATGTGTATATATGTATATATATGTATATATGTATATATATATATGTATGTCATCAATGCTATCTTTATCCTTGACTTTGAAGCTGTTGGTTCTGTGCTAAGGTTGGTCAGAGTCTCTGGTCCTGTTGGAGCTGTTGGTGCAACGAGGTGTGGATGGGGAGTCGGGGGCCTGACCTCACCAGAAGCGCTGTGTCTTGCACGGAAAGCGAGCCACAGCCCTTCCCTCATCTGATTTAACATAGCCATGGAAAATCTCTTTATGAATGGAGGTTTTAATGGGAAAATCATCTATAAATGGGCCATTTTCCATGGCTAAGTTAAATAACCAGAGGGTAACTTCATTTATGGCAATTCGTGCATCTTTCGGAAGTTTCAACTATCATTGGAATAGGCTGAATAGGATTTTGACATCATTTGCATCTGCATCATTCTGCATCTGACAGGTCTGGTGGCCACCATGGTGTCGAGGACCCGTCTGTGCTGAGTTATTAGACTTTTGGCAACGTTTGGAACGCTTAGTTAACCACTGTGCAGTACCCAGGAGCGCTGGGCTTGGAGCTTGTGCCAAAGCTCAAAGGTGGCAGAACAGCATGGAACTTCTTCAAGGTCTTGTCAGAGCAGAAACATTGCGTCCCAATGTCTCTTGACAGCATCGGAATTGCGATGTGTTGCATTTTCCCTGTCAAACTTGCAGATGTTATATGTTATTCTTGTGGTGCTTGGTGTTCTAAAGTGGTTCAAGAATTTCCCGTCTCGTCTTCACTGCACGCATCTGCACACTATAGTCTGGTTGCAGCAGCATGACTACTTTGCATGGCAAGGGCAAGCGTGTAGGTCGGTTAGCTAGTTACTTTGGACAGCGACAGCACTGGCAGGATTACAGTAATTCGATTTGTGCCAATTTTGAGGCTATTCCTTTCAATGCAGCAGCTTGACAGCACTTCATCAGTTGAACTCTGAACATTGTCTCAGTCGCAGAGTTGGGCTGCCTCCACTGCCTCCGGTGGCTGAGGTGATCAGTGGATGTGGCAAGTCTGGTGAGTGGAAGTTGAGCCACCAAACCCTGGTGCCTTTGTCGCAAACTGGCGGGCAGGGCTACTGTGGGCTTGTGGAGGAAGAGGGATACTTGGATACTGCCTTACTGCCTTAGCATTCAGTATTCGTTTCAACAATTTGAATTCCATATCATAATTCCATATCATTCCATTAAATATAACATATAGTATATATATATATATGTTTTTTACTACCATATTGTTTATCCTACTGGTAGTACAAGGTTCCACCTGAGCACGGCGCAGCAGCGCAGCGACGCAGGAAATCCTGCGCTGCAGTGGCATCCTGCCCACCTTGCTGAGCTTCGGCGCCGCGACGCTGGGCATACAATGGGCATGTGGACTACCAAAAATATGGGCATATTATGACACATATATAATCATATATATATATATAATCATATATATATAGTGTATATATATATATATATATATAATATGTATATGTATATATATAATATGTATATATATATATAATATGTATATATATATAATATGTATATATATAATATGTATATATATATATAGTATGTGTATATATATATATATGACGTATGATGTATATCAGTAATATGACTATGTGCATATACACATGAAGACCCAAATGGACATCGATCTTGGGATAAGTCGTGGATTAGCTAAACCTAAGCATGAGATTGAGGGAAGCTCCCAGTTCCCCAAGATCAGGTTGACAGCCATCACCACTGGTGTCCTGGTTGACACGTGGCTGAAAGCGCTTCATCTCTACTCGCAGATGTGGTGGATGTAGCTTGGAAGCAGATGGAAACAGTACGACCAGTGCCAGAGTGCCAGAAGCTCTTTGCTCCTGGGTTTGTCTGAAAAGTTGACCCCGACATCCAATGGTTGAGAAAAGCCATATTGACATTTTTCCAATGGCTAGTTCATTTTTCCTATTGACATAGCCATTTCATGGCATGCTGCCCCATTCAGACACAGGCCACAAAAAAAAAGTGCCAAATTTCCAGCTCTAGGCATTTGCTTCCCGACTTGGTAGCCTTCAACGCGCTGGGCAGTGCAGCTGCAGTATCGGGGCAATGGCTGCTGATGCTGCGGCTGATGGAGGATGCCACGAAGATGCGGCTACAGTGCGATGCCATCACAGGACGCTGGAGCTCTCGTTCCGGAAGGTTGAAAGTAGTTGCTGTACTGTCGGGGTCATAGCCTAGGGCTAACTGGTGAGATCAAAGGATTGACAGGTCTCAGCGTAAGCCATGCTGAAGTCCTGAATGTAGAGTTTTGCCTTACGTGAAAGATTTAAACAGGTTGAAGATCGGCGGAGAGGAATGGAATGAAGAGGAATGAAGAGGAATGAAGAGGAATGAAGAGGAATGAAGAGGAATGAAGAGGAATGAAGAGGAATGAAGAGGAATGAAGAGGAATGAAGAGGAATGAAGAAAGAAGTCCAGCAACCAGAAACCAGCGACTGAACATTTGAAGAAACTTCCAGAAGAAACTCCCAGCCGACCACAGAGACACTTACAGAGACACTTGCAGAGACACTTACAGAGACACTTTCATCCTAGGGAAATTCTGACTCGTCTAGACTGGATGCAGGACAGGCTTGATCCGAGCTGCCATTTTTTTGCACAGCACAACATGGCTCGGATCGCGACACTAGCGACAGGAACTGCCCTGGTGAGTGCATGTGAGACTCTAAGCGCCTGGCAAGAAGGGCTGGTGAGCTGGAGATCTTTGCGGCAGGAGACCAGCAAACTGCATCAAACTGCCTACACATCTTGGGATGGATTTTGGATGTTGGTGACTTGTTGGTGACTTGGTGGTTGATCTTGTTGGTTGACCTTGATGGATGGCTGACCACGGATGTTGGATCTTGGCGCTCTAGGAATGAACTGGTTTCTGCCTGGAAGCGATCAGATCAGGGTTTTCCCATATGTTCTGGCGAGGATGGCATGGCAGTCAACTTGATCCAACTGAACTCTGTCATCAGCAACGTTGGAAAAGGTAGGGAGCTCTGGGAAATTTGTGAGGGTCCTCTAGTGACTCTAGAGACATATCCAAAACAAACGAATTTGTAAAGATTTCACACTCCAAACCATTGCTTTCATTTGCTTTCCCCTTTCTCCAACCTGCCCAGTGGAAGTTAAAAAAAAATCAGGCTCACATTGGCTTACCATATATGGATATATATAATATATATATATAATATATATGGATATATATATATGTGTATATATATGGATATATATATATATGTATATATATATATATGGATATATATGGATATATATATATATATATAAATATATAATATAATAATATCATATCACATCATATATGAGTGATCCCATTGATCCCATGACCAGGTCTTTGCTGGGATCTCGCAGCAGAGCTGCTGCAGATGTCGCTGCAACCGGATGAAGTGACCTTGACCGCCAGCCTGGCGGCGTGCTGCCACTCGTGCCGGGGCGAAGGGCCGAAGGGCCGAAGGGCCGAAGGGGCGAATGAGATGCTGGGGGATGATATATCTGATACATGCCATAATTTGTATATCATTATATATATATACATATATATCATTATATATAACATTATATATATATACGCGCAACGCCTGGGTAGAGGTTTCCCATTCCCACACACATGTTGATGCAACTTCACAAAATTCCTATGGGAAAAACAACAAAGGTACTAGGGAATATTAAACTCCCACCCCCGTTAAACTTTACATTCAATTGAGAAGATCAACAAAGGTATTAGGGCATATTAAAGTCCCACCCCCGTTGAACTTTACATTCATTCAAGATCTTCAATAAGGGTTTATTTCTCCCACCCCCGTTAAACTTCTACATTCATTGAAGATCTTCAAAATGGGTTTAATTCTCCCACCCCAGTTAAACTTCTATCTTCATTTTGAAGATCTTCAACAAGGGTTTAATTCTCCCACCCCCGTTAAACCTCTACATTCATTGAAGATCTTCAAAAAGGGTTTAATTCTCCCACCTCAGTTAAACTTCTATCTTCATTTTGAAGATCTTCAACAAGGGTTTGATGATGATGATGATGACGACGATGCTGATGCGTTGCCTGTCGTGGTTGCGGTTCCGGGCAAAGCCCAGGCATTTGCCGTATATATACATATATATATATATATGTATGTATGTATGTATGTATGGCTGATACAAATATGTTCTGACATGGATGATATGGAAAATCAGACTGCAACAATCCACATGGAAGATCTGCTGTATCTTCTGGCAAAAGTAACTGTCAACTAACTCATGTCAACTCACCAGCGACAGATTGCAGAAATTGAGGTGACGCCATGCAATGGGACACTGCTTTAGACTGCTTCCTCATGGCCACAGGCAATGGTGGGCTGTTTTTGTATTCACTGATGTCAGCTGCGGTACTCTAGGATATCAGATATGATGCAACTCTTGATATAGCTGAACCATTTGATTCTGCAATGCAGTATTCGTGGTTTGTTTCTTTTCCCATTCATGAAGATAACCCACAGAGGCGACATATCAATCTTCATGATGACTAGGCAATTTGAACTACAGATTTTTCTTAGTTTTCTTTAAGCAACATCAGTGGAATCCCATGGAATCCCCAAAAGTTGTGGTGCCCAACAACCGTCCACCCGGTGGGCCCTGTGGCAGGTGGTTGGAGCTCCAGAGCTTCCGTGACAGCGCTGCTGGGTTCCTTGCGCGGTGCGCAGCAGTGGCGCATGGCGTGGCACAGCTGGGAGCAGTTGCAGGTGCTGTGGTCTCGGTCTCGAAGTTTTCTGTGAAACTGAGTGAAACCTGAAGTCTTTTATTTGCAACGCTTGGTACAATATGTACAACTCATCTTCTGTCCGTTCCTTTCCAAATGACTTGGCTTTGTGCTGCCCACACAAGTCTCGTCGTTTTCAATGAGCATCCAGCCTTGCTGCGAGCGTGGTTGGCTCGCAGGGCAAAGCTAGCAGAAGTCTGACGGATGTCATCAGATGCAAATCATGCCTCATCTGGGTAATTTGTTATAATCCAGCTTCCCTGCCTTACGTATCTTACGTATCAACACATTCAGTTACGCGTGAATTTTATAACACAGCACAACTGCATACAACCACGCATAGTGCCTAGATTTCTGCGATCGAGCTGTGGAGACCTGCAGACTCGGTGTTGAGCACTGTTAGATTTTCGAGGACCACCAAGTGGTGCCCTTGGATTCCCATCGAACCGCTGTTTTGATGCCAGAGAGCCCTGAGAGAAACGAAGTCCTGGAAGAAGAGTTACGGAAATTGCAGGAGAGGCTCAAGCACTTGGAGGCGCAGCTGAAAAAAAAGTGGTATATCTGATACGATCTGATATGGTTTCAAGTTGTTTTTGGTAACTGTTGGTCAAATGATGTCAAATTGATATGCCCGAAGATTCCTGATGGGCAAAAACAGCACATATATAATCATATATATATATATACATACATATACATATGAAACACACACACACACATATATATATGTGTATATGTAGTATGTATATTTATCGGATGGTCAACTGATGGATGACTTATCGGCTTGGGTCCCGAATCTTTGGACACTTCCGTTCTGATTGTCAGTTCATGTTATAATTCATGTTAATTCATTCTAATACTAATATTCACAGTAATCCAGCCATATCCACCCATATCCAACCCCTTTTCTTTGTCAAAATCTCCAGATTTTCTGGTAGGTCAACCTCAGCAAAGATGCCAAAGATCTCTCTTCAACTGAGATGACGTCAAGAGAGATGAAAAGCCAGGAGTTCCAGGAAGGGATGTGCCCAGTGCATTTGGATGAGAGCATTTGGAGTATCGCAGTGGTCATTGGATTGGAACACAGTTACTTGGGGCAACAGTGGCAAGTTTTTTTTTCTCCACCTTTTTTTAATTTTCTTTAGCGATGCGAGATGGCGAGTGTAGTGTGCTGAAATGTTTATTTTTAAGCCTTGCTTGGATCAAATCGTGTGACATGAGCATAGTCTACTTTTTAGGCTGGTACTCATACGATGTGAAAGGTCTATGAGTCTATGGTATAAAAGTGTTTGGTTAAGTACCTGTTCTCTTTGGCTCGTCGATGTATATTATATATTATATTATGCTATTGTCCATACTTGGCACCGCTTCAAGATCAGGAGTGGTAAAACCCATGACTGATGCTTGTGGATGTTCGAGGCTAGACTACACGAATTTGTTCGATTTTAGCATTAATTTATATTAATTTATCATTTTTTTCATGGTCATTTGAATTGCCCTCGATCTCACCAGGTATGTTCAACGGTTTTTTTGATTTCTTCGTTTCTGCCATCCTGGCCATGGTGACGGCAGTCACACAGATCCTGCTGGGTGTTGCCTTGTACGCCGGCTGGCTGCGACCTGAGGCGCGCCCTGGGTCTGTCTAAAAATAGGCAAATTCCACCGGAATTTTAAGGAGATACGGTGGGTACCAAACCAATGGAATTTGCGATAGATTTTTAAAGAGTTAGGAAATCATTTTCCAATTCTTGTAAATCTGTTGTATTGGATCTGTATTGTCATTGATGATATTGTATTGACATTATCATAGGAGACTGGGGATGTGGAAACCCTTGGTATTCCTAGAATCGAGTTTATCTCTGCTGATATTGACGTGTTGACCCAGTTCACAACATCCCTTGTGAGGTCCAAGTGTCGGATGCTAATTCCTGGCGAAATCTATTAGCTCACGATGCCAAATATGTGGATTTGTCAGGAAACAGCTTGGCCACACAGGCTTGCTCTGCAGCCTATTCTGGCTTTGCAGGCCCTGCAGGCTCCATGATTCAAGAGATCAATCTGTATCTGGGACTTTCCAACGAGCAGTTTGACATGTCGACTTTCCGACCCGGCACAATCGTTTGTGTGCTATGCATCTTGATTTGGAGTCTTTGTGTTATGAAAGAGCTGAGAAGCTACTGGCTGATGATTCAAGCGATATTTTGGATTCCCAGGGCTGCAATGAGCGAAATGGAAGGAACCTTGGCCTTATCTTGCAATCGCGTCTGGATGTTGATATCCCTATATGCTTTGCGGACGAGTATCTCACTGGGACTACTAGGAGGAGGCATTCGCCTGCTGGGAAACACCACATCACTGCTGCAGATGATTTTGATTACGGCGGCCCTGCCTGTGATTCTCAACATCGACAAGCAGTTCTTTAGGGCAGTGATGCCCATGGAGATTAAGATAGGCATCCAGCGTTTCAAGCCATTTCGCATCCACTACAGTCGTTTGCATAGCCAGATCGAGACCTTTGTGGCTGTCTTCCTGGTGCTTGCTGTGCTCCTGGTGTCGTACTCCGAAGTGGTGAGAGTTTTTGAAGAAGGGATCCTGGACATCAAAGTGCAGCTCTGTGGTGGGCAACAGGCCTTCGTGGTCGCCCACAACCCTTCATCCCAGTTGACCTATGCCCTGCAAACCGGGACAACCCAAGGAGCTGCAGTCCAGGCAGTGGAGTTGTACCGATACTCCTCGCCTTCCTCGCCTTCCTCACCCTGGGTGATCTTGAGTTCTGAGGAAAGCTTTCAGACCCAAGCCTCACGCGGCATGAAGGAGGAAGCTGCCCTTGCACTCTGCTGGGAGGAACAGACAGACACATCGAGCTCCCAACTGGCAAGGAATGCTGCAGCCCTTGCCCTGAAGCACAACGAAACCACTGCAAGCTGTCAAGACTTGGCTCAAAAGTGCCAAGAACCTTCAGCTCGACTGCTGAGAATGGCTTGCGGCGTGACATGTGGATGTTCTGAACCACATTCGTCACCATGGTACAAAGTGGAAGCGCAAGGCTGCTCTTCTGCATGCCTTGCATCAGCATCCTCCACAGCGAGTGTGATACCATGCCAGGATATGGATAAAGCAAATCAAACTTGGCAGGATTTATGGGATGAGTACATGCCTGCCTTGACAGACTTCCTGACGCTCTCGGGCAATGAAACCACTGCTTTGCTCCAGACTGTCCAAGACATGAAGTCTCAGGGCTGTGCGTTTTTGCTGCAGCAGCAATTTGAACCTGCAACGGGTGCTAAATGGTGCGAGGGTCACCCAGAACTCTTCCGTCCCCTTTCATACCTTTGCCCCTTGAGCTGTGGGGGATGCAGATGAGAGCCTAGATGAGCCTAGATGAGCCTAGATGAGCCTAGCGGCCAGGAAAGAGTCAAAGCGCCAAGAATTTCTACAAGATCCACGGAAGATGATGGGTCTAACGGTCTAACGACTTTTCTGCTGCACTTGCCAAAACCAGCTTTTTGCCTCCTGGAACCAGGAGCATTCCTTTTGACTACCACTAAGTGTGGCCAGAAACCACCTGCCAAAAAATGACAGCAGATCAGTGCAGTGAGCCTTTGCCTGCAAAGCTTGAGCGGTTCTTTCAACATTTTTTAAACGCAGCAAGTGACCTAAAGTTCAGTCTATAGATGTATGGGTATGGGTCAATACCTATAGATACATTTTTAGTGGGATGAACATCCATTTACCAGCTATTTTGGGGTTCACCAGGGGTACAAGGTTTTGACACATCCCCGTATAGGAATTGACTATCCCAAATCGTGTCCCAAAATCCATGGCAGGTGTCGCCGGACCTTCCCTGCGTCAATGAGTTGGTATCCACCAGTGCCCTGAGCTTTCACTGGCCCCAAGCCCTGGTGGATTTCCACCTGCTGCAGGACATGCGCCGGACCTTTAAGTTGACCTTTATAGAAAGGGCCTGCCCAATGGCCCAATGGCCCAATGGCCCAATGGCCATTTTTATATTTTTTATCAGTTTTGTTTTTTACTACATAGAAGAATTGGGAAGACCATCCGGTTGTGTGAAAACGCGGCTTTCCGGGTAGAATGATCACCCAAACAAAGGATGCATAAGGCAGCAAGCAGTTTCAGATGTTTCAGGGACAGATTGGTTGCATGTAGAGTGACTGTGAGACAACAACTTGTGAATGAGGGAAGAAACGGAAGAACACGAGCAGCCTTACAATTTTTCGCTTATGTTTATCACGAAACAGGTACGGTATCAAAACGTGCACCGTAAAAAACCGTTTGGCGGATGTTTGCAATTTCAGGAGCTGCGACTGAAAACAGACACGGTGGCATCTTTGGCAGCACCTAGAATATTGCAGAGAAGCACATCAGAGCGCCAGATGCAGATGTGCACTGCAGCTGAAGGCCTTGAATTCCTTGCTGGCTGCCTTTTTGCCGCTGGGGAAATGGCAGCAGATCATGCTGTATTTGGATGACATCCGTTGGACACTGAGATCCACAAGTGACATGCCTTTCGTGACTTCCTCCTTTGGAATCTTCATTCTTTTGTTGAGTCTTATTCTTCTCTCGTTGAGCCTGGAAAGAAGAAGCAAAACACAATCAACTTACAATCACCAATATCTTTGCCTTGGATTTTGTGCTTTTTTCAAGAACTGATTTTCTCAGTATTGCACTGCAAGCCCGAGGCGACCTCAAAGGGTTCTGCTGTGTAGCTACCTGCTATGCCCGTGCGGCGCAACGAGAGCGGCTGCTGGCGCTTCTGAGGTCCCAAAGATAGATGGCTTTGACATGCATTGATACAGTCGATACGGTCAGGAAATCGATTCAGTGAGTGGAAGTCACTGAAAATCTTGATTTTCTAGTTGTTCGTGGTTTTTGCCAGAAGAGTTAACGCCTCAACTGCCTGAGAGGCACTCAAACTCCCTGAGGCTGGGTCTGGGTCAATGTGTGGCTTGGATGATGCAGGTTCCCAGATTGTAGTTGGCATTTGGATGAACAGGTGACTAGCATCAATCCTAAGCACATTATCAAAAACATACAAGAACACATAAGAACACCTTTCTGATCTTGATAGTCACTTTGCATTCAGCCCCTGCTGATTTGCGTGGATTCAAGCTTTCGTTGTGAGACTGGCGATCTTGGCCGCAGTTGCATTTATGTGTGGAGTTTGTTGACAAATCTTTTAGGTTTTGAGCGCCACCAGCATTTTGTGAGATGATTGGTCTGCGATTTGAAATAATAAGTTGCCCGACGTTGACCCCACATACCCCACCAAAAAGGACATCCTCACGGGGGATACGCATCAGAAAAATATTATGATCAAAAAAACATATTATTAGTATTAGGATCAAAAGAACATATTATCAGGATCAAACAAAAACTATTCTGAGAGAGGGAAGGAAGGAAGGAAGGAAGGAAGGAAGGAAGGAAGGAAGGAGGGAGGGAAGGACGGAAGGAAGGAAGGACGGCCGGACGGACGGACGGACGGAAGGAAGGAAGGAGGAAGGAAGGAAGGAAGGAAGGAATTAAGGAAGGAAGGAAGGACAGTGTATTTTTTTCAAAGCAAACTTTCCTGGTCCTGGCCGCGCAGGCACCGCGCCCCCGCGGTGGCATCTTCTTGCCCGAGCCGGAGTGTAAGAAGAACGCCAGCGCTGCAGCCTCAGTCTGCCTGCATCATCTGTTTGCATCATGCAACACCCCGACACGCCGATGCCCAGGGACTCGCACCTAGCGCTGGCGCAACAAGGTTGCGAAGGAGCGCGCCAAGGCGGGGCCTGGGAATATTTGGAACTTGGCCCTGCGCTCGTGTCGTTGGACTCCTCAATGTTTCAGGCGGCAATGCACCGCCGCGCGGCACCTTCGCACAAAGACCCTGGAGCTGGAGCGGTCGCGGCCTCAAATCGCCATCGCGTGAATCATGACAGCCTTGAAACTTGGCCTTGTGTTTCTTTGAATGCCAAATCCAGGGTGGTCCCGGTTCGTTTTTGGCGATTTCGATTCGATTTTTTACAGAAGGAATTGATTCCCTGAGAATTGGCCTTCGATTCCGCCTAGTGCGATTCGATTAACGATTCGATTCGGAACGATTCGAGTCCTGCGGGGAGTATGGGCGTTAGTAAGCGATTCTTGATTAATATCAATTCGTTAGCTTGCGATTCAATTTCCGATTTGGATTCGTCATTCAAGTTAGATTCGATAGCTTGCGTTTCCATTCGTGGTTCGATTCGATAGCTTACGGTTCTTTTTCAATATACATTTATTTATTTTTATTTATTTATTTTTATTTATTTATTTATTTATTTATATATATACATACAAATACATACATAAGGAGACATACATACATATATTAATAAATATATGTAGATATTAATTTATATATGAATATATATTATATATTTAAATATACATAAATAATATATATATATTCATATATAAATATAAAATTTTACATTTTATTCATATAGAAATATACGTGTTTACATTTCTGAAACAAAAGCAGCTTCTCGCAGCCTTTTCGGGCGGCGGGCCGCGGCGATCCCTAGGAACGTTGGATCTTTGACAGGCGTGGGAACATTTGCGGTCCAGCAAACTTGTGTGGAATTCAAAGCTTCTATGATGCACCTCGGATATCCAGGGCAAAATTCACAGTTTCAGACCTCCAGAAGGGTTAGATTATGCTATGTAGGCATGTAGGTACTTAGGTACATATGTATGATAGGATGCATGTATGGATCTATGTGTTTTTGCATATGGATGCATAGGGTTCAAGGCTTCGTACGTAGGCATGTGGAATGCGACATGGAGCCGTAATTCTACAAATCTAATTATGATGCCAATAATATCGAATGCACATCCCAATACCCCCCGAATACAATGGACGGTGATGGAAAAGTGAGTTCATTTCTAACAAACAGTCTTTTGTATGATTGGCTTTCCTCTCCCCAGTGGGCACAATCGAAGCCTCGGATGAGGTTTCAGAGGAGTTTCATACCAGTTTCAAACACTCAGAAGGGACATGTTTGGAATGCAAGTTTGTTTTCCGGTATACAGGTGTTGTATATATATAGGAGCCGTTGCCAGAAACAATACACATATATACATAATAGATATTCGTATCTTAGATTTTCAGTTATATATATAGATAAGTTCAGTGTGAGAGATGAGCCCACGTATAACATATCTAGAAGTTAGAGACACATTCGTAAAATGGTCCATTGTGTTAAGTCAGTCTATTTGTTTGCAGCACGATTGGGTGAAAGGCTTTTTTTGAAAACCAACTTGGTGAAAAAGGAACTTGCCCCTTGGATTTCCAGGGCAGCTTTGGACCTCATCCATGAGAATTCTGAGAGGCTTGCAGCGAATCCGGACCGAATCCGGCCCCGACAAGCAGAATCCATTGATTTGTTTCTAGCCGGTGAACACCTCTAATAGCAGCCATGTGACCTCCACACAGTGAGCGTGGTTAAGCACCCCTCCTCTGATCTCTCTTGTCCTAGATTCTTGAGCAGAAAATGGGCAGCAATGTAGGCGATCTCAAGCAGAAAGTAGGTAGAAAGTAAGTTCGAACAGATCTCTTGCAGCGAATCCGGACCGAATCCGGCCCCGACAAGCAGAATCCATTGATTTGTTTCTAGCCGGTGAACACCTCTAATAGCAGCCATGTGACCTCCACACACTGAGCGTGGTTAAGCACCCCTCCTCTGATCTCTCTTGTCCTAGATTCTTAAGCAGAAAACGGGCAGCAATGTAGGCGATCTCAAGCAGAAAGTAGGTAGAAAGTAAGTTCGAACAGATCTCTTGCAGCGAATCCGGACCGAATCCGGCCCCGACAAGCAGAATCCATTGATTTGTTTCTAGCCGGTGAACACCTCTAATAGCAGCCATGTGACCTCCACACAGTGAGCGTGGTTAAGCACCCCTCCTCTGATCTCTCTTGTCCTAGATTCTTGAGCAGAAAACGGGCAGCAATGTAGGCGATGTCAAGCAGAAAGTAGGTAGAAAGTAAGTTCGAACAGATCTTTGCAGCGAATCCGGACCGAATCCGGCCCCGACAAGCAGAATCCATTGATTTGTTTCTAGCCGGTGAACACCTCTAATAGCAGCCATGTGACCTCCACACAGTGAGCGTGGTTAAGCACCCCTCCTCTGATCTCTCTTGTCCTAGATTCTTAAGCAGAAAACGGGCAGCAATGTAGGCGATCTCAAGCAGAAAGTAGGTAGAAAGTAAGTTCGAACAGATCTCTTGCAGCGAATCCGGACCGAATCCGGCCCCGACAAGCAGAATCCATTGATTTGTTTCTAGCCGGTGAACACCTCTAATAGCAGCCATGTGACCTCCACACAGTGAGCGTGGTTAAGCACCCCTCCTCTGATCTCTCTTGTCCTAGATTCTTGAGCAGAAAACGGGCAGCAATGTAGGCGATGTCAAGCAGAAAGTAGGTAGAAAGTAAGTTCGAACAGATCTCTTGCAGCGAATCCGGACCGAATCCGGCCCCGACAAGCAGAATCCATTGATTTGTTTCTAGCCGGTGAACACCTCTAATAGCAGCCATGTGACCTCCACACAGTGAGCGTAGTAAAGCACCCCTCCTCTGATCTCTCTTGTCCTAGATTCTTGAGCAGAAAACGGGCAGCAATGTAGGCGATGTCAAGCAGAAAGTAGGTAGAAAGTAAGTTCGAACAGATCTCTTGCAGCGAATCCGGACCGAATCCGGCCCCGACAAGCAGAATCCATTGATTTGTTTCTAGCCGGTGAACACCTCTAATAGCAGCCATGTGACCTCCACACAGTGAGCGTGGTTAAGCACCCCTCCTCTGATCTCTCTTGTCCTAGATTCTTGAGCAGAAAACGGGCAGCAATGTAGGCGATGTCAAGCAGAAAGTAGGTAGAAAGTAAGTTCGAACAGATCTTTTGCAGCGAATCCGGACCGAATCCGGCCCCGATAAGCAGAATCCATTGATTTGTTTCTAGCCGGTGAACACCTCTAATAGCAGCCATGTGACCTCCACACAGTGAGCGTGGTTAAGCACCCCTCCTCTGATCTCTCTTGTCCTAGATTCTTGAGCAGAAAACGGGCAGCAATGTAGGCGATCTCAAGCAGAAAGTAGGTAGAAAGTAAGTTCGAACAGATCTCTTGCAGCGAATCCGGACCGAACCCGGCCCCGACAAGCAGAATCCATTGATTTGTTTCTAGCCGGTGATCGTAATTCGGCAGATCCAATTACGATTCCAATACTACCGAATTGCGGCTGCACTCATGTAGGTATGTAGGTGTGTATGTATGTATCTATGTAGCTTTGGTATGTAGGCGTTTTTAACTCAAACCTGCATCTACCAGCATTTTTTAATTCGAACCAAAAAGGAAAAAAACATTGAAACTGCTTTGAAACCACTTGGAAACCCTAGGAAGCTAGAGCTCTGAAGCTCTGGCTCATATGTAGGTATGTAGGTGCTTTATGTATGTATGTATGTTTGTAGTAATATAGGTATCTATGCAGGGTTGCTATGTAGCCGTTTGCAATTCGGTTAAGTTGGAATCGCAATTCGGCATATTCAATTACGATGCCAATACTGCCGAATTTTGGCTGCACTTGTAGGTGTGTATATGTATCTATGTAGCTTTGGTATGTAGGCGTTTTTAATTCGGTTAAATTGGAATCGTAATTCGGCAGATCCAATTACGATTGCAATACTACCGAATTACGGCTGCACTCATGTAGGTATGCAGGTGTGTATGTATGTATCTATGTAGCTTTGGTATGTAGGCGTTTTTAATTCAAACCTGCATCTACCAGCATTGTTAAATTCAAACCAAAATGAAAAAAAACATTGAAACTGCTTTGAAACCACTTGGAAACCCTAGGAAGCTAGAGCTCCTATGTAGCCGTAATATATGTATCTATGCAGGGTTGCTATGTAGCCGTTTGTAATTCGGTTAAATTGGAACTGATGTAATTGGTTTCAGGTAGATTTTAACTACATCATGAGTGTAGAATCGAATTTGGTATACTGCTCATCTTGGTCAAGCTCTGGAACTCGTTTGAACGCAGCATATCTGCTGCATACGGCTATTATACGGCTCATTTTGGTCAAGCCCTGTAGATGAGCCGTATACTGGCCGTATACAGCAGCTCCAGGTACGGACGTAATTGGTTTCAGGTAGATTTCCTTTAAATCGGATTCGGAAGCTCCATCTAGGTTGTTATTTGGGTCTGAAACAGGTCTGAAACTCATTGGAACCACCAGTCCCGCCAGCGATTCGGACCCGTGTGCTGCTACGTAAGTGTCATGAGTGTTGATAACTAGCTTAGGTGACATTACTGACTCATTGCTAATCCCACTAATACGGATGAATACTTAGCTAGCCAAAATTCGCGCGTGTCCAAGATGAGCCGTAGATGGGCCGTATACTGGTCGTATACAGCAGAAAGTCTGAGTTCTAGTCGGTTCTAAGGCTGCACCGAGATGAGCCGTATACTAGCCGTATACTAGCCGTATACAGCAGAGAAGGTCCCAAACGGATGCTCTGCAAGTGCTGCTTTCTAAGGTTTCAGACTGCTTTCAAACTGGTTTCACATGGGCAAGCTGGTTTCAATTAGTTTTTAATTGTATGACAGTTTGAAATCACCTTGAAACCTTAGAAAGCAAAGCATGGAGAGCATCCATCCGTTTGGCAACCATTGAGATAGATCCCTTTGACAAAGAACAAAGAGAATATTCATCGGAAATCAATTGCGTCCGTACCGGGATCCGCAAACGCGGCTCCAGGTACGGATGTAATTGGTTTCAGGTAGATTTCAACTACATCATGAGTGTAGAATCGAATTTGGTATACTGCTCATCTTGGTCAAGCTCTGGAACTCTTTTGAACTCAGCATATCTGCTGTATACGGCTATTATACGGCTCATTTTGGTCAAGCCCTGTAGATGAGCCGTATACTGGCCGTATACAGCAGAAATGCTGAGTTCAAGTCAGTTCTAGGGCTTGACCAAGATGAGCCGTATACTAGCCGTATACAGCAGACATGCTGAGTTCAGGTAGATTTCAACTACCTTTTCTGCTCTATACGGCAAGTATACGGCTCATCTTGGTGAAGCCTTAGAACCGACTAGAACGCAGCATTTCTGCTGTATACGGCCAGTATACGGCTCATCTACGGCTCATCTTGGACACACGCGAATTTTGGTTATCTGAGTATTAATCAGTACTAGTGAGATTAGCACTGAGTCAGTAATGTCGCCTAGGTATCAACACTCATGACACTTACGTAGCAGCACGGGTCCGAATCGCTGGCGGGACTGGTGGTTCCAATGAGTTTCAGACCTGTTTCAGTCCCAAAAAACAACATAGATGGAGCTTCCGAATCCGAGTTGGATAATTGGAAACCCCCATAAGAAAGTGCACTGCGTGATCGATTGATTGGTTTCAGACTGATTTCAGACCGGTTTCAGACGCTTTTGCTTGATGCCGCATGCTGTCTGTTCCGTCTACATTTTGAAAGGGGATGCATGATGGTGTCTCCTTTGGCCCTTGGCATTCTAGGGCAGGCAACACAAATTTGGGGAAGAATGGGATCGTGAGAACCATTTTTTACATATACCGCCAATGATAGCTTTCGAGTCAAGCAAGCAACCAGGAGCCGTGCAGGTACCTGGATCGCTGCATTCCTTCAAACTCTCCACCAACACTTGGTGCATAGTGCCAGTGCAGGTGCGCTCGCTAGCTGGTGTTTGGGTGAGGATGGATACCAAAGATCCCAAGTGGGTAGTAATTGCATCCCATAGCTTCGCGTTTCTTGCATTTGCCATTACCCCCCAAATGGGTAGCATATGGGATTCCAATCTACAGAATAACATATGGAATTCCAATCTACCATGATTATTTCTCTTCCTTTGGCCCGTGGCATTCCAGGGCAAGCAGCGCATATTTGGTTGATGCATATTTAGAATGATGGATTGATAGCAGTTCATGATAAGTGATTAGAATCATTGGTTGATCCACTGATGTCGTATAAGTGAATGTGGCTCACACGCTGGCTTGCCCGAATGGATTTTGAAGACGTGGGTCGGATGGATGGACGGAATTGAGCAAAATTTCCGGGGTTCAAACTAGTTTCAAACCTGTTTGAAACTATTTTCTTGTGGCACCACACGCTTTCAGTTTCACCGATGATTCTACACCAATTGTGGTAGATACACAGTTTAAAGCTTATCTACAGACCGGCAAGGTGATTCAATGGTTAACACCTACATATTTATACACTACTTTTTAGAGTAACGCTCCTAATAATTCGATGAGTTCAGGACTTCCACTTGTACATTCTTATAACTGATTCCCAACAAAATATATATGTATATATATGTTTACTGCCAATGGTCACTTTGGGGTCAAGGCAGCAACCAGCAAAGCAGCCGGGTAGGTACCTGGATCGCCTCCTTCCTTCTGACTCGCCACCAACACTTGGTGCACAGTGCAGGTGCGCTCGCTAGCGTAGTTGGCGGCTCGCAGAGGAGGCATAACAAAGATCCGAAGCGGACAATAACAAGGATGTCCGTTGGTACGTGCCATTGCCTACCAGATATATAGATCATATGGGTTGCAAGTTTACATAATTTTACCGATGGTAGCTTTTGGCCCTTGGTGTTCGAGGGCAGGTAACACAAATGTTGGCCATAATGGTGATGCAATCGCCCGCTTAGGACTGAAAGACGTAAATCATAATCTGCAGGCATCGGTTCGTAGCTAATCGTCCGGAATACAATAGGCTCAACATGATACGATTCAGTTGTATTACGTGGACAGAATTCTATAGTAGGATTGGTTATATACATACATACAGACATATCTTTATATATATATATACATCCATAGGTACATAGATACCTACCTACATATCTACCTAGCTACCTAGCTACATACCTACACCTCAAACCTGTCCCTTCTAGGGGTCTGAAACTGCTTTGAAACTAGTCTGAAACCTGTTAAAATCTACAAACGTGACTTGGTGGTGGAAAGAGATATATTTAGATGGAAATCATGATGGCCCTTGGATTTTCCAGGGTTCATAGCCAATCGTCCGTACCTTCATAGTCATATAATAGTTCAATTCGCCTTGTGGACATTATTGTTCAAATTACAGTATTCTTGTTGTAGCAAAATAGGTTTCATTTCCCAATAGATTGAGATTAAATTCCTCATCGTTCGTATTTTCGAATTGTCTTCACATACCAGATCATGTAATTTAACCGTTACTTTATCTTGGCCGCGCCAGGACGAAGATCCAGGCTATGGAGGGATCCGCTGATGTAGAGACGGAAAAGGGCCGTGACGGAAAATGGCGGGTGGCGGGCTTGTGCAATAATTATCTCAAGCACTTGCGTGGCTCAATCCAATACAAACATCCAAGATATATATATATATATGATCCCGGGTATGCATGGCCTCGATTCCCGTCGATTCGGTTCCCCTTGAAAATCGATTCGGGGCGATTCGGTTCAAGCAACCTACCCATTCATGTTTGATTCGATTTTTAATTATTGTTGTGTTCCGGTTCCTTAAAATCCTGGTCGATTCAACCCGATTCGATTCCAAACGATTCGATTTTTTCCGATTCCGGACCGGTTCGGTTCCTTATGTGCAGCGGTTTAGATTCCTGAACCGTTTTGGAACCATCCTGCAAATCTTTCTTTTGCCTTGAGGGCGCCACCAGCCCTGCCAAGCCGCCGTCGGTCCCTGCCTTAAATTCTACCGACTTCCGTTTCTTGTTTTCTTCTGATTGTACTGCATCGCAAGCATTCGCAAGCCATTTTAAGGCGAAGACTGGGGTGGTGCCCGCTTCCGCTCCGGGCTTCTTCTGCTCCAACCTTGTCTCCAGCTCAGAGGCCGTATATATATATATATATAATGACGGTATACCTCTATCTTATTATATCATGTCTGCCTTGCACGACGTCGCCACGCCCCAGATTTGCCTCAGGATCGCGGTCGCTGCTGACAAGCTCCAGCTCGAAGGGATCCAGGTGATCCAGGTGCCACTGCTCATCATCTCTTCCACGGAGACGCCTGGGTCGATCACAGCCTTGATGTAGCCACCCTCTGCAAGCTTCCACAAGTAGGCCCACACTCCAGGATGGTGTATGTTGAATTGGGAACCCATCGCTGTGTCTACACAGATGGACTGGTAGCTCCCCCAGTTCTCCTTGGTCCAAACCGATGGATCCGCCCCAGAGAACAAGTGCACCACCGGGCAGGAGCGGCGGTTTGTGAACCGCCGCGCACGCGCAGGCGCGTGCTGCGTTTCTCGTGTTGCCGCGCGCCCATCCCTTTGCAATGTTGCGTTGCTTGTCCAGGCCTCAGCGATAAGGCGAGCAGACCGCCGTCCCTCGCCGAGTGGACGGCGGATGGGAATGCGCGGGCCCCAGCAAGGAAGGAAGGAAGGAAGGAAGGAAGGAGGGAGGGAGGGAGGGAGGGAGGGAGGGAAGGAAGGAAGGAAGCTGAAAGCGGTATTTCAGGACACTGGACACTTGTTGAAAGTGGCTCTCCAACTATATCTTCTTGATTTAACTTACATTCGCTCACAACAGGCATGTTGTGCATTATATACATATATATATATATGTATACCTTGAGTACCATTTATATATATATATATATACACACACGAAACCCTTGAGTACCATATTCCACCGCACACAGGAGCACAGACAGGTATTGTCATTCTGCTTTGGGGGAGGCGCTCCGCCCTCCTCCCAATCCCCCCCCTCCTCCCGCCTTTTTATTTGAATCCAAGCTTGCACATTTGTAAATATATGAATCGACTAATGTATTTCAGTACAGTCCATTCAAGAGTCCCAATTCATATGCTGACATGCACACAACCCTAACCCTTCCCCTACCCCCCACACCACCCTTGATTTAACTTACATTCTACATGCTCACAGTAGGCGTGTTGTGCATCATATATACCTTGAGCACCATATAAATATAGACATAAATATAAATTAAATATAAATATAAGTATAAATATAAATATAAATATATATATACAAATATATATATACATACATACATACATACATACACATACGTAAACCCTGAGTACCAACCATATTCAACCTACAGCAGCACACGGGAGCACAGGTATTGTCATTCTGCTTTGGGGGGAGGTACATCCTGTGCTGAGCTGTATGCGCAACTGTGCACAATTTTTAACACGTACTGCTACATCCTGAGTCTGCAATCCTTCTGCTGGCCTCTTGATGTTTGTGCCTTCACACATAGACATGCATACACAGACATATACTATACAGACATACATGCACGCGTACATGCATACATCCGCACATTAATGCAGACAGACAGACATATGTGCAGTAACAGTCCGGAGACCGACGCATTGGTATTAGCATCTGAGTTAGCGATGAGAGCAGTTGGTGCGCAATTGTGGAGAAAGTGGTGCGCTCAATGGTTGATGAGGGTGCAGGTTTCTGGGGGTAATTTGGTGATACCAATAAGTTTTTTTTTGATCCTTTTGGATTTTTGTTTGATACCAATAATATTTTTTTGATCCTTGACCCTCCTCACGGGAAACAGGTGCCTTCTCCAAAGAGGGTAAGCGAACATAGCTCCGGAATACCGTCGTTTTTATTAGGTCCTAGGTAAATTTATGTAAAATTCCGTAGCGAACCGTTGCCAGAGGTAATTTGGGTAATTCCATGGCTCGCAACGTGTCCCAAGCTGCACAGCTTGACCGTCTTGACCTTTGACCAGGCTAGATGTGGGAAGCCTCACTTTGGCGGCAGGAGGAACACGTGTTCCACCTGACCTCTTGGTATCCCTGCGGCAGCCGTGTCTGATGCGGTTGAGACAAAAAGCTCGAACTGGGATGGCTGACCCCAATGGTCACTATGAGTCATTACCCTTCTGGGTTCCAATTTTGAGGCTTGAAGCCGGGCCCAAACCACGATGGATGTTGCCGTTTTGGCCTTTCAAGAGCTGGCGACAAAACCAGTTGACATGTAGATCATGTAGCTTTGGCCCATGAGGATCATGCCACGATATATTCATATATTCTATCTTGTTTTTACATGTTTTTACGAGGATGATTGGTTGATTAGTGCCCGTGCGGGGTCATTTTCAACGCCCAGAGTTTTTGGCGTTTTGCGATCCCAACATAGGTCGAATGGCATGATCTTGTTCGATCATAGATGTCAAGATTTGTGACCCTCAGAGTTCTCAGGTCTGCTGACAAGCGTGATTACCTCCGAGGAGGACTGGGAAAATTCGTTGAGCACACAGAGAGTCTATGGGACTTTGCAGATCTTCGCAGCTGGCTGTGAGACGTGCAACCTGAATGTCATCCTCCATGCCATGTCCCTACATGCATGGGCGTTTGTGCTAGTTGGCTTTCACGGCGCTTCAAAACGTAGTATTCATGCACATTCACGCAACCTTTGCACGAAGTCCAGGGTTTACTAATTATGGTTCCTCTCCAAAAAAAACCATTTGGGGGGAAGTCTGGCAGCCCCACGGCCAGGAGCCTTGGGTGAATTGATGGAGCGGCACCCGCGGGCAGCGAAAACAATGACCCGTGAAGAGCCGGGGGACTTGGCATCGTTTGAAATCACCGAACTTTGCATCGTGGGGGACTGGCTGCATATAGGGCCTATGATGGATATCGGATAGGTTGTGTTTTGGAGTTGGATGAAATGTATCAACTCCAAACTGAAATGATGGGTTAAATTCTTTTAAGCATATTTTAATTTTGATCGTTTGACAATTTTCAGCTCTATCAAGCTGATCAGCTTGCCCATCGATCATCCCTCAACAGCCCCTTTGAATCACCAGGCGAGGGCTAGCTCCGACTGCACCTTATGCCGGTGGCCTGCGATAGCCCAAAAAAGCGGCCGGCCATGGATTTCTGTCGCGTGGCGATCCATTGCCAGCTACAGTTTCATCCCAAGATATCCCGACTCCAATATCTCTAATCCGCATGCAGTTCGAACATGAGATGTGAAGGTACCAAAGTTTTTCCGCGAAATTACTTTAACTTAGATTAGATTAAATGTGTTCCTTGCGGCATGTGGTTCGCTTTGGAATCGTGGAATATCGCGGTACGGCATTCGGCTTTTCCGAATATAGGGACAGTACAGCGACAAACAGAGGCTGCCAAATGGTGCTGGCAAATGTGGAAATCTAACAATCATTGTGGACCAATTTGCTCGCACTTGGCCTCATAAATCGACAAGATGGAGCTTGGATCTTGCGAACCTTTATTGTTGGCATTCAGTTTGCAGCACTGTTTTTTGCATGAAGTCTGCACCATCTCATGATCGAGACGGCCTGTTGGATCTCTTCCCTGCACGAGTTGCGCCTTGCTTCTGTGAGCATTGCCTTTCACACTCGAGGAACATATTACTTCAATCACACATCTTTACACCACACCGCGGCACACTGGTATGACTTGGATTACGAACCTTCTTGCATGTACATTGCACCGGCAACAAATGTGGAGTTTGTTTTGGACAGTTAATCTATGCCGCAAAACTTTGTATCAATGCTCAGCCCGAGTCAGTTTGCAGCAAACCCACCCAATGATCTTCAGTACTCGGCTCCCAGGTGTGTAAGCATGGAATCGCAGTACAAGGTGTAAGTGTCACCCTCTCTTTTAAAGTTTAAAGATTTAATTTTCTTAATAGCTTAATATGCTTAATCAATCCATGGCCCCCAGTGGGAGTGAAAGAGTGGAATATCATTCAACCCAGCTGCACAACACACTTGTTACCAGTGTGGCGTCTTGAGTGGGAAGCGAAACATTGTTGCCCCTCATAGCAACGTGAAGAGCTCGGTGCACGGCTTTGTGAGGGGAGTCTGCAAGCATTGATAACCACCCTGATTCAGCTTTTCCAGTGACGACACACGTCCATTGGACCCCTCTTTGTGCCACGTGCATCAAGCCGGTAAGTCAGTGTAACATAGTGTAACAACATTTGAAAAGAAAACTAGCTCATGCAGCTCTGGCAGCATACTGCGGCGGCACACAGCGTGAGGGGTTGTGTCTGCAAGTACATGACGCACGACGCACTGGAGAAGAGCGCCACAAGACGACAACGCACTGCATAGCTAACACACAACAACTTTGAGCCCCACACCACACCACGCCAAACATATGAGCCACGGTCAAAATGGTTGAAGACTATTTAGTCTTGCAGGAGTTTTTTGTCAGAGATGTGCACGAAACACTATAAAGCGATAGGACCCCCCCAAAAGCGATAACCTGGGACCATACATGACAGTCCATAAAACTTGGTGTAAACCAAGCAAATACTGTTGTGCACATTCGCAGAACGGGCAAAACCGATTAGGGAAATTCAACCTGTGGTGCCCTGTTTCCTGCAGCAACTCGCTCGCTCGCTCGCTCTTTCTTTCTTTCTTTCTTTCTGTCTCTCTCTCTCTCTCTGTCTCTGTCGTTTTGTGGCAAATTTCCTTCGAACAATGTCATATGTTGGAGGGGTTATTTAAACGATCACCTTAGCGATATCTATTTGTTGCACTCGGTTCCCTGGCCAAGCCATAGAGCCATTTCCACTTTAGGAAATGAAAGGACATGAATGCAAAATACAAGGAACATGCGTGCAAATGAAAGGAAGATGAGAGGACATGAATGCACATTGGAATGAAAATGAAAGGAATATGACAGGAAAATGAATGGACATGAATACCAATGAAAGGAACATGAAAGGAGCATGAAAGGAAATGAATGCAACATGAAATTGAGATGCATGTAAATGAAAGGAACATGCAGGAAAATGCATGCAAATAAATGCAACACGAAAGGAACATGAAGTGTTGCCGAAGCACCTGAAAACAAAACAACTGCTCGATCCATTTCCGAGCCTGTTTAGGAATGGATTTTGGCTTCATGTTGGATCTCGAATATGCTGATTTCCACAAAACCCGAGAAAGCGATAGGCCCCCCCAAAAGCGATGACTGTAACAATAGCATCTACTCAGATGTAAAGGATTTTGACGGGAGCTCATATATTTAATTACGATAAACATCGATAAACAATGACACACATGATCGAGCAATGAGGTTTGAGCGCAGCCGACAGTTCTGTAGCTCCGCGGGTTGGCTGGTGGTTGTGTCGTCGGCTGCCTGCCCGGCAGATTCTATTGAATGTATCTGTTGATGTACTGTTACTTAGTCTGATCTTTTGCCGTGCCTTCCTCAACCAAGGGGACTGCTTTGCTTCCCATTTGAGTTGAAGTGTAACACGTCTACTGCGGACTTGTAAGGACAATGAGAAATGCCAGCTCACAAGTCAAAAAGTTTGTCGCGGAGAGGTTTCAACCGAGTCACCAGTCACCCAACTGGAATTCGACGCAGCACCTATCCATGAAAACTATGCAGTTTTTTTTGGCAACATTTCGTAAACCATCATATGTCATGGTAGGACGCGCAGGTTGTATCTTGGGTTGAAACGTGAATAATTTTGCCATTGCGATGTCGGTGTCCACAATGCCGAAAGCCTTGCTCAAGATTGAGTCGAAACACGCGATGAACTAACGAGAGCATATTATGCTGCCCCTTTGCCGCGCGCTTGCCCCATCCCGGGAGCAGGTGTTGTCATCACGTTTTCCTTTCTGGCTTTTATCGTGTCCGTGAGCAACTCCAGTTTGTTTCAGTGTCCCCGTGTCAGCGCGATTGTTGGACACCCAAACAGACTTATTGTAGGAGAGACTCGGTGATGAAATAAATGGTTTGAGTTTCCAAGCGACACCTTCGTGCGTGAGCACGACCCGGAGTCTGTCGGAATCTGTCGAATCTAGCCCGGCCAAAACGGATTCTGGATCATTTTCTGTATGCATGCGTTTCGTTAAATCGCTAAGTATCAAGCGCCAAACATTTTTTTGTGCGTGCAGTTGTTTGTAAGGGTTTCGACCAACTAATCGGCAATGTCAATGTGCAAAGACACGTCGATGGTTGTGTTGTCCGAAGTTTTGTTTTTGCGGTATTGTTTTGCGAACCAAGTATTGCACCCAGTTCCTTGCAAAGTGCGCCCATTGTGCGAACTAAAGAAATCCATGATGTGGCGTCTGTGGCGTACTGAAGAAAATCATCAGCAAACCAGGCATTCCTCAATTATTGATATGCAAACCAGTATCTCAATTCTTGCTTTCTGTTTCGACAATGCTTCCCTTAGGCGGCGCTGAAAGATAGCGGGTTCAAACCATCGCCTTGTTTTACTCGCATCGCCTTCAACAGTCCCAATTTGGCCCTCATAGACATCGCGTGGGATGCTGATTCTAAGGTCCTGGCTTGAAGCGATAACGTTTCAAATTTAATTTCGTGCTCGATTCCGTGACATATCAACGCTAGCTATGGATGAAGCTGCGCCTCCATTCCGTTGCTTTCCACCAGAAACATTTTACGCCAGAAACATTTTATGCCAGTGCCAATTCAGGGTCTGAAAACAATTTGGCCATGCATCCAGGTCTGTCTCTAAACAAGTTGCACATCATATTTGCCAAGGGTTCGGTCCATAGTTCGGTTCAGACAAGTCATCGTTCTTTATGTTGCCAGTTTGGTTCCAAACAACCTGTCAGCAACATGGTGCGGTAAATCTGCAACAATTATCTGTGCAGGTCAGGGTTGCCACACTGAATCATTTCCAGCACGCCCGCTTATCAGCACCTTTCCTCTTTCGCATGTTTTGTCATTAGTTCTGTCAGTACGAAAGACATTGAAAGACGGCATGTCATGGAAATATCATAAACAGAATATACGACAATTGTGAATGCCATTGTGGGAAGGGATGCCATCGCCGCCAACGATTTAATTACCTGAAACACGTCGCCTAAGAAAAAAACACAACTAATAAATTCATGTGGCAGTTGCGTCTCGCATGTGGGTCCTCTTTTGGCCATGGGATATGGGCTGTCCAATGC